CAAATAAATACCAATAATAGCTTGATAAATTAAATAATACATAATTTTGGTACATTTTAAATTTATACCAAAATTCTTTTAAAAAATCTCGACATTTACATTTGACACGTTTCTACAGTAATTTTTCAAGAGTTCCCTTACGAGATATTTCACGTTTGTTTTTGAATTTTAACAAAAAAAAATCAATTTTATATGTCAAAGCTCAATACGACCAATTATAAAGAACATTTCATATCTTTAGGTGAAAACAAAATTAATTTTTGTGTCACAGTTACTGTAAAGAAACTCGACCCAATTTACGGTTATTGAAAATATATTACGAATACAAAGTGAAGTGAAAAAAAATTTGGTCATTCAATAAATGTTAACAAATTTACTTTACTTACTTAAAATTTTACTATCATTTATCCGTTTTTAATACATTGACGAGGTCATTTCTTTATTTTTATAAATTATATATTTTTAAGTTGAAATAAGACGCAACGAACGAGCTGAATTAAAGTAAATCTACTTATTAAATCGTACAGAAGTCGCTAATACTGTATTTTATATAATGAGATCTAAGATTTTCGAGAGTCTTCATTAAAATAAAACCATTATTTTTCGGATTTACTACGCGTTCATAATTATTTTTAACAACATACTCCCGACATTTCTGTTACTTTGCAGCAAAGTTGTATTTTTACATGTTAGCATGTACAATCTGGATTAAATGTACCAAAATAGTATATATTTATTTGTTTTAATTGTAAAAAAAATACGCGATAATTTCCCAGACCCCCCTCCATACAAAGTAAGATTAGATGAGATTTGACTCGACCCCTCTCTAAATATCTCATGTATTTTATGAAGGCCCCCTTATTTGGTAGTTAATTATAATGTAATACATATTTCTGTTAATAAAGCGTAGTAAACATGTTTCGTTTGATCAGGATTCAGGCTTTAGCAATCAGGCTTTTTATTGGAGATGCCATTCGTCTCAGGCTTGACAGGTTTATCGTCGCCGTACCAACACTTGCTTATTTACATTGCAGCTCAAATGAACTCACTATAATATAGACAATACCTAAGGACGTGTAAAATCCCTACTAATATTATAAATGCGAAAGTAACTCTGTCTGTCTGTCTGTTATGCTTTCACGACTAAACCACTGTACAGATTTTAATGAAATTTGGTACAGACAGAGTTGATCTTGAAAAAGAACATAGGATGGTTTTTATCCCAGACTTTTGAAAGGTTCTCTTGCAAACGCGATATAACCGAACTCCACGCAGGCGAAGCTGCGGGCGGAAAGCTAGTAATTATTATTTAATAAAAAATGTAGAAGTAAATGAATGCATTTAGATATAGACGTCATTGTACTATTTTTATATTGCAATTGCGAAGCCAAAAAATTCGAAACTATTTTTATTGGCCTTCAAACGATGCACTAGCAACAACATTGATGCAAAAATGTATTATTCTCGAGCTAATTTGGAAGCTATTCATTATAAGCATATAAAGATTTCGTTTACGTCGGTATGCTCCTTCTAATTGTCTTAGACCAGATATCAATACAAGAACAGACGTTAATATTAATTATACAAGTATTTTAATCAGCTGAGAATCAAAAGAAGGAGTCATGGGCTAACATTTTGACCACTTTTGAACAAAAAGGACGATGTTAAATTAATAAATATATTTTTGAACAATAAGGTCTTGTGAACATTATGTTTGCAAAGTCAGTTTTATAAAGTTGTTAGTCAGTTTACAGAATAATTCATAGAGAACATAGTAAAACGTATAAATGAAACTAATATTTTCGGATTTACTACGCGGTTTTTTATTTTTTATTATAAACTACATACTCCCGACGTTTCGGTTACTTTACAGCAACCGTGATCACGGGCAGACGAGATGTGAGTTGGTTTCGTATCATCGTAGGTTATTAAATGAGAAACAAAAAATGCTTCATACATATTATGACGATATAAAATTCTGCTAAATGTACAAAATGATATATTAACTCAAGTGGTACAGCTTTACTACTGACCATTTAAGAGTTTTTTAATACAAAACCATACTACGATTAGTGTAGACGACAACTATAAAATTCCGTAGTAAAATCATTAAATGAATAAATATGAGGAAATTTCCTTGTATGTATTTTTGGGGTTCGTTCATAACTTGATAGTCTATTTTCGAAATAGAAATATTATATTTCCAGATATTACTTAGACATATTGTTTACTAGCTTTCCGCCCGCAGCTTCGCCGCGTGGAGTTCGGTTATATCGCGTTTCCAAGAGAACCTTTCAAAAGTCTGGGATAAAAACTATCCTATGTTCTTTCTCAAGGTCAACTCTATCTCTGTACCGAATTTCATTAAAATCAGTTCAGTGGTTTAGGCGTGAAAGCGTAGCAGACAGACAGACAGACAGACAGACAGACAGACAGACAGAGTTACTTTCGCATTTATAATATTAGTAGGGATGATAGGTTGGTGGAAAAGATTAATAGACATAAATAGAAAAAATATAAAATATTTTTCGATAGCTGGCTGTAGTGACAATTTCCTTCTAAAGTATCAATTAAATAATTTCAGATTTATGCTCGTCGCAAAAGGTGACATTTTGTATTTAAAAAAGTTCTACTGATTTTTGTTTAATGCATTCAGTTGTGAGTAAGAAAGATTAAAAATGGAAGTAAAAGAAGAGAAAATTCGATATATTTTGTAGATTATCTTTGACAAGCCAGAAAATGTAAGCCAGGCAGGTAAAATCGTGATAGTATTTATGGTACCGATACAGTAATAGCTAATTATGTGCAATTTGGTTTCGTAGATTCCTTTCAGGAATTTTTGGTATTAAAATGAGTAATGATGAGACGAGATGCAATCTCGCCTTAAGCCTTCCGGAGAAACGTCTGGAGTTAACCGTCAGGTTAGCTGTCATTACTTAGGCCTAATATAATTAATAGACTATACAAGAATTCTAAGCCAATTATATAAAGCTAAATTCAAAGCCATTATAAAGTTACATGTAAAATGGAAACATTTATTATAAAATAAAACGTAGCTTTGACCCAAATCGAACAATCTAGAGCATGTAAACTAAAGTCCTAAACTTCATATACAAATAATGTATTCGTTTTACCGCAAGCCAATATTCACCTAATATTTTTTGCAATTAATTCAAACAAAGACTTCAGTTCTGATTCTTATTACATTCCTACTAATATTATAAATGCGAAAGTTACTCTGTCAATCTGTCTGTTACGCTTTCACGCCTAAACCACTGAACTGATTTTAATGAAATTTGGTAGAGTTGACCTTGAGAAAGAACATAGGATAGTTTTTATCCCAGACTTTTGAAAGGTTCTCTTGGAAACGCGATATAACCGAACTCCACGCGGGCGAAGCTGCGGGCGGAAAGCTAGTTAAGCCATAAGGACAAATCCATATACTATCTTTATATTATAAAACATCATTCTGGCATATGGTTAATGAAACCAAAAATGAACATCAATAAAGGTTACTCATTATCAAATAACTTTTAATAAACTAATTTATTACTTAGAGGGGAAAGCATTAACGTTATTTATAACAATACATTAATAGATTCATGTTACTAAATTAAGTTACAAAAAAAACTTCCGGTGCCTCCGGTTTAACGATTATACATATACTTTTATACATAAAAAACATAATTTTCATATTAACTATAAGACGGAATAGTTTAAACAGTTTTATAGATCATCTTGGATAACTGATTAAAATAAAAAATAAAAACATTACAGATTATTCTATGAATGAAATAAATAAATAGTTCAAAACTCTGACCAAATTAATGTGGTCTTTGACAAATGGTAGGTCTATTACCCAAAAGCTCATAAACCTTTTAGAATTAGGGCACTATTATTTAAATCTTTTGAAATAGAATCCCGACATCAATTACAACTATAATCTAAATCAGTGACTATTCATTTGTAGAACTAAAAAACAACACAAGTTAGGAACGTCTTGACAATTATATGTCAGTGAATCACACATGACTCAAGACTTGCTACGTATTAGAAGCAATAAAGATATGTTTATTTACGGTGCAAGGATGGATGGGGCTAACTCAGGAAGCTGTCCCGGGTACAGTCGAGACGAAAAGTGACTTAAAAAACATTCATTACATTCAACACGAACCTAATTATAGAAAAAACTCAACGTATAATCAAAATATTTGCATAAAAAAAATATTTTGTATAGTAAAAATATTTTAGTATTTAAAGAATTTCCAACGCGACTGTACCAGTTGTTTATGCACGCCCCAATTTGAGAGTGGAGCTGTTTTTAAAAATTCCGTAACAAGTTAACTAACTACGCTTTTAACATCTTATGAAATATACAGAATGAACATTATAGTTATATTAGACATAAAAATAAATATTAAAGATGAATTCATTTAAAGTAAACTATAGATACCATTATATGTATACTTATATCCCTACTAATATTATAAATGCAAAACTCTGTCTGTCTGTCTGTTATTCTTTCACGCCTAAACCACTGAACTGATTTTAATGAAATTTGGTACAGAGATAGAGTTGACCTTGAGAAAGAACATAGGATAGTTTTTATCCCAGACTTTTGAAAGGTTCTCTTGGAAACGCGATATATATTAGAAATCAAATGACATCTTATATAGTACATTTAATTTGAACTATACTCAGTTGATAAACAAGTCTTTATATGTGAGAAACTTGTATGTAACTACATTTATCTTTCAATTCATTTCATTTTAAATTATACAATACTGAGAATAAATTATGAAATAAACCAACTTTCTGTTATCAAATGAGACATTTTACTCTTTGTCTGTGTGTCATGTAAATGTATGTATATTCCTTGATTAACAACAATACACAATGCTATTTCATAAGTACCATTACATAACACACACATACATACATCTATACACACACACACACACACACACAAATATATTTATGTATAAGAAATTTATAATCACCTTCAAACATTTTAGACAGAATGTATGCTGACAGGGCAATACTCGTGACGAGGTGTCAAGTCTCTCAAGACACACCGAACACTCGAGGAGATCATTCAGGAGACCCTCATCCATTACTGATAGACCTGGAAATGTATGAACATACTATAAATAATATCACAGTACATACATTACACTCAAGACTCGGGCAATCAGACTAGTATAAAAACAGATTCAATAATGAAAACTTAATATACAATAGTGAATGACTTTTGGGACTTTTATCACCTTATTCCACAGAATTTAAGAAAAAGATGTCTGAAGTTTATAAATACTTTTAATTTAAAGACATAATATGGCAGTAAAAATAGTGAAAAAATATAGTCAGTGTTGCATGAAGAAAAATAAAAACTTATTACAAGTTGGTGTTGCCTAGAATTAGTCATGTAAGCTCAGAAAATGTTATAAATTACAGTGCATAGTATTGTAATTGTCTTTTAGTACTTTTGAGACTTTTGCCTTCCACTTAAAATATTAAAACAGGGCAGTTAAAGCTGTTATATACTTATGTATATAAAGCACTATAAATAATGAATACAATGTGTATTAAAACTATATATGATTCTGTTGCTGCTTATAAAAATTAATATTCAGCTAATAAATAAACTATTTCTCTAAAATATTAGATATTTTTCTAATTTTTAACCTAATTAGATTTGAAATATAGTTACACTCGATTATACCTTTATAATAATAATAGAAAGAATTAGTTATGTTAATAAACACTAAGTAAAGTAACATTTTTAATAGCTATTATTTGTTTTAATTGATAAAAATGTGTGTTAATATTTAAGATTGTCAACTAGTGGAATTTAGTTAATGTGAAAATCAATATAATAGAAAGATTATTTTCTAATATTATCTTAAATGATGTTAATTTTATATGTATGTTTAACATTTACTTTCTTCTTCATATCAATGAAGATTTGGTCCTTACTTTTTCATAGAGAACAATTTAATCAGATCTCGAATACTATCTTACTAATGGATGGTTCATATAATTAGAATTTCTTAAAGAAATTCTATTTGTATTTATATGTGAAGTAAAGTTGAAAAGAAACACAAATATCATCTTTTATTTAGGTTTCAGTCTATTTCAAAGATTAATTAAATCAATATTCATAACCCCATGCAATAAGAAATATTATTAGAATATTGAAGGATTAGGTGCAATTTGATTATAATTATAAATTAAAATTTAACTTATAGTAGATTAAAGTATACATTCACATCCACAAGTGTATAGTTCATAGCACTTTGTTTTGGTTTGCTTTTATTCACATTGTTTGCAGCCTGTTGAATTTTCAAAACAATACTTTTATTCTCATAAAAAGACTACAAGTGTACTTTAGTAGTGAGTTTTTGTAAATTTTATAGTTATTAAAGCATTTTCAGTGCAACTTTACCTGGTATATAATATATAATTGTATCTCTGAAAAAAAGATGATGGCCTCGAATGAGTTTATAGTTGAAAAACTCATTTATCCTGAACTTATATTGGTGCAGAATTATTACTAATATTAATTATGGGGCATTTTTATTAAGAGCAGTGCTAAAGAAATATTTGTATTAAGAAATTAATTAATATGTTGAAAAAATACATGACAAGAAAACAACATCTTTATACTTAAACTACTTTTTCTTGTACTGAGTGGTTCAGAAATTGTTAATTCTTCCATATAATATTTACAGACACTAACAGATTTGAATTCAACTACTTTTGATTGACTTAATTTCAAATGAATCAAATAGGAAACAAAAAAAAGGCTTTCAATCGGAAATTATCAAGAAAATCCATCATTAATTCTTATATAAAGCTGATGATACAATTCGTAATTTCACAATATGTATGAAATAAAGGTTCATTTAAGTATGAAGCTATTATTTTATCACTTGATGCCTTCATTCTGCATCTGACCTGACTCCTTAACTTAATGATAACACCGTGTTCTAAATACAATGCCTATTAACAATTAAAACAAAGTTATTTAGCTTGTTTCACGATATTATGTATAATAACCTGTTACAATTATGTTAACAAGTCGGAAGAACTTGGAGACATGCCAAGACATGTCTAGTACAGAGGAATGTTTACGTTAGGACGTCGGATAAGAAGTTTGTTGAGAAAACAGTAACGAAAATAGAGCGACAAAATTCTTTCACGCAAGACATAGCAACATGTAATATTTAAACGATTACAATGTGTGGGTTTAGTTTCATCAGGAAAAATATGTAACATGAAATTTAACTTTTAAAATACGTTGATGACTCACCAAATGTTTTAAATTCCAATGTTAGCGGGAAGTCAGTCCATTATTGTACGAAACGATACCTGGATACCACCCCGAGTCACTCACATTTTTTATAACACCAACGCATTTTTACACATCACTATCGTAACACTTGGCATATAATTAATTCACAAATATTTAAAGGGATGCCGGTTAAGCTCACTATTGTGAGAAAAATTCACTTGATCAGACAAAAACTAACAAAATTTCACACAGAAATGCCATTCTCGCCGCTTGCTCCTTTCATTCGTTTCATTCGAAGTTCGCTGTTCGACCGTCACCGACCGAACGGAAACGAGTCGAAACTCTAAGCTTGAGTACAGGTGAAGTGAGATGCAGCGGGGCAGTTATCCAGTCTAAAAATATATATATGCTTGACACTGCTATAAATTATTACTTGAAATAGATTAAGTCTTTTACTATATTTATAAACAAAATATTTTTATAGGAACAAATGATAAATCTTAATAATTTCTACAACTTAATTTATATTTACTTTTTACAATATCCACCAGGATAAATTTTTATATAATCATAATTTATATTTATTAATATGGATACGCTCTCAAAAATTTTTTTGGTCAAATATTTCAATTCAAACAGAGCACATGCATTTTTAAATATTTTTTAATAATATGTGTATAGAAGATTTGCCATAATATGAGACTGACATTATTTTGACAGTAAAAAGCAGCTGTAGGGATTCTCAATTGTCAACAACTATATCAATACACTTATTTGAGAAAAATGTCTCGAGACAAAAGTGTGTGGTTCGCCGAAGAAATTTTGTTAGATGCCAAACTTATAAACTTTCAATTAGAAACTGGAGAATGGGACGCAGTAGAAGAAATGTTGCGTGCTGAAGCGCAACTCTCTAGAGATGCGGAGACCGGACGATTGCGACCGTAAGTCTTATTAGATTCGAAATATATGTATACTAAACCTCATATAAAAATAATTTTAATCTTTCGTTTCAGTAAAAAAGCGTCCGAGTACACTTTGCGGCTCATAGCCGAAGTTTTGCACATCATGCGTTTAGATGTGGAACAGGCGTCATATAATCGCAGTACTCTCGCCGTCGCTGAACAATGTCTACGACTCGTTCGCTCCTGCGCTGCCGCAGGAACGAAAATGCAAACATACATCTCTAAAGAACTGTCCATACTTGATTCAATGCTGATTCTTGCAACGGAATACTTACATCCAAGCATAGAGTTCTTGAATGAAGAATTGCAGAAAAAATATGAGTCCTGCATGACAGTGTTAGTGCAAACTTTAGGCAATTTAGTGGTCAACAATCCATTTAATCAAATAATGATATGGAATAAATTTGATACTATAATTCTAAGCAGTTTGGTCGGACAAAATGAAAAAATAGCATCGGCTGCAGCTATGATTGTATATAACATACTTTTGGGACAACCAAATGTACTCCCTGATGATGTAATGCTTCTAAATTCTTTAGCTTACATGTACATCAATGGAAATACAGACTATCCACATTTAATCATTGAATATTTAATTGGTGTGGAAAACACTTATATAGAGAAACTGTACTCAAAATTGGATCCCGAATGCCGTATGTTAGTATTAAATCTGGCTTACAATATTCTTATGTCGAATGAATCTCAGGATATAAATGTATCCGTTAACTTTGTGAAATTCATGGCTCATGAGTTCAAAAGTAAATCAGACTGTATTTTAAAAACCGTTGATAAATATGTGAATACTATAGAGCCACAGGAAGTTGTGTTTTTGCTCGAAATCATTGCAACAGCTTCTAGTATGGATGCTTATATGGACTGTTTACAGAGTGATACCTCTTTGTTCATTAATTGTGCTTGTAAGTAATAATTTTTTACATATACAGTGGACCCCCGGTAATCCGACAAACATTTTGCAGGGCAATGTCGAACTTTCGAATTCGTCGGATTATAGAGTACTGCCTAAGACCCCCTATAGTCCAGATATTTTTACAAAAGAGTACCTTGTAATCCGACAAATTACAGATTCAATGATAAGATTATTTACATTTTATATATGCATATATACTTATATGTACTCTGAAGTACAAATTCAAATTCCAACTAAGCGATCAGAATCAAAACAATACCCTGTGCGTCGAGCACAATTGTGATGGTGCGTACAAGTTGTAAATTGTTCAATCATGCATTAGCGAATACAAAATATGTATTCAATAATAAATAATAGATCATGTCGGATTACAGGAGGTGCCGGATTAGACAGGGGCCGGATTACCGGGGGTCCACTGTATGTAATGTTATCTATTGATGCAAAATTAATACCAGTAGGTTTTTAAGTCACTCTTACTGTATGATAAAAACTTTAACATTGCAAGGAAACATGATTATGCATAACTGTGACAGTCACTTAATATTTCTTTGTATAACAGCCTCAATTAAACTTCCAAATTTTTCCATAAAATCAATATACATTTGGTCTATAACTAAATCTATCATTACAGTTTTACTGCGAGCTATCCATAAGTTGGGTAAAGAGAGTAATAACTTTTTCTCATCTATCAACAAACTGTATGAGGCTACCGGAAAACATTTGGTGAATGATGAAGAAATGCCAGCTGTGAACATTCCTCCTGAGAGTGAGTTGATCATGATATATAAACAATATCTGGTTACCAAGCTTTGCTCGGGATTTAAGAATTTTTAGTATTTATTTTGTTTTTTTTTTATTTCTTTTAGGCATTTTAAACTTAAGAAGAACGTTAAGAAGACACAAAACAATATAAATCAATAATTAATTTCTTAGTCTAAACTGAAAACAACCACTCATTGACTTATTGTTACTTAACAACGCCATCTGCTGTTGTATAGTTCAAACAATTATTAAAATCAATTAGCAAAAAGTAGTATTACTTTTCGCTAATAGATGTCAGGAAGAATCATATGTTAAACGACTCCTTTTTGTTTGTTTTTCCATTAAAAGACGTTTTCTAAAAATGATTTATCGCACACGAAACCCCCTATATACTAAATTTCATGAAAATCGTTGAAGCCGATTCTGAGATTCCAATTACATATATATAAGAATTGCTTATTTAAATATACAGGGTGACTGGTGAATTACTATCAATATTTAAGGAGAATACTCGGTACATGATTCTCATTCGAATTATGTAAAAAAAATAGGCACTTAATTTTTGACAAAATTTCCGTATAAATAAATAAAGTGTTGACACGTTCCAAGTGTGGACGCGTGCGGCGGCGTGCTGATACAACACTACGCCGCCGCGCGCGAGTGTGTGTGTGTGTATACCTAATCTGTAGGGTGTGCACACGATGCGTAATTAATTACATAACTTTTGGTTAACTTTACTTAGAAGTTTATTAATATTTATGTTATATTAATTTTTATTTTGTCATATATGATCGTCAAATATCACGTCCTCAAATATCGATAGTAATTCACCAGTCACCCTATATATCATCCAACTAGATAGTGCTTGACTATCTCATTATCATTCTTACTGGTGATAGAAAAGTATGGAAAAACAATTATAACAAAATGCCTATTAAATGAAATAAAGTAAAATTAAATGAAGTCTATATAGCTAAAAATATATGTAATAATATGAACAGACTAAAAAATGTCCTTCATTATACTTTTTTTTAGCAAATTGAAGATTTTTTCACATCTTTTTTTGTTGAAAAATTCTTAATAATCAGTATGTAACTATGGAAATATAAACTTATTGATAGAAATAGTCATCTTTATAATAATCATTACAGTTCCACTATGCAAGAACGACTCGGCAGACAATATGCTGTCTTGTAATGAAACAACATCTGAATGTACAGAATCAGAAAGTAGCGAGCAATACTTCGAATGCAATGAAACCGGTTTTATTGAAAAGCTTGATGCTTGTACACTAGAAAATCCACCGATGAAATTTGATATGGACAAAAACTCTAGAGCTTCTTCCGAAGGGAACTCAAATGTCAGAATCGATAGTGACCTGACTAAAGTTGCATTCAAAAGGAGTAGTTCCGTACCAAAACCAGACGATAGAATTCATCAGCTGCCAATAAGAAGGATAAGTTTGGAACATAAAATAGATATAGCTGATGATACTGAACCACCACTGATAATTGACACCCAATCACCTACAGCCAGTATGAACACGATAGCCGAAGTTATACCAGTCGGCCTTCAGCCAAGATTGGAGTTACAGGATTCAATGAATGACTCGCAGGATAGCTCGCCTAACGATCCGCCGACCGAAATTCATATGGTCGACACCAAAGACGTGAAAGCATCCCCAAGCGAAATATCACCACCGCTGTCAGAAGTGAAACAGGAAAGCGAATCACAGAAGCAATCTCCCGAAACGCCAAAAGAAGTTAAAAAGAGCCAAAATCTATCAACGGACTTCGATCTCAGTGAACAGTTACAGAAGATTCTGGGTATAACTTCAGAGAAGACGAGAGTTGATGCCAGTGATAAAAAATCTGAACCCGCCAAGGAAATTAAAATGGCGGATGACACTAACAAGATACCCTTGGTGAAAATAGATTCGCCTGAAACTCAGAAGACCAGGTGAGAGTTTGAAATATAAAATACATAATAAACAGATGACTTCGTATGGTAAGTATTTATAATAGCGTAGCAAAAGTTTTATTTCTATGTATCCCACCTACTAACAACTTATTACTTAAAGAATTTAAGCTTTAGTTAGTATGTATTGTATTCTTCTTAAGTTTAGTTTTACCTATTTACAATGTGGATTAATGCCAATGTAGCTAACATAGTGTTTGCATGTATAAGCAAAACTTACAAGAAAAAAATGGTAACAAAGTTATAGCACCAAAATAAATATTTTAGATTAGGAGCTATAGACATGACGACTCCAAAGAAATCGGTTACAAGCGTGGAAACTGTTGAGAGACATGTGGCATTCGGCTTCAAAGCATCTCTTGTGAGAACACTCGCTAACCTCTGTTGGAAGAACCAAGAAAATAAACGACAGGTTTGTTAGAAATAAAAGTTATTAAAATAAATATGCTATAAGATAAAGCCTAAGGTTAGGCGCGCACTACGGTTTACTGCCGCGTCAAAATTATTAGTTTTAAAATGGATTTAGTAGAAACAACTTGTATTTGCGCTCTGATATTATAATTAGAGCTCGAAGAAAGAAAACACGATTTTGGATTCATCCTCTTATTTGTAATCGTTTAAACAACGGACAGTTATCTAAAATATTTGCCGAACTTAATGATTACCCCGACAAGTTCTTCAAATATTATATAATGCATAAAGAGAGTTTTTACGAACTTTTAAATTTAGTTGGACCTTCTATTTCAAGTGCGCGCAATACAATTTAAAACTGTTTGGTACAGTAATACAGTGCGACATTATGACCCTGCTCTTTTCTGCCGCTCGGCGAAAAACTCGTAGTGCGCGCCTAGCCTAATAGTCTTATAGGGACAGATAATAAATAAATTGTATTGCAATTGCTATTGATGAATAAAAAATATGCTTAATGGATATATTATTTAAAACTTTGTTACAGATGAGGGAACTCGAACTAATACCAGTTCTTTTGGATTGTTGTAACATCGATGCCAGAAATCCACGTATCCTTTTAAAAATGTTTATCAGAATAAAAATTTAAAAAATATAAATTTGGGGTTATGACATACATATAATATTTAAATATACTTTTGATTTTTAAATTGTTTTATAATGAATCCTTATTGTTATACAGTAATAATGCAGTGGGTTATTTTCGCTATTCGCAACTTATGTGAGAACTGTCCGGAAAATCAGGTTTGTATTTTAAAATAGTTGTCACAAATAAATACTATTAAAAAGGCCATTACGATTTATTCTAATTACTAATAAAGCTTTCACAAAAGAGGTTGTAGCTATTTTTTATATGTAACTTACTTTCATTCATTAAAAACTAAAAATATTTACAGGAAGTGATATCGAAGTTGACACTTCAAGGTCCAGTTGATAATGAAGTCCTTCAGGAAATGGGTCTAACTTTGAACACAGACTCACAAGGAAATACAATCAAAATAATGCCCTTGACACGAAACTAAATTAATGATATGTTATTTAATTGATGTAATTTTGCTCTAACTTAAACGTGCATTACAAATATTGAATGCTTTTAAAAATTGTCATCTCAAATTACTGGATATAATTAATAATAATGCTAAAATTCATTTTATTCAATTCATTGAATGTACTACGAATGTATAATCGTGTCTTGTAAGTGCAAAAGACGATATAAATAAAATTATTGTATCAGAAGTATTTTTATTTCCTATTTCAACCTCACAACTTAGTTAAGAGATGAACTGTAAATGAAACACAATTTCATGTTTGTGTATACGACCTTTCATTACAAGGATAAATAAAGTTTTTATATTATGAATAATAAAAAAATCCTATCTGAGTACAAATTCAATTAATTTTGATATATATTATTATTATTTTTTATTATAATTGTTTTCTTTAATCTTTATATTATTTTTAAACCGCATTTCCAAGCTGTCAAAAGTTCCATTTGTCAGAATGACAGGAAATGTTCTCGAATTTGTTATTGTTTAACTCATAATTCATAAGTGTTTAAGGTTGTTCGAAAATGGTGAAAATATCACTACAAATACGTGCTACATTAGAATGTATAGAAAAGCTGTATACCAACCATCCACACTATCAATGGTTCCTAAAATTAAAATGCGGCAACTGCGGCGAAGTGTCGGAGAAATTTCACGATCTCACAGAAGCTGAAAAAGTTCCCCAAAAGCACAATAGATCAGAAACGAATTTGCTTATAAAGTGCAAATTGTGTTCCAGAGAAAACAGCATCGACGTAATTGAAGGGAGCAATGGTATGTTTAATTAATGGTAGTAAAATAAATTGACTAAAACAGTTATCCAATAAAATTACAATAATTTTTATTTCTATATTATAATTTAATACGGATACTTGTATTTATTATATTTATTAGAGTGTTTTATATATTTCCTTTAAATTTTTGTAAAGATACGAAAAATAATATATTTCGTAATTGAAATTAATTCGTATTTTACTTCCCATAGGTGCATTTACAAGTGACGATGTTGGAAAATATAAAACAATTGTAACATTTGACTGTAGAGGAGTTGAACCTGTAGATTTCGAACCCAAATCTGGATGGATTGCAGAAGCAGAAGAAAATGGTATGTGATTAGTATTAAAATAATGAGAAAAATTTAAGAAAAGATTGTTAAAGCTGCTTACCTCTTTTGTTATAAAAAAAAGAGAATAATAAAATGGCATAATGTACTAAAGTTTTTTGTATATATAAATTATAACTATGTATATTAAAGTGACAATTGAGATTAAATCTAGTAATAAAAATTCATAGATAAGCAGAAATTATATTTGTAATCTTTGAAATAGCTTGTTGTAATTGATTTTATGGATACCCAAAAATCTCCTAACCTTATCCTGTATTTAATATATGTACATATATAATGAATATAATATTTTTTAGGTAAAAAGTTTGAAGATGTTGATTTATCGGAAAAGGAATGGGTAGACTATGATGAAAAGAACCAGACATCGGTCGGAGTTTACGAACTAGAGTGGCAGTTTGTGAAAGTTAAGTAAATTTACAATAAATATAAGGAATGATTAATGCATTTACTATTTAAATGCTCTACAAGATTATAATAAATTATGAATTTATATGTTTCTCTTTTGTTTTATTATGTTTCCCGAATAATAATTAAATCATATGTATAAATACATATGTTGAACATATTTGAAATACTTAAATGGATTTTTACATATGTTTTATTTCAATCTCAAAGATAACTAATGGCATAGACTTAAAGGTTTATAAAAAATTACTTGTGCTGATTATGAGAATTATTTAAAATTCTATGACAGTAGCATAGAATACAGATATTTTGTAAGCATTCTCAGTCATATGTACTAATACTACAATAAATAACATTAAAATCTAAGTAAAATATGTAAACTAAGTTAAATATGTAAATTTTCATATGAGGCAACATTCTTCCAATGTCCACATTCACTAAATAAAATATTAGCCTATCTTTCTTCATAAAATTTCCTTACCTGAATATTTCTAAAATTAATGAAATAAACATATAATTGAATCTGACTTTAGATTTCGGTGTTGAGATGAACAAGAAACAAACATTAAATTAGGAAAAGAAAGTGCGAATTATTATCGAAAGTGTATAAGTCACAGTCGACTTGGCGCGCGATATTGCACGTCTTCATATAGAGCCCGCTAAAATATACTTCCTTAACATAAATAAATAATTTAAATTATACAAAGTTACACACAATACACTTCATATAATGCAATCATTTACTTTGATTGTACTCGCAAAGAATGTTCTAGTTCGTTTGATTAATTATGCTACTATATTATTGGCTATGAAGTGTATCTTTACCGTTCTTACAATTTGCAGCTATATTTTGCTAATAAAACTCATCTACGATAACAATACTATGCATCTAGTATATAATGTTTAAATATTATTTGGTATAAAAATCAAAAATCAATTATTACTCACAATATATCACAGCATCACATTTATTTCCATCGGATTTTGATACACTCACAATAAATAATAATCGTTATACGTTGGTGGCTGGTTCCGGCGTGGTAAGAGTGTCTGATCTCGATTTGAAGCCGTTGTAGCCAGTGTTTCCGTGGACGGTCACCGTGTGGCTACTCGGAGTACTGGACACTTCGCCCCCAGAACGACTTATGTCCTCCTCCTCCCCATAGTAGGGACTCTCAGATGTGTCTCCGTATATATTCTGTTCCACGCCTTCCATCTGAAAAGGTCGGTGGATATACACAGGCACCTCTATGGGAACTTGAACGGGCACTTTGACGGGAACCTGGACGGGATAGGGAACTTTGACCGGATATGGAACCTTCTTCTCGACGGGATAGGGTTTTGGAACGTAGATGGGAACCCTCTTCTCGACTTCCACTCTTTGTGGCACTAACACTTCTACTGGCACAGGGATTTTCTTTTCTACCTTTATCGGGAATGGAACTCGTTTTTCGATCGTTATGGGAATCGGTTGAGGTACTTTGACGGGGTAGGGCTGGAGTATAGGTACTTTGACGTGCACGTGTTTAATGACTTCGAAGGGTTCTTTTACTTTTATTTCTACGGGATAGGGAATTTTCTTTTCGACAGTGATCGGTTGTGGAACGAAGACTTTGTAGGGCACCGGATATGGTATTCTTTTTTCTATCTGTACCGGAACGGGAATTTGTTTCTCAACTGTGTAGGGAACTTGGACGGGATATGGGACCTTCTTTTCCACTTGAACGGGCACGGGATGAGGAACTTTGACTGGGACGTGTCTCACAACCGGGACATGTTGGACTACGGGATAGGGTCGCGGGACGTATTCCTTTTGTACAACTTTGTACGGAACCTTAACGTGAACGGGGTACGGAACTTTTTTTTCTACGGTTACCGGGTAAGGTCTGTCCACGACTTTGACTTTCTCCACGGGCACGGGTACGGGAACCTTCTTTTCTACTGGGTATGGTTTTGGCACTTCTACTTTATACGGTACCTTGACGGGTTTCTCCACGGTTTTAACGTATCGGTGGTGATGGTGATGGTGGTGGTGCTTGACCTTCGTGATCACTTTCTGTGGCTCGATTTGGTTTTGCTCCGTTTGAAGATCGTCGTAGCTGAGCTGCGGCTGAGATATTTGCTGATGAAGCTTTGCCGTTTTTGGGTAATGATACGGTGTAACTTGTGGTTGCTTCTTCCGAAACAATATGATCCTGTTGTTAGTAAAACTGGACGCAGCGGCTTGGAGTGGTTGGTTCATAGGAATTAAGCCGTAATGTAAATTTAAAGCCTGTTTGTGATTGGCCGGATACTGTTCAGTTTCGAAATAAGAGTCTGAGCGTTTGCTGATAGGGGTTAGCGATGGCCTCCTTAATTTTGCATAATGCGACGGCACGATGGGCACCCAGTCGTTTGAAGGTAACGATTGGAAAGAGAGTGGGGTTGTTGACTTGATTTTTGATGTTCTAGTAACCCTTCGATAAACTCGCGGCGTAGGCTTCACAGTTGTCGTAGATGAAGGCCTCTCAGTCGAAACATATCTCAAACGCACTCTACTTGCTACGGAGGTCAAATCATTGTTGTCATCTGTGTTATTCGTTAGTTTCTCCGATGAAAAAGTTGCGTTAGATGACGTCGATGTCGAATTAAGCTTGTCCAGAATCCGTTTCGGCCATATCCTTTTCGTACGTAGAATTTTCGTTGTAGTCGTTGGTGGTGTAGTGGTCGTTGTGATGTTTTGCTGCGGTGGTTTAACGAAATCTGTTCTAATGCCATTGATAGTTTGTACTGGAATACTGAATTTTGGGTTCGGTCCTGCTAATCGTGGTGTATTTGAAGACGCTGCGAATATGATCGGCTGTCTTGGCTGAAGATTTGGTCTGTTATAGAATAAGTTTCCTCGCTGTACCGGAATCACTCCAGGGTATTTGTATAATGACTTGGAGTATTTGAGATCTTTATTGTATACGTTAATTTGCTTTGGCTGAAGCTGCTGTGGAATGTAGTAGTGATGCTTGACGTCTATAAACACGTTTCTATCAGGTATAAGTCTCTTGTCTGGTGGTTTTTGTATTGGTTTACCAGGTTGTCGTAAGTCAGTTATGTTAGTAGTAATATTAAGGTTGCTCGTTGTTACTATTGGTTGTATTTCCGTAGTATATGTTTCCTGAGTAACGTTTAAAGTCACAGCTGTATTAGTTTCGTCCGCCACTTGGTCAACGATGGTAACATTTTGAGCGTTCACGACTATCGCTAACGCTATGATGAGAAATACCGCCTGAAAATAAAAATAATACTCTATTAAATATACATACATAATGAGCTCTGATTATAGCATACATAGTTAGAATAGATTCTGTTGATAAATTTCCTTCAATGGTTTTTGTCGCTACTGGCGTCGTTGCATGAACGAGTGTCTCACGCAAACTAGTTGTTTTTTTTTTTGGAGTATATCAATATTTTTTATTGAATAAATCGATAGTGACAGTAAAAATAGAAAAAAATAAAATATACATGAATTTTCGAGATCGTTGGAAATTACTTTCACTGCACTAATTATGGATAATGAGTAAAGTGGTTATTATGGAAGCGTTTTACGATAATAGATTTCAAACAAATTATTGTAATGATACTTTTATATTTTTAAAGTATTATATATTAGATTTTTTTATAACATTACAATCTATATATTTCAATTTGATTTATTTGATCTGAGGCTTAATCTTAAAAGACACGTTCTTCGATATTTACAAAACCGACTTTCTTTATATTATGTCACTAATAATTAAAAAACCAACTAATGATTTCGATAGTTTAGTCTCATATGTATAAAACAATTTTAAATCTGTTTTAAGCCAGGAACGAGGAACCAGTATCAATTCATCGTTTAACACAACACAAGTCACAAAACACAACACTAAATAATCCAAGAAGATTCACTTTTCACTTTCACTTCCATCATCCCAATTTCCCGCCTTAATTTTATAACATAGTGATGTACCTACCGATAATTGTTGCATAGTGCGCAGCGACACTCGATTTCAGACATGAAACTCAATGATATGTGTAAGGAAGCGTTACACGCTTATATAGCTATTGTGGCTTAAAAACTTTCGCTACAATTGCTATTTCTTATAGAGTTCATCCCTTATTATAATTTAAAAAAAATTACTATTTTTATTATTTATATTAAATTTTATATATAGTTTCGATCTAAAACCCGATATAAATACAGTTATACATTTTCCATTATTTACTTTGTCGTTGTCATTATTATAACAACACAATTAATTCAATATCATAATTAAAGACAATTATAAACATTATAAATAACTTACAAAAACAAGATATTAGTTTTATTTTGCAAAAAATATCTATATAGGTAACTGTGATTTTTCGAATCTATACCTGAAGCCTTTTTATTGATATTTTAAAAATATGTAGCAGTGTTTATTGGATCCAATTATTTCATTATTCAATTAAAAGATAAAAAAGTTAAAAGACTGATAATAATATGATAATAAGAACAAAACTTATTTCTGTTTATGATTTAATGATGAAATTAAATATTATCAATTTGTAAGGAAACATTGATAACGCCAAAGCTGGTATAGCATAAATAAAAAAAATGGCACTAAGACTGCTTTTGAAATATATGAGCATTTTCAAAATGGGAGAAGGTCAGTCTTAACATACAGTTAATTATTTTACTTGTTAATGTGATTATATTTCTAAACTGTTATATAATAAGGTACTTTGTTAATATGGCGCTCTATAGCCGGTTAGAAAAAATACTTCCTTTTCCGTTCTTCCGCAACTAATTATAATAACAGATTTTCTTGACGTAATGATGTTTACAAAACACGCGAACTTGGTACTGAATCAAAGACACGAAAATATAATTTTCATTCTACTATTTATTTAACAGACAATCAGATAAAACTAAGTTTTTCGTTATTTCAATTCAAAATTCTTTTACTGGTATTTAGATACGTCACGTAAGAAAGGATTCATTTGATCTAAAAATTAAGCACGAATTTTTAAAAGTAAATGCAAAGATATATCAGACCTTACGATACATTATTAGAATTGATTACTAACTTGACGTTAACGCGTATTTAAATTTTCAGAATCATTTATTTAATTATTATTAGTAATCCAACGTTTTTATAAATTAATGACGTTTCAATTAAATTGGTTATGTATCTTTACATATATGATATAAGGTGTCGAAATAAAACAAACAACTATGAATAATATGTTACTGTATTTCTTTTAATATTTTAAGTCTATATTTATCATCGGGGAATCTCATTTTAATAATGAGTCTTATTTCCTCGCAGGCGAAGCTCTGTGACATATCTATGTCTGTGATCCAAAGCTCAGCTATCTCTAGCAACTGAGCTTTTAAAAGTTGGGGCATCTTTACAAATTTGTTCCAGATATTGATCTTATTCTCGAGTTTGATCGGTTCCTGTAGAAAAGCATAAGTTTATAAGCAAATATATTCCGAAAATATAAATAATATTAAGTAGGTTATAAGTGACATACATATATTATTTTAATGATTAAATTTAGTAATAATTTCTTAGTTTAATATGTAGTGAAATTTAATTTTACACTATGATTGATTCCAAAAAATCACGTTTAGTAGCAATTATGAGATTAAAATTAAAAACACGATATACTTATATAGAATAATATACGTAAAAATTTTTATCTTAATGATTGCAATTCAAAGAAATTTCACAAAACAAAATATTTTTCATCAAATCTCACCCTAATTTCAATAACTGCTTACTTTCGTTAATAAAACTCAATGAAATACTAAAATTTTTGCTACAAAAACTAATAAAACTACAAGGCAAAACTATTATTACCTCAAACAATGTATATACATCGGAGATGGTATCTTCAAACCGAACAGCCAGCATATAAACGAGATCTTCACAAATAGGTTTTGTATTAGCAAATAGTCTGTCTAGCATAGCTTGACACATAACTTGTATTAAAGTACATATAGATAGTTCATACATTTTCATCGGCAGTACATTATACCAAGAACTCTGTAATTCTCTCATTAATGTTAGCGAATAGTTTACAGCGCTGTCTAATACTTCAAATGACTCGTGTGTCCATGGCAAACCTGAAATCATTGACAGTTTGTGAAAATAGTTAAAACTTAAAGTATGAAACATATAAATAATATAGAATGTAGAATTAATGAATAGATTTAATAATAGAGAAAAGACAAACTTTACGAATATCAAAAATAATTTTCAATATACAGGGTGACAGGTGAATTACTATCAATACTTGAGGACGTGATATTTGACGATCATATATGACAAAATAAAAATTAATATAACATAAATATTAATAAACTTCTAAGTAAAGTTAACCAAAAGTTATGTAATTAATTACGCATCGTGTGAACACCCTACAGATTAGGTATACACTCACACTCACACATACGCGAGCGGGGCGTGGTGTTGTATCAGCACGCCGCCGCACGCGTCCACACTTGGAACACTTGGAACGTGTACACACTTTATTTATTTATACGGAAATTTTGTCAAACATTAAGTGCCTATTTTTTTTACATCATTCGAATGAGAATCATGTACCGAGTATTCTCCTTAAATATTGATAGTAATTCACCAGTCACCCTGTATACATACATATAATGAAATTCATAATAATACTATAAAATATTTCTTTTTAGTTTATATACAGGGTGACTGGTGAATTACTATCGATACTTGAGGACGTGATATTTGACGATCATATATGACAAAATAAAAATTAATATAACATAAATATTAATAAACTTCTAAGTAAAGTTAACCAAAAGTTATGTAATTAATTACGCATCGTGTGAACACCCTACAGAAAGGTATACACACACACACACACACACGCGTGCGGCGGCGTGATGTTGTGTCAGCACGCCGCCGCACGCGTTCACACTTGGAAGACTTGGAACGTGTCCACACTTTATTTATTTATACAGAAATTTTGTCAAAAATTAAGTGCCTACTTTTTTTAACATAATTCGAATGAGAATCATGTACCGAGTATTCTCCTTAAATATTGATAGTAATTCACCAGTCACCCTGTATACCAATTTTGATAACGTTATTTGTTATATAAAGTAACAAATTAAATTGTTTAACTTACAATTTGATACAAAATGTACAGAAAAAAAAACATTTATTACCATTTTCCTCAATTTTCTGTATAATAACATTTTTCTGATGCTGCAAATATAATGATATTTTCTCCAAGCCCACAACTCTCAAGTCTTGTATACATTCTATAAGCATTGATGTTAGTAAATCAGCGAGTGGTGTCGGCAATGAGTTTTGCCACGGAGGTCCCAGTAAGCTATGAGCCAGGTAGAAGCAGTTATTGAAGAATAATGCTGTCAAAAAATAATTAAAATAGTTATAATCATAATGATATGAAAGGCTTTCGTAAGTATTCATTTAAATGGAAATAATATCTTCAGATTACTACATTATTTTATATTTTTAACTACATACTCTCGATGTTTTGGTTAATTTGCAGCAATCATAATTATAGGCATGTGAGATGAGAAAATAACTAAATAAGTTATAGTAATCCTAAAGTATTACCTTCCGTTACTTATAATAACGTAAAAAAACTGTTGCAAATAATGTGTTTTAATTATTAGACTTAATTTTCCTATATGTACATATTTCTCGTTCTTACCAATATCCAAGGGACAACATTCCAAGTTTACTTTGAACTTTTTGGGTACAATACATTGATACATCACAGCTATATCCTTTATGTACATGACTAATTGATTTCTATATTTCTCAGGAAGTTTCACACTTTCATCCAAATGTTCTATTATTATGGACATGATTTTCTTTACATTCTGTGATATAACACACCTTGGTAGAAACAGGGGATTACTGAGTGTATATACGACCTCCTTTTGTGTAATATCTAATATTGAATCATTTTCCATTTCAACGGCACTTCCAACGACTAACGTGCCAAATGAGAGGCTCTCGCTCAGTAAGTTACGAATATCACAGAGAAGTTTATCACATTTCTTATTATATAAGACACATTCTGTATCATTAATATATTTATATAACGGAGAATTGTTAGTGGTAACAAATTTTAAATCAATTAAAAACTTGTTAAATGAATCCAGTTCAGTTACAATGTTTTTGTAATTTTCATAACTGCTGTCACAGGACGGCAGATTATTTCTAATGCAATCTTCTATTATTTTGTTAAAGAACCTATCGCTTGTTGAGTCCGAGAACACCTCTATAAATGTTTTATCAGCCTCGAATTGGGAACCCAAAGTGGATTGTAGGAATTCAAATATAGCAGTCAGATTATTAAAGATAGTTTGAAAATTTGGTTTGTTTTTGTCGTTCAAATCAATTTTAATATTAAAAACCAAAGCTCCAATATGATCTTCGGTGAATATTTCACAATTGTGTCTTATTACATTGTGCAATAGCTGATCTATAAAGAAGTGAGAAAATAGACTGAGTTCTGCATGTATTCTGTCGGTAACATATAGTGATTTGAGAATCTTTTGAATAAGGCTAGGATCATTTTGCTGTACTGATAGGGAGTATGTAAGGAAATTCATACCCTTTTTTTCTGACCAACTGAATATGTCTTCCCACTCAATGCTTAATTGAGCTGTGTAGAGTGACATTTGATTCTCCGCCTGAGCATTTAGAGAAGATAGAGCCTTTAAACCGTTACCCTCGAATTCTAGATCGCGTATTTTATTTTGTAGCTCTTTAACACACAACATAGCATCAATGTAGTTGTATCTACCAAACTCGTGGTCCGCCTTATCAAGTACAGCTTTACCTTCAGCTACATGACAAAGATCATGAAACTTACTGAGCGATTTCTCGAGTTTATCATATTCAATCATGAATTCCTGTAAAGTAACATCATCGAACTTTTCTTGAAGCGCCTTCGTTTCTTCTCGCAATTCAGAATAGTCAGCTATTATATTTGCTTTGCGGTTCTTATAATTAAGTTGTTCTAAACTTTTTGTTGGTGTATAGTTGTAATATGTGTCAATAAAGTTTTGATGTAGAGACCATGATAACATTTGAACTCTTTCCGTTATATCTTTTAATTTTGGAACTAGCTCATCACGACGGTTTTTAAAGTCTTCAGCTGATGCTTTACCAGCTTCCTCTAATACTGCACTGATTAAACTCATTGTAAATCTATATAATCTTATTTATTTTTAAAAAGCTTACGTTATTTGTAACTTATGAAGACCACCAGTATTTAAATTTGAATTTACAACTTGCATAACGTCAAATTTGACACAATAACGTTCGGGATTTTGTCAAGGTTTTTTGTCATTATATTATTGACAAATAATTTTAATTAATAGTCATCTTTTAAAATATCCTAAATTTCATAATTAAAAACTTTTACTATGAAATGTGTCACGTGATAGCAAAAAGGGGTACTTTTTATTAGAATAACGATAGATTTAAGAAAAAAAGTTAACCATGCAGTTAACTAATGTAAACTAGGAGTTGGTTGCTAGGGTTTGTTAAATCTTTATAGCGAATACGAAGGACAAAATATAGGGACGACTGTTAGGCAGACCCTCTGATTACTCCTAGTTTCACAGGAATAAGCAATGAACGAAAACGAAATAGACAACTTGAAAAATGAATTGGAACATGAAAAAACATGCAGGTAGGCAAAATGAATTAACAATATGGAACTTTTAGATAAGTTCATTTCAAATAATTGTAAAATTTTTAATATTTTTTTTTTACTAATTAAGAGAGTCAGCTGTATGGCAAAATGGAGAATTGGAAAAACAAATAGTATCTATTCAAGAAGATTTAAGAAAAACTGATTATCCGTGGGATGGTGATGGTGATTTACAAAAAGAAAGTTATAAACATAAACAATTATTGGAAGCTATCGATATATTGAAGCAGCAACTGCCACTATTGAAAGAAAAAATTAGGGGCGCAAAAATTTGTGGTCCAGGTGTGCAAAATTTTGGCAATGACAAAAATTATATGGAGAATAGTATTTTTAATATAAATTTTATTTTTCAGATTGTAAATTGAAACATGATGATCTAAACATAAATCTGGATATATTGACTCCAGTAAGTATTTCGTTCCTACAAATTATCATCAAAAATATGAAGTTTTACTTATCCTTTTTCAAATCTTTTAATGTTTTAACCTTCTTACTAATTTTTATATTTAATATGTTATGATTGGAAAATTTCAAATGATGGAGGCTTATGTTAAATTCCATACATTTAGACTTAATTTATATGAATATGTATAGTATATAAATCAAATTAATGACTTATCCAAATTGTCCAGAAGTCTATTCAAACCTGATCGGAACGGAAAAAGTATACAATTCTAATCCCTTGATAACTTCAATACAACAAAATATGGATTTACTTTTATTTATTTCGGCCTTATATTTTTATCCTTTATTTTGGTTTGAGTATAAACTTAGCAACTAATAATCAATATGATCATCTTTAGGCAGAATTACTGCGCACTGTTAAGCGTTTTGACAGACTTAAAACGGACTTAATCAGTACTCTACGTAGCAAAGAATGGCGTTTGGACTCGGAATCAAAGGTATAGAAAGCTTTTGCTGGTAGAAAGTACATATATTTTGTTTCATTTAAATAATAATTAACATAAATTTGTTTCCTGTCTATTCGGTTTCTAGCTCTTCGTTAGAGTTAACGACCAGAGGACATATCTACAAAATGAATTGATGATATGTCATAATAATATAATGCGCCTGCAGAAAAATGGAAATTATTGGCAGTAAGTGTCTATTTATTAAAAAAAAGAAATTCGTTCGTCGTATATAAAAATATAATGTTTTATTTTCAGACATGTCCCGCGCAAAAATGACGAGAGAGTCATAGATCCCAAACGGGGACCGATAAAGAAAATATTTGGTAACGAACGACTTCCGCCTATAGTTACTTAAAGTTTAAAATTAGCTTTTGTTTCAACTTCAATATTGAAACACTAGTTTTAAAGTTGTAGAAAATTACTTAGTTAAGTAACGTATTTTTGTTTATAATGTTGACATACGTTTTGCTGGTAATGTATAATGTTGCCATAAATTTTTGATTGAATAGTTGTAAATGCATAACACTGTATAATTTTTTGTTCGTATAACACTTAGACATAGAAAAATTACATTGTTTTCTTGTAAATTTAAAATTGTATTTTAATCCCTCTAAGATAAAGTAGAAATTGTATCGAATGGTGTTATTGCTCAAAGATAATTTCATTGGTGCCTAGATTAAAGCAAATACAATTCACTTATTCAATAAGAAATGAGTTCTCACAATTATATTAACTAATAATAATTACAAATGTGTTGTAGAAAGGTAAGGTTGTAATTGAATAAGAAAATATAGATGGCATATACCCAATGTAAAAAGCTTTTTATTTAATTAATTTAAATGAAACATTATTTATAATATTTTTCCATTTAATTGTTTATTTATAAATATTTGTAAAAAGTTTTAGTGTCTTCATAATCGTCGTATTGAATGGGCTCGTGCTGTAAAGACGCTGGAAATAAAAGGTTTGAAATTAAGTCTAGAAAATACAAAAATATACCTCCATTAATTGACCTAGCTCAAAACATTATCTAACAACGATCTGATAAAACTGACCATCACTGTGTGCTTAGTCCGAGTTGGCATCGTCACTACATACGGAGCGTTAACAGTTTTTTATTCAAAAATCACTGCATATTACAGTATTAATGGAGGTTACGAAATGAGAAACGGAAAACGTTACGTATGTAGTGTGAACTTGTATTAAGAATATGTTTCAAGTTTTTTTAATAACTAATTTATATTGACGTAAATTCGTAAACTAATAACTATGACTGTTTTGTAGAAACATAATTTTAAGGACACAGAACATGAAGATGTTGTTACAATACTGCTTTTATTTGAATTTAAATTCAAATTCAATTAGAATGAAAAATACACCAACACGAGTAAGATTGAACCTGTGACTGTCAAGACTTAAAATGCTATGCAGTAGCTTAACCGCGGCAGTCTTTTTTTCAATTTGTGTTCCGTTTTATAACTGTCTTATACAGGGTGACTGGTGAATTACTATCAATATTTAAGGAGCATACTCGGTACATGATTCTCATTCGAATTATGTTAAAAAAAATAGGTACTTAATTTTTGACCAAATTTCCGTAAAAATAAATAAAGTGTGTACACGTTCCCAGTGTTCCAAGTGTGACGCGTGCGGTGGCGTGCTGATACAACACTACGCCGCCGCCGCGTCTGTGTGTGTGTGTCTGTATACCTAATCTGTAGGGTGTTCATACGATGCGTAATTAATTACATAACTTTTGGTTAACTTTACTTAGAAGTTTATTAATATTTATGTTATATTAATTTTTATTTTGTCATATATCATCGTCAAATATCACGTCCTCAAATATCGATAGTAATTCACCAGTCACCCTGTATTTATCTAGCTTTCCGCCCGCAGCTTCGCCCGCGTGGAGTTTGGTTATATCGCGTTTCCACGAGAACCTTTCAAGAGTCTGGGATAAAAACTATCCTATGTTCTTTCTCAAGGTCAACTCTATGTCTGTACCAAATTTCATTAAAATCAATTCCACTGAATTAGTTAGTAGTTTAGGCGTGAAAGCGTAACAGACAGACAGACAGACAGAGTTACTTTTAATAATTTATACTATTAGTAGGGATGGTACATTATGAGTAAGTATTTGTTTGTCTGCTATCTTGTCTTGAGATTTTGTCTTTGAAAAAAATACGCACACATTAAAATACATCTGTGTGTGTGTGTGTGTGTGTGTGTATACTCACGCATGACACACCGCCGCCTGTCTCGATGTAGCCTGAGCGGCGCGGGACACGCGCACACGTACCCGCCGGCCGTATTCACACACGCGTACTCACACTCGTGAACATCCTGAGTGCACTCGTTCACGTCTAATATGAAATAAACATACTGGCATTACTATACAGATTCATTAATAAATTATTACATTATAGCATGGTTGGAATATATAAGTGTTAATATTTAACTATATGGAACAAGTTGAACTGACATGATTGTCAATGTTTCTAGAATTGTTATTAATTTAATTTAAAATGCTTTATTGCACGACACATGGAAAAAAAGGGGAAATACAAATCATAAAATAAGTACATGGTGCGCAAAGGCTGTCTTATCGCTTATAGTTATCTCTCACAGACAACCTTTGGTGATAGGAGCTTGGAACGAAAACAGGTATTGTTTAAGGATCTTTGTGTGTAAATGTCTTTTTTTTTACTTCATGTGTGTGTGTGCGCGCGTGCGTGTGTGTGTGTCTCCTCACCTATACACCGTTGTCCAGGTCCCAGCGAGGTGTATCCATTCTCACAGGTGCAGGAGTATCCTCGACGCGTGTTCACACACACTTGGGTCGAGTGACATACGCTACTTGATGTCACACACTCGTCTACATCTAGAAGTATGATAAATCAAACATATTATACTGATTTAATATAATATAACTATGGGTTTCAAGACAGACCCTGGCGAAAGCTGGGAAATTGCCAGGTAAAAGAAGAAGAACTATGGGTTTCAGTATACTCTGAATGAGATATTATGTGTCTAAGAATTATTCTTGCAATGTGGAGTTGCGTTGTTTATAATAAGAAACTTAACTAACTAGCATCACGAGTATGAAACCCTAATGCATATAAAAAAGTAACCCTAAACTAATATAGTTATGTATTTTAGTTTTATATATTGATCATTATTGTTAATTATAATTATTGAGTAAGCTTTAAACTTGATTTATTTTAACAATGTAACGACTTTATAAAATCCATTACAATTTACAACGTTTCACACTTTATTATATTATTAAACAAATAAATTCAGAAAGTTTAGAAAATTTATAAATTAATCGATATTAGTAAATAGGAAAGAATATAACAGAACTAATATTGTTAGTGTAGTATATTTGAACTACCTTCACATTTGTTGTTATCAGCATCAAACCAGTCCCCTGGCTCGCAAGGGCCTCTCTGACTACCCTCAAGAGAAGCTGTAACCTTCACCTCATACACGGGAGCTGCTATAAACACATTATAAATATAATACAAAGATTTATGAATCAATACAACTGATATTAAAATAACTTGTAAGTAAGGATGTTTGTTGATGATTCACGCAGTAAATTGGTAAAGAATTTTGTTGAAACTTTAAAATTATATAGTTTAGAAATCCGAATAAATCATGAGCTACAAAACTCTTTAATGTTATTAGCGTCTTGGAATATATTGAAAATTAATCATTAATATATAGATAAATTATAGATTGCTTAACAAATATATCTTGATCTTTTATTCTTTATAAATTGTTTGTTTAAATATACTTCTTTTACCTGAAATAGGTTTCTTCTTTACTGGTCTTGATAACTTTGGTTTTGTTATATCTTTAATCTCCGGTTGTAGTTCAAATGTCGCTTCAGGAATGTAATCTGGAATCTTTGATTGAGAGTATTAAATTATGTTTTTAAAGAAATTGTGATATTAAATTGTTTGTAAATTTTTCTTACAATTTCGTCTTCCTTAAGGTCATCTTCGATAGTATAATGTAAGCGATTTGTCTCACACTTTGCAACACCCGGACATTTTCGAACCTGCAATATTATTTAAAGTAAGTTAGATTTCATTTAAAACAATGTTTGGTCTTACTACGTAATTAAGATATACGCAAAAAAAATACTTAGGTATATGTTACAAGTCTCAAAGTTTAGGTCCAAACAAAAAAATACCCTTGGTTGGCAAAATTTTAACATTTTCATTTTACTGTAAGATATCATGTAATATATAATATACTAATTCTTGACTGCGTCTTCTTGAACGTTGTATTTTAATTTAGGCTCAGAGAGAAAAGTATAAAGTAGGTAAAACAATGAATATGACAAGCAACAGTCAGCGTCATCTATAATGTGTGTCACGTGACTTCATATACAATACAACTGTCATGGATTGATCCTGAAGTAACTATAGGAATGAAGAGACGAATCATATCCTATGTCCTACTCCAATATCAAAGCTACATTAATATAAAATTATACCAGAATCGTTCAAACGGTTTCCGCGTTTAAGTGCAACAAACATTCATACATTGTTAATAAGTTTCACTATTAGTATGTAAATACCTGCACGTGATCTCCGTCACAGTGTTCTTGTAGACATGTTCTGGTCCGGAGCTGGACGGCTGGGTCACAGGACGAGGAACAAGCAGACCACGACGACCAGCGAGACCATATAGGATTTGGAGACTGGTGGTAAGACTCATATTAGACTCTTGTGTGTAAGAAAACTTTGGAGACTGGTGATAGGCTCCGATATTAGACTCTTGTGTATATGAAAACTTTGGAGACTGGTGATAGTCTCCGATATTAGACTCTTGTGTGTATGAAAACTTTGGAGACTGGTGATAGGCTCCGATATTAGACTCTTGTGTATATGATAACTTTGGAGACTGGTGATAGTCTCCGATATTAGACTCTTGTGTGTAAGAAAACTTTGGAGACTGGTGATAGGCTCCGATATTAGACTCTTGTGTATATGAAAACTTTGGAGACTGGTGATAGGCTCCGATATTAGACTCTTGTGTATATGAAAACTTTGGAGACTGGTGAAAGGCTCCGATATTAGACTCTTGTGTATATGAAAACTTTGGAGACTAGTGGTAGGACTCACATATTAGACTCTTATGTGTATGAAAACTTTGGAGACTGTTGGTAACGCCCGATATTAGACTCTTATGAGTATGAAAACTTTCGAGACTATTGGTAGGGCTCTTATCTATAAAAACTTCGATCAAACTATCAATTGGATAGTTTATTGTTTAAAAGCTTCCGATCATTTAGTCCACTTAAGTATTGATTTAATGAATGAGATCTAAGACTCGAAAGTATTGATATAAATGAAACTAATATTTTCAGATTGCTAGGCGTAATTTTATTATTTTAAACTATATACCCCCGACGTATCGGTTGCTTTGCAGCAACCATAATCACAGTTTTTATAACAATAAATATACGTGTAGTAATCTCAAAATATTAGTTTGTTTTCAACAGATTTTAATGCAAATTTTATTGAGTCTTATTCGTATGATTTTGGTAACCAAATTCTTGTGTTATTATGTAATATTCAATATATTTGCATCATTAAATCGACCTCACCTCGCACGGCGGCATGTGACACTTCCTCCTGTCAATGCTTCCACCCTTGCATGAAGACTCGTCTATGAGAACATTTTCTGGCTTATTATTTCTATCTGTAATATACAATTTATATACTATTAATATTATTAATTTCTTCTACTCCTCACTTAGTATTTCTTTTGATGAACGAAAAAGGCAGTTTGAAAGAATATCTAAAACAAGATTTTCGGCTGCGCAAATTTTAATGAAACAGTTTCTTTAGGCATGTTTTATATTTAACAATTATATTGCAGCGATTTTGATTACGACAAATCGAAATAAAAGTGTGAAACATTTTCAGTAAAATGAGAAGAATATTGTTTTACTCCAATTTGGAGAAGCTGAAATTGCTAATATTTTATGTAAATATAAATATGTATATTAACCGATGGTATTGTTATGATCGTCTATGTATTGGCATCTTCTATCCCGCCGCTGGTAGCCCATGCCGCACGTCACGTTACAGTAACTCCACGGCGACCAAGAACTCCACTTACCGGGCGCTAAGAGAAATTAGCATGTCATCCAAAAATACTTATTAAAATAACTGAACAGTTTAACAACCACATTTATATATGTGGTAAAATATTTGTCAATAAGTTCTATTTGTTGTTGGGATTCATTGTATTTTGTAAACATAAGCATTCTTTAAAATATTTGTAAAAAAAATTGACAGAAATTCAGAAAATAGTAGATTTCAGAGATAATTTGAATTGCTGAAGTTTTAGTAAGATTATTTCATTTAACAAATGATAAATCTTGTTCCAGAATTAAACTTCCACATAATAAACACTTTACCAAAGAAAATTATGTATAGAATTTTTAATCCATCGATTCAAATAAGGCTTATAGCTTAGATCGCAAAACAACTGTAATGCTTTGTTCCTAGTTTTGAATACGGCTTGTATATTTGAATTTTAGTTGAGGCACAGATATATAATATTGCTTCTATGAATAAAATATCTTACCTTTGATGTTGACGGTGTACCGACGATGTGCGACGCCCGCGTCGTTTTCTGCTACACAACTATAGGAGCCCGAGTGACGCAGGGCGGAGTACCACACACACGCTACGCTGGTACGAGATAAAGACTGGACGCTAGCTAGCGGTGGACCCAGGGGTTGAACGTCCTAGTATTAGGTATTTGGGGTAGGTTTATAAATATAATTGAATCACCCATTGATTCACATTGAATCACCCATTGATTCACATTGAATCACCCATTGATTCACATTGAATCACCCATTGATTCACATTGAATCACCCAAGTATTTCTATTTGGGAAACAGGAAACGGAATCTATAAGTGTCCAAAAAAACGGTTCGGTAATGAAACGTTGAGCTCGCTCCACTCAACTTGCGCCTCGTAGTAAATCTTCTCTCATGATATAAGCGTTAATGAATTAAAACCGGAAAAGCGTTCATATTACACAATTTTAATTACAAATAATATAGCTTTATTGCTAAATATTTTTTCCAAAAACAGATTCTTATACAGGACAGTGTCATAATATGTCTAGAAATAAATAAATAGTGCAACAGCAGTGTAGTATCGATTTTTTTTTTATACTGAAATAAAGGTTTGCAAAAAAAATTATGTGCCACATCTGTTATCAATAAAACGAAACTACTATATACGTATTTTTGCGGGTATTAGGAACTATAAATGAATGTATGTTTGTGTGTGTGTGTGTGTGTGTGTGTATTATAGTCAAATTATACTATAAAAACCTTAAACCACGTGATCTTAGGTTCAGGTACGCCATCAACTTCACATTTCAAGATGATACTTCTACCAAGTGCTACTACAACTTGTGAGTCATTCCCGGCTATCGTAGGAGCTGTCTGTACTGTGACCTCGTGAAGCAGCTCGGAGGTACCAACACTGTTTGTGGATATACAGGTGTATAGACCGGAGTCTGATGTATCGATGTTTGGGAAATGCTGAAATTATGATTGTACCCTCAATATCGTATTACAAAGTTAGTAAAATAAAGACATGTTTATGTATACTTAATATGAAGCATAACCACAAGTTCCCATGATATATACGAAGCATGATAAGTTTTAAATAAAAAATTGGAAAGGCATTATATTATGTACTGTAGCGATACAAAACATATTATCAATAAAAATATATGGAGTAAGAATATATTAAGTATTAAATTAAAAGAGTCTTTTGTTCGTACAAACTATAATAAATTATGTTACATGTTAAAATATTCATTATATAAATATACACAAATAGATAAACAACTTGTCCTTTATACTGGGTGGCGCAAAAGTAAAGACCCTATTTGGTTCAGCTATAACATTTTTTCTAAATGAGAAAACTAGATTTAGGTTTTTTTAAATGTATATTTGTGCCATTAAATTTCGTACCATTAGGATTTAAAGATGATATCTTTTAAATGGTGACCTCCAGAGTTGATACACATTTGAGCCCTATTTATGACATTTTGCATAACTTGCCGTAACACTTCCTGCGATATGTTCGTTATTTCTTGACGAATGTTTTCTTTTAGAGCTGCGAGAGTCTGTGGCTTGTTCACATACACCCGAGATTTCAAAAAACCCCAAAGAAAGAAGTCTGGACTGGTCAAATCGGGTGATCTTGCAGGCCAAGGCAAATCGCCAAAACGAGAGATAACTCGGCCTGGAAAAGCGTCCCTCACTAAGTCCATAGTGTCGCGCGCTGTGTGTGCCGTAGCGCCGTCTTGTTGAAACCAGATGTGCTCCAGCCCCAATTCGTCCAAACTGGGTATCAAAAACTCACGTAACATGGTTCTGTAGCGTTCTCCAGTGACAGTTATCGCATTGCCTCCAGCGTCTTCGAAAAAATAGGGTCCGATCACTCTGTCAACACAGATGCCACACCATACAGTAACTTTTAGTGGGTGTAGAGGTGTATTTGTTTTTTGAAATCTCGGGTGTATGTGAACAAGCCACAGACTCTCGCAGCTCTAAAAGAAAACATTCGTCAAGAAATAACGAACATATCGCAGGAAGTGTTACGGCAAGTTATGCAAAATGTCATAAATAGGGCTCAAATGTGTATCAACTCTGGAGGTCACCATTTAAAAGACATCATCTTTAAATCCTAATGGTACGAAAGTTAATGGCACAAATATACATTTAAAAAAACCTAAATCTAGTTTTCTCATTAAGAAAAAATGTTATAGCTGAACCAAATAGGGTCTTTACTTTTGCGCCACCCAGTATATGTAACGTTGAAAGCACTTACTAAAGTAGAATTATAATCTAGCAACAATGTCCTCGTGTTATCCACAATTTCCGTGTAGGGTTGTTTAATCCACCTTATGAAGGGTAGAGGATGCCCTTCGACCGGACAACTTATATTGAGTGACAACCCTGATAAGACTTTCACACGTTTGATTTCCCCTTTCTGAGGAGGAGGAGGAACTAAAAATAAACAAAAAGAAATGTAAGTAAATTTATAAACATTGACAAAATGAGCAGACTTTGGCTAGCAGCAAATAGTTTTTAAGTGCCTTCTATTCTATTCTATGATTTTTGAAGTATATACAGGGTAACTGGTGAATTACTATCGATACTCGAGGACGTGATATTTGACGATCATATATGACAAAATAAAAATTAATATAACATAAATATTAATAAACTTCTAAGTAAAGTTAACCAAAAGTTATGTAATTAATTACGCATCGTGTGAACACCCTACAGATTAGGTATACTCACACACACACACACGCGTCGGCGGCGTGGTGTTGTATCAGCACGCCGCCGCCGGCGTCCACACTTGGAACACTTGGAACGTGTCAACACTTTATTTTATTTATACGGAAATTTTGTCAAAAATTAAGTGCTTATTTTTTTTACATAATTCGAATGGGAATCATGTACCGAGTATTCTCCTTAATTATTGATAGTAATTCACCAGTCACCCTGTATAAGATCGTCTTTAAGAGCAATTTTTTCGTATATAACATTAAAATTGCTTAATATAGAATGTATTTATAAATTGCTATTCTGAAGCAGTAAATTACACATAGGAAAAATATCTGAAGCGTTACGTATAGCTCTTGTCTTATTCTTTCTGTGACAATATAACAATAATTATAAGAAATAATTGAAGTATATACTCACCCAAAACATCAACCAAAAAACTGACGCTAGCATTGCCCACTTTGTTTCTAGCAACACAAGTATAATTTCCACTTTGTTCGTATTTAGCGCCTTTGGAGACAATTATTTCACCAAAATCAGTTGAAAACATTTCGTCATCATAAAATTTCAATGGTACGTCATCTTTGAACCAGTATACATCAGGTAGGGGATTTCCGTATGGGTGACAGTGAAGGTGAAATACTTGATTACAAAGTACCTCTAATGTCACGTTGCTTTGCGATGAATTGGCGTTGTAAAAGAGAGTTTGAAATATTCTTGGAGGTTCTGAAATGAGAACATTGTATTTAAATTAGTATCTTAATATATAGTATAATAAATATTTTAATAACAATCCAAATACAAAATATATAATAAAACATTCATCAATACGAGCAGAATTCAAACCTACATCTACTAAAATATACAGTTATGGCTGTTTTATCAACTAAAATATTGCTTTCTGAATCGGGAATATAAGTGTTTATATATTCAATCAGCATATTGATATTCTCTTCAATGACAAATCAAATGAAATGCTATTCATATATATAATTCTATATTTTATATTTTAATTCAAGCATATACTTGGACAGTGGTTTAAAGTTAAAAACATCATTATAACTTATAAGACTAACCTAAGATGACAAATATTATGAAAATCAAACATATTTTACGCACCTAATACATCTATTTTAATTTTCTTTTGATCAACGCCACCTATATTACTGGCAACACAAACGTATTCCCCTTTATTGAATGAGGTAACATTTGTTAATATCAAGTCCGCGTAAAGTCCCGTTTCATTGGAAACAATGTTGCCATTGTGGAACCATTGTATTAAGGGACTAGGGTTGCCAGATGCTTTGCATGCTATTCTTGTGTTTGTACCAACCTGTATCATAATTCATTAAAATATAAATAATAGTATGTATATAATCACAACATTATATGACATGATAAAAAGACATAATAAAAAGACATGCACATACTTACTTTGATACATCTTTTTAAATAATATTAACAATATTAAATATGTATGTAATCATTTAACAATTCAAAAAATGAACAGTGCAATGCTAAATTTATAGAAAAAACTTTATATTTAATAAGTCTAACAGTATTATTTATACCAGCCTTAAAGATGGTGTTAAGAGACCCAGAATAAAATGTTCCTTAGGGGCCTGGCCCTTGAGGCCTTGTAGTTTTATGTAGTCAGAATAAGTTATAGGGAGTTTGTAGCGTTAAAAACGAAAATATTAGTTTTAGATTTCTTTCCGTTATAGTGTTTTTTTCCGTTGGAGAAAAATGGGGGCGCTAAAAATAATTTAATCTCAAAGTGGGTAGTAGACAATATAAGTTTAGGAATCTCTGATATACTAACCTCAATTTCATCTATATCTCCAACATTCCTTCCCTCTCCACCAACAAAACTGATCACCTCTTCAATGACGGGACTTACAATAACTATTACACGATAAACTATAGACCTGGTACCGGCTTTGTTTGTTGCCTTACAGGTGAAAAGCCCTTCAGATAGAACTGTCGTATCGATAGATATTAAAGACGTATTTTGCAACACCCAATTCGTATTGCTGGAAAGGACTTTATTATTATTGATATAAAGTTCGTTTTTATTTAAATTGAAAATGTACGATCATTTTTCCATACAAAAATAGCCAAAGGCGTTGTTTAAAGTAATTAAACAGTTTAATATATGTAATTTATTGTAATTTACAAGTAACTATTGTAAATACTAACTTATAAAGCCAAGTCACATTTAGCGGTGGCGTTCCAGTCGGTTCACAATCAAGACTCGCATTTGTTCCTGATTTGAGTTCAACTTCTAAATAATCAAAGGGTGATATAAATGGCGGCTCTGCAAAGATAGTCGATGTTATTTATTATTTTGAAGATACAAATAATAAATTGGAATATTTAACTTTCAAATTCTATATCTATAATTCTATATTAATAATAATGTTGCATGCATATTCGTATACGTAAGTTCGTGAAATGTAACTTCTTTTTCAGCTTATACAAACAAAAGTACATATATGAACTTTCTTCTATTATAATATAATAAAGCTATAAGTTCTTATCTTGAATACAGAGGATGGAAAAATCAAATTTAGTATATATATTAAACATATTTAATATTAAATAAAAAATAATTGTACCTATGACGTGCAACTGAATGTCCTTGAACACGGTCCCATGTAAGTTGCTAGCAACACACCGATAGATGCCGCTGTTATAAACTTTCGCGTCTAGTATTGATAACCTTTCTTTATTTTCACCCATCAGAGCTTTTGAGTTGAATAACCATTTTATCTGTAAATTATTCTGCGTTAGTTTTTATAGAAAAATATAATTTACAATAATTTTAAGACAAAATGTCAAAGTTTTTTAATCTTTAAACTTAATAGTGGAAATATTTATTTGAAAAAAGTTTAAATATTAAATATAACAATAAAATCAAATATGTATGTAGTAAATTACCTCAGCGTGTGGATTTGCATCAGTTTTACAATCTATATAACAATCGTTTCCCGCCAATATTTCAATATCTCCGCCATCTTGTATGTCCGGCGGCCATTGTACGTCCACGATGACGTCACTATGTATAGAACCCATCATATTGGTGGCCACGCATGTGTATGAGGATGCGTTTGTACGAGATATGTTCGGAAATTTTAGAGTATTATTCGATATCAGGATTGCATTCTATAAGAAAGAGATATTTATAAGAAAAAAGTGTGCAATAATTATCATACACATGCCCTAGAATTACGTGCATATGTACGTAATTCTAGAGCAAGCATAGTTAGTACCAAGAGACGAATATAGAATATTTAATTCTGTTCGAAGGAAATTTTAATATCTGGTTATTTATGGCCTCTAGGGCGAAATAAAGTTCGTCAAGTCAGCTGTACATATATTACTAATTCGAAAATTAACACGAAGCCAAATCACGGGCAAAAACTAGTATTATGATAATGCTGTAATGCTGTAACTAGTATTATGATTTTTAACGTACCTTGTACCATTTGACAGTAACATTTCCTAGTACAGGACATGTCACTTCAACATTCGTTCCTTCTATCGCCGTTATTTTCAAAGGTGAACTTTCGTCTCGCATTAATATTGGTGGAGCTTTAAAACAAAACATGGCTTATACCCGATCAATCGGACAATTTGTTGAAAACAAGTTGAATTACGAGTACAAGAAATATTTCGTATGCATCATTATTTAAATTCCTTATAATATAGCCAATTTTGTAAGTGAAAACTGATTGCTACCCTTTTTCAGGAATAAACATTAAACTATGGCATACGACCTTAATGCTAGAATTAATTATATTTTTATCAAATAACTAGCTGACCCGGCAGACTTCATACTGCCTCAATCAATAAATAAATATTTTTTTATTTTTTTGGAGTTACCTTTAAGTTATAAATCTCCGTGTTCTGAAGAGCGACAGAATGATTGACATTTTAGTTAGTTGTCAAATTTAATGTCAAAAAACCGTTTGTATGGGAAATAGAAAAGAGCTGTTTTTAGGGTTTTCCCGGCAATTATTCCAATTTTCCTCACCTCTTAAACCTTCCCTGGACTTCCAGGAGTATTTCAAGACTAAAATTAGCCAAATCCGTTCAGCCGTTCTCGAGTTTTAGCGAGACTAAGGAACAGCAATCCATTTTTATATACAGGGTGACTGGTGAATTACTATCGATATTTGAGGACGTGATATTTGACGATCATATATGACAAAATAAAAATTAATATAACATAAATATTAATAAACTTCTAAGTAAAGTTAACCAAAAGTTATGTAATTAATTACGCACCGTATGAACACCCTACAGATTAGGTATACACACACACTCACACATACGCGCGCGGCGGCGTGTTGTTGTATCAGCACGCCGCCGCACGCGTTCACACTTGGAACACTTGGAACGTGTACACACTTTATTTATTTATACGGAAATTTGGTCAAAAATTAAGTACCTATTTTTTTACATAATTCGAATGAGAATCATGTACCGAGTATGCTCCTTAAATATTGATAGTAATTCACCAGTCACCCTGTATATATATAGAAGAAGATTATGTCCCATAATAATGTTAATTATAATTGAGTTATGAAGATATCTTTATAAAACTAAAGTAAAACTTACAGTATATCTCTACGTCCAAATCTCTACTAGAGTTCCCGACGATATTAACGGCGGTGCATGTGTAAACACCGCTTAAGTCTTCAGTGGGATTTTTGATCATTAGTGTGCCTTCCGTGTCTACGGAGAAGCGAGAATCTGAAAGAAAAAATACCAAAAATCTGGTTTATTTCAGTTATATTACAATTTATATGTATTAAACTAAATGTACCCTTATCCCCACCACCGATTTCCCCTACCATAAACACTAAGAGACTAAAGGACTGCAAATTGACAGACGTCGTTTTATTAGTTGTTAATTATTGTATGAACTTTGACTTAAAAAACTTGGTTGAAAAATATAAGGAAAAGTGATTAAGAATTATATGTACTATATATATCACCGAATTTGAAGAAACAACTTAATTATACTATAAAATAAATTATACAATAGTCTAAAATAATGTCACATATTATATTGTATTCTATTAGAACTCGGATGAAAAATTTTTTTTTATATAAATTTACAAAAGGAAACAAGAAAAATAGTATCTTACCCACATTTAAGCCAATACCGTCCTTACTCCAATACACAAAAGGTCGAGGGTCGCCTGCAACTTTACAGGACAATGCTAACGTTTTGTCCATAGTTGACGCGATGTATGGACCCGTGAAGTTATCCATCAGAAACATAGGAGCCTCTGTAATGTCACATATAATAAACAAATATATTAAAGATTTATACATATAATAGAATTTCGGATCTCAATATTAAAATGATTATCTAAATGTCATTATCATCAGCCTATCAGAGCCTATGGTGAGCAAAGACCTCTTCTAACATGGAGAAGATTTAAGTATTAATCATCACGCTTGCTCAAGACGGGTTGGTGATTTCAAACTTATAATTTGAAATTACAAGTCCAGGTTTCCTCACGATGTTTTGCTTCACCGTATGTCAGTAGTGTCTAAATACTCTTAGAAAGCACATATGACTCGGAAAAATCACATTGGTACTTGCCAGGTTTCGAACCCGCGCCCACGTCTAAGAAACATATTTATGTACTAGGTAATAAGCAAAATAATTAACAAATATAACTGTGTTTACCATTAACATTAATAATGTAATTCTTAAAGGCCGTCCCGGCGATGTTTTCAGCACAACACGTGTACACGCCTTGCGTCGCTAAACTACTGTTAGTTATAGACAACGAACCGATGTTATTGAATCTGTAAATAGTAAAGTAATAGTAAATTACATAAACTTAAAATTATTGGAAATATTTAATAAAGAAAATATATCGACACGAGAATACACCGTGTGAGTCGATATTTTATTTACTTTTTTTATTAAAAAAATTGGAAAGCAATCTTCTGTAAGTGTCAATTTTACATTCTCCATATTCTAATTGTATTTTATATCAAATACATATTCAGTTCAATGTTTTTTGTTATATGAAATATTTTTAAAGCGGTCGCCAAAAAAATACAAGAAGTTTAATTAACCTTATAATTCTTCATCAAGTTTATAATTCCCACCTTATATTCGATGTATTTTCTTTCAAATCATTATTATTGTATTTCCACGTTATCACCGGTACTGGGAATCCCACGGCATCACATTCAACACTAACATTTGAACCCTTTCTTATAGTCATAACTTCTTCCTCATTTCCCTCAATAGATGGCGTTACTATATTTATAAATAAAATATATGAATGCAACCTTTGAGAGCAATTATTATTATTATTTAAATATATAAATATTTATGTATTACCCCATATATACAACGTGTAGTTCAACGAAGCGTTTCCGAAGTCGTTGCTCGCGAAGCACTCGTATTCACCGAAATCGGTTAAATTAGCAATAAATCTAAAAAACATAACATATTCTTAATCTTAATTGATCTATTTTCATAACAACATGCATTCTTTTATTAAGGAAGACTAATGAATTAAAAATTACTATTCTGCAGTAAAGTTAATACAATTTTTTCCACTATGGCTTTTGTTAAGAGACTCGTCAAAAAGTTATAACAGAAATACTAAGTAATAACAATTCTATTTACCTTAATCCATATCTATCTGTATGTCTTCTACTATCTATGATGTCTTGACCGTTGTGAGTCCACTTCACCCTCGGCTGTGGGTGACCTTTGACCTCACACGGTAGTTCAACTAATTCACCCTCCAAAACTTCCAGTTCAATACCGCTAGAGGTCACTACTGGAGGTGCTACAGAAATTATTACTTAAATGAGTTCGGTTAACTAGTTTTTGTACTCGACTTTGTCTGCGCTGTCATCGTTATTGTGTGTTTATTAATTTTAATAGAACTGGTAACAGTCAGCGACATCTATCGTCTATTTCACAAACTTCACACTATTAACAAATGTTATAATCGTTTATTACATAAACTACACGGAATGAAGATAAAAATTAGATTTATTTGTTATTCTAATGACTATATTACATTATTGAAAAGATTCATGAAAATCTGGTCAGTTTATTTAACGTCCAAAAGCAGTATATCCACAATTATACAATAATTTTTACAGGCGCATGCATGGGATCGTTTTTAATAGTAATTAAAAAATCTGAACCTTATATAGTATATTGAATTTACAGCTTACTATTCATTTATCGTATAAATATTCATACCATATACAACTATAGTGAAATTCTTCGTCGTAGAGCCCAGTACATTGCTAGCATTACATACAAAGACACCGGCATCAAACTTCGTAGCGTTCTCGATCACCAAAGTATCGCCGTAGAAATATCTAGAATGAATAAAATATGTATAAATATTAAACAATCTTCACATATATATTATGGGAAATTTTATTAGTATCAAGCTTTGAGTTTAAGTTTAAAAAATTATTCGTTACTAGCTTTCCGCCCAAACTTCGCCCGCGTGGAGTTCGGTTATATCGCGTTTCCAAGAGAACCTTTCAAAAGTCTGGAATAAAAACTATCCTATGTTCTTTCTCGAGGTCAACTCTATCTCTGTACCTTTCATTAAAATCAGTTCAGTGGTTTAGACGTGAAAGCGTAACAGACAGACAGGCAGACAGAGTTACTTTCGCATTTATAATATTAGTAGGGATACTTACAATTTCTTTGAGTAATTTATCGGTAAGCCGTTTTTGGTCCAAGTTACAAGCGGCAGCGGGTCGCCGGTAACGTTACAGTTAAGACTTATCGTATCACCCGTCTTTACTTGCTGTGGACCTTCTAACTTGTACGCTTCTTGGTCTGAGGGTAGTTCTGGCGGATCTAAAGATAATTATAATATATTGAAACTATTTTAAATAGTTTATACAGGGTGACTGGTGAATTACTATCGATACTTGAGGACGTGATATTTGACGATCATATATGACAAAATAAAAATTAATATAACATAAATATTAATAAACTTCTAAGTAAAGCTATGTAATTATATATCATATCTATAATCTATATCAAAAGCTATGTAATTAATTACGCATCGTGTGAACACCCTACAGATTAGGTATACACACACACACACATACGCGTGCGGCGGCGTAATGTTGTATCAGCACGCCGCCGCACGCGTCCACACTTGGAACACTTGGAACGTGTCCACACTTTATTTATTTATACGGAAATTTGGTCAAAAATTAAGTACCTATTTTTTTTTACATAATTCGAATGAGAATCATATACCGAGTACTCTCCTCAAATATTGATAGTAATTCACCAGTCACCCTGTATATATGGACATTCTTAGGGATTCTAAATTTCTCGATTAATAATTTTATTAACTTAAAACATTAACGTGACTTTTTTCTAGAACTACCTTTCAAATTTCATACTTAATGTGACTATCACATACTTTTAAGCAAACGGACATTTGTGTTTTTTCTTATACATAGTATATTTGATTTACGTATGAAAAACTCTAAACTATAAGTATGCAGTTTAAAAATAACTCGTATTAAAGCTTTAACGTGTAATATTAAATATCCTTACATTGCACACTCACTGTGAGTTCATAAGCATCTTCGCCTATTACGTTACTCGCTTCACATCTATACGTGCCTGAGTTATTTATACTAACATTTTCTATGAAAACTGTATAATTTTTCAATGAAGCATCTGGTAAACTGGAGAAATGGGTAGATCTTTTAAATAGCCATTTTATATCCGGTTTCGGGCTGCCAGATAATATTCTGAAAAATTATTGAACAAATTAAATCACGTTAATTATAATTTTTTACATATATTTTTCACTATGATACAAATCTCACCTACATGTCAAATTCAATGTTTCTCCTTTACGAACAACAATATTCTCGTATTCCTTATATATAAGTGGTGTTGCTGTAATGAATAAAGTATTATTAATAATATATTTTTTATATGGCAACTTGTCATTTATATTAACTCACCAAGTCCGTGTACACCTAAGCTGAAATTTACTGTAATTTTCTCATAGCCATTATCAGCTTCACATAAATACAGTCCAAGATTACCAAAATCGACTCTTTTTATAATCAGAATATCATTTTCAATGACAATATTATCATTCCGTGTTATGTACGTATTATTGTGACTCCATTTTATATTAGGCTTCGGGTATGCGCTTATTTTGCAATGGAATTTTACCGATGAGTATAATTCTACGGTGGTATCTGAATAGAAAATGGATTGTTTAAAGTATTTTCGTTGCAGCCGAAACTATGACAGCTATTTTGGTATAATATACTTACAAAGTTTGTGTTACAAACGTAATTGTTAAGTAAATTTTAAATGTATAATAAATTGTAATTCAACCTCCTTGGTTTAACTTATATTTGCTCGTAAGTATACAAAAATTAGTAATATTAATCTTATTCTTAGTAGTAGGTATTGATAAGAATTCGCTTGACTAATAATAATTAATATTTAATATCCAATACCTATTTTTAACTTTATTTATTTCGAGTGTCACTTAAGTTTGTATAAGTAGGTACAGTAGCTCGCCAAAGAAATATTTTATAAATAGTATTAAGTGATATGAATGTTATCTACCACTATATTTTTAAAAAAATATAATGTTGTACGTTCTTAACATGGCTATCGAATTGTATTATAAATCAAAACATAGTTATCCTTATAAGATAATTATTACTTTACCATTTAGTTTTTGTTCTAAAATCATTGGAGAGTAAACATTAATATCCACACTATCTTGATGGATGCCTTCAGAGTTCTCGCCGATACAGAAATAAGTACCATTCGTACCGTTTACAGTTAACACACTTCTATATAAATTTGGTTCAGGATTTGTTAGCTATAAAAAATAAAGTTTTTATTATTATTATTACAATCTCTAAACTATACATACAGATTGTTACAAATTATTAAAAAAAATACACAAAAAAGTTTCACAAAGAAATGACAAAAATATTGACCGGTATGATTAAAAAAAATGGAATCAAAACTCGTTCTTTTTTTGAAATTATCACAAAGATATGTCAAAAATATTGACCGGAACGATAAGAAATATACAATCATCATTATGAACTCGTTCCATTTTCGAAATTAAAAATATAGAATAGAATTTAATAGAATTTAAAAACTTACAACATGATATAAAAACTCCTCGGTCTCTCTGTGCCACAACACACGTGGTTGTGGTCGAGCGACCACTGTACATATGACATCATAAGTGCTGTTCCGTGGCAGTGACACGTTCTTAGAACCGACTATACTAACTTGAGGTTTGATATGTACGGTCACTTGCACGGAATCTGACGCTATGATAAAAATATTTAAGTTAATTGAATCTTATTATAAAGTAAGAATCTTTAACATACAAAATTAGTGATTTAATATAAATTCATATGAAAAATATATAGAAAAAAAGCGACTTCAAAATGACTCAATCCAGTTGCTCACGTCTGTCTGTCTGTCTGTCTGTTACTCTTTCACGCCTAAACCACTGAACTGATTTTAATGAAATTTAGTACAGAGATAGAGTTGACCTTGAGAAAGAACATAGGCTAGTTTTTATCCCAGACTTTTAAAACGTTCTCTTGGAAACGCGATATAACCGAACTCCACGCGGGCGAAGCTGCGGGCGGAAAGCTAGTATATAATATTTTTTTTAAAGGCTCAATTTTTAAACACTATAACAATACGCTGTCTTGACTCGATAAATTAATCATTAATATACATATTAAAACGTTAAATTAATATTATTAAAACATCCTACATACCACTATATATGCCTTTCTTAGCCGTACAAGTCCAAACGCCGTCTTCCTTAACATTATCAACATTCATCATGTCGTTATAATTTCCATTAACTTCGTTGTTCGATACATTTATATCGTTATACGTCCATATAACTCTCTCAGAATTCTCCACGTGACATACGAGTTGTATGTCTGAATGTAGAAGCTTTGTTATCGTGTGTGGGCCAAGTATGAGAGCAGTGGGTTTTGGTACCACTATGAGTTCGGTCGACTGGTTGGAAATACCTCCTGGAAATACATGAAAGTTATGTTAAATATATCATATATCATCATCAACCTATATGAGCCCATGGCTGAGCAAATTTCTCTTCTCACATGGAGAAGGTTTGAGCATTAATCACCACGCTTGCTCAAGACTTTTAAACTTATAATTTGAAATTATAAGTCCAGTCTTCCTCACGATGTTTCCCTTCACGGTTGTCAGTGGTGTCGAAATACTCTTAGAAAATACATATGTATGACTCGGAAAAATCACATTGGTACTTGCCAGGTTTCGAACCCGTGCCCTTACACTACATAAAAGCAGTTCGTAACACGCGTTAATAGATCGTAGATTCTCGGAGTATGTTTAAATCTTTCTTTTATGTAACATTTAGTTTATCGAAATAGTTGAAAGTTATAAATTTCAAATTGTTTTTAGTTTTGTGCAAATTTTATAAATTAATAGTGAAATTGTATCAAATATTATTTTTGGAAAAGGTTATAATTAGTTTCTAAGAATATATGTATATATCGTTTAAGTTAAATATTAAATGTAGTTAATTCTACCTCTATTTGCGGCGACACAGGTATAAACACCGCTATCATTTTGCTTAGCTTCTTCAATAGTTCTGTTTAATGTGTAAAAACCGTCCATAGATGGCTCCAGTTTAACATCTGTAATACCAAAAAAAACATTATTCTTCATTGTACTAGATATTCTATTGTTATACAATTATTGATAGTTCAATAAATGTAATATTGACAACCCTATCATTATTAATTAAATTTACTAACATTTAATATAAATTACTTCATTTAAATAACATAGTATAAGATTCGCTTTGACTATTGGTTTAAGAGAAATACCTATTTACGTTTATCCTAAGTTTGCACACTACGTACAGAGCGTTAGCAATTTTACACTAAAAAATCTTCGAACATAGTAAGTATTTATTATTATTAATTATTATATTATTAAATGCTAACGAATGAAAGACGGGAAACGCTTCGTATGTAATGTGATTAAACAAACTATTTATTACTTCATAGATTTATACGTAATATCTATATCTTACCATAAGGATTCAATTCTCCTTGGAACTCGATTCTCGCTCGATGTAAGTAAGTCTCGCTGTATATAGAACACGTTAACAACACACGCTCGGTCTCTGTTATTGTCACGTTCATAGGAGATATCGACACTTGTGGGGGAGGCACTACAAATGAATTAATACAAACTAATAACTAGATATATATTAAAAACAAATGAATATCGCCCGGACAACATTGTTGTATGGATAAAATACCATAATATAACAAATGTTGCTGACTCCGCGGAACGAACACCAAGCCGTGTGAACCAGAAGATTCCTGATACCACACAAGCTATGGAATGGCATTTCTATCTTAACATCCCGGCAATGATGTAGTTTTACGTATAGCTTATAACTTATAAGTCTTAATATGTAGTTCTTGTTATAATATATTACGTAGTTTTACTGGAACCACTAGCGGCTGAGAAATGCAACATAATAATTTACAAATTTTACACCTACAATAATCTATATATATAAAAGAAAGTCGTGTTAGTTACCCCACTTATAACTCAAGAACGGCTGAACCGATTTAGCTGAAAATTGGCAGGGAGATAGTTTAGAGCCAGGAAATTGCGATAGGATTCTTTCTATCCCGTTCGACAGCATTCCCGTGGGACTTGACATGAAACGGCGGTCACTATAAAACGTGGAATAACGAAACACAATTGACAGCTATGCAATTGACGTAATTAAAACGTAATTAAATCTAATTTAGTATTTGCGGGATAAATTTAGAAAATCATTGTTTTTCACATGGGCACTTATAGTTTGTGTGTTCACGAGTTGGGAAACCATCCGCTTTATTTGTGTTAACTTTAGACCAAAAAACAAAAAAGTGGTTTACAAAGGAGCACTTCAATGAAACGGATAATTTGCGGATACGTATAACGCTTCGATTCGGTATCTACTTTGGATTCACTTTCATTTACTTAGAGAAGTTCAACTAAATAACACTTAATTTTTGTAATCGAAATGAATTCATTACTGTTGTGAAATGAAATAAAAGTTTTCCTTTTCAAATATAAAACAAAAAAAATTCTTCATCTTTTAAACACCAAACGAAATGTTACATAAAACAAAGCCTTCTGGAGGCGAAACGGAGTTCGCCAGGTTTACTTGTATGAGTATATTAAAAACAGTTTTCGTATAAAAAAAAGTATGTTTCTGTATAAAGAAAATCAGTTTATTGGTTATTACAACTAAAACTTACCTATCATATCGACGCTCGTGTCTGCAGTGGCTCGCCCCGCGGCGTTACTCGCGACACAACGATACGTACCCACGTCTCCTTCAGACATATCACTTATAACATAATCAACTGTCGTACTTCGTCTGCAAAATTATAAGATTATAGTAAAATGTGGGTAGAAACATATAATTGTGAATGGTCACTAGTTGATATAATTAAGAACTAATGGCGTTGTCATCGATATATATCACGCGAATTAATTATTGTATGAATTGATTTGATTAGCATCCTTCGTTTTTATAGTAAGAGGTAATAATTGGATAATGAGATCTAAGATTTTCGCGAGTACTCATTTAAATGAAACTAATATTTTTGAATTTTTACTTGTGCAGGTTAACCTGCACAGGCATACCTGCACAGATTACCTCTTCGATAGTTCGTATATGCTATTCTGATATATAATCTACAACATTGGAGAGTTATATCAAAATCTATTCAATAATTTTTAAATCAAAGAGCTACCAAAGTACAAACATCTCACATTCAATACTATTATGTGCGTTGTTCGTAGCTCTGTATCTCACATATAAGATTTTTATTACTTACAAACTATGACTTTGTTCGTGTAGATCTACGCCGCGTCGAGTCCAAACGACGCTGACCGGCACGAGACTGTCCACGAAACATTGTAGGACCACACGAGAGTGAGAGTGAGATACTATCTGTTAATAATAATAATAACAATAAAACGTTGAGATTTGCAGAATATTCGACGATTCCAGTGCAAATAAAACATAATTTTCAACAAACCTTCTTCGGTACCGTGAGATTGGGAATATCTGTAAATAATTATTAGTTTATAAGACAAATATTTGATATATTAATATTAATATAATAAATATAAACAGACCGGGCGGCGCAGAGCTCACGGCTGTAGGACTACTGCGACGAACTTCGTTTCCTGAAGAGTCGATACCTACTACCTGGAAAAAAAACCAATACAATTCTAAATGTATTTGTGCTGTAAATAATATTATTTTATACAAAACAATTAATTCTAAGCTAGCTATTAACCGCAACTTCATTTGCATTAAAAAAAAAATTCGTTTAAGGGTTAATTTCGAGAAATAAGTAGTTTTAGCTACTCCTTACTACGTTAGCTTATCAAGAGAAATCCCGTCAAAATTAGTTCTTCCATTTCGGAGATTAGCCAAAACAAACAGATAAACGGACAGAAGAAAATTGTAAAAAATCTGATTTGGGTGTATGTACCTATATAACTAATTGTAAATTATATCTTATTTACTGAATGTATGCAATATGCATATTGATTTTCATGTGCATGAAGTAAAAAACGATTGTTTCAATACAAATATAGATAATACATATATAAAAATATAGATAATAATATTTAAGTTAACTTTTTATTTTAACCTGTTAACTATATACTAAACTTAACTTACTGCAATATTAAAAAACTCCTCGGGTGGTATAAACGCGTCCGCTTTGTATATGTTACTGGTCGCATCAATTTTCTTCAGAGGTATCTCAAATAACGGTTTTCCTTTCAAATCTAGAAGTTCCGCGTGGTCGAGATTTATGGAGGAATTGGCGGGAAGAGATATTAACATGTTATTGTATGTACCTGTCAATGAAAAAAAAAATACGGTAGAATAAAAAAAATTACAAAAAAGTCTTATATTAAAAATACTTTTTTACTAATTTCATTCAAGTTCTAACTAATTGTAATTTACAGAAAGTTGATCTTAGTGTATACGTTTTGTATCAATAATTCATTATGATTTATGATTATACTATTTTGAAAATGCCTATAACTGAAAGAGAGAGATAGATAACATTTTTCTTCTTATAAAACTGGCTTAATGAAAATACATAGTAAATCTTAATTACATCTAATTATTAATAATTTTGTGTTTCTATTTTAATCTTCCTATTTATCGATACTATTAAAAATAAGTAATATAAAAAAAAGCAACAAAAATATCGATTCATTTGTCTTCTACCTTTATAATAGAAATAAATAAATATGTATAGCGTTTGACCTTTCAAGGGTCTGTAGCTGGTGTCATTGAGGCTTGTCGCGTCTGTGATAGAGAACCCGTGAGTGAAGGACAGCTCCGAAAGACCTTTGACCCTGACCGAGTGTGTCTCGGAACTACCGACCGTCACACGCCAAGAACCGGGCTCTGGAGATAACACCTTCACTATCTGGATATAAGGAAAACAATACCAGAATAAACGTTATATAACTCTTACGATACTGTAGTGTTTGTATCTAATATCTATAGTCTAAACTATAGATATGTATAATACACTGTCTCACGTACCCCACTAGAGAGGCGGCATGCGCTCGGCAGTCTAACGACTAGCGCGGAGCAGAATGGTGACGCACGCCTGCGATCTAGGTAGGGTAGTAGTGAGCCAGTGACTAGTTAAGTATAAGTAACATAGAGAACCAGAGGGCCCTATTATATTATAGAATACGCGGTTCTATCATATTATTTTCTATACTACCCGACGTTTTAGTTACTTTACAGCAACAGTGATTACGCGCTTAGCAAGGGACGTCCTCCCTTTACTTTCTCAACCTGCTATAGTGACGATAAAATAATATAATGTTAAGAAATTAATAACTAATAGACATATTTTTCATCTCGTCTGTCCGCGATCACGTTTGCAACATAATAGAAATGTCAGGTAAAATGTTAAATAATATAATAAAACCACGTAATATTTCTTAAAATCATAGTTTCATTTAAACGTGTACTCGCTTAAATCTTGATATAATGAATAGCTGTGTTAACATGCCGTATAATTGAACGATTATTTATTAATAGATTTTTTCAGCTAGTGTGAAACTGGCTTACATTGAAATCAAACCTAAATATTGGTAATACGGACTTTATAAATTAAATATTAATACATATATTTTATCAGACTCATATAAGTAATTTACCATAATTTCAGACAGATCCAATATAGTGACCAGTTGTGGAGGGCCCGTGAGTTCTTCGCCGCTTGGCTTAACAACTTTAATACTTGGCTTGGCTCCCGACACAGAAACTGTTACTTCACCCACTGTCTTATCAACTGGAATCTAATATTATTTATAACAATATACATCTATGATTAATCTACATTTTGCTACAATTTATTTGTCACAAAACTCTTAAGGCTTTTAATTTTTTTTTATTGTTAAACTCAAAAAGCGAAGACTGTAGATAACTATGTCAAGTTATGATAAAGGAATGGTTTATTTTTTACTAGCTTTCTGCCCGCAGCTTCGCCCGCGTGGAGTTCGGTTATATCGCGTTTCCAAGAGAACCTTTCGAAAATCTGGGATAAAAACTATCCTTTCTCAAGGTCAACTCTATGTCTGTACCAAATTTTATTAAAATCAGTTCAGTGGTCTAGGCGTGAAAGCGTAACAGACAGACAGAGTTACTTTCGCATTTATAATATTAGTAGGGATATCTTTCATTTGTTACACTAAAGAATATAACGTTATATTAAATTGACAATGTTTGTTTTATCTGTTTGGATTTTAATGTATATTTGAGTGTTGAATGAATGATATGAACAGTGAGTGAGTGATTGGTGAATGATTGAAAAATTGTTTACCTGTTGGGTGTAGTTGTATCCCGCTGGGTTCACTGATGAACCAAGGTTAACTGTCCGTCCCCTGATAGAACTACGGACGAATTCTAAAACCTGTGAATTATTTGAGATACAATGACGTGTTTATAACGTGTTCATAAAAGAGCGTGTATCGCCTTTGCGCGTTTGTATTCGTAATCCGCATGCCACAGATTTAGCGTAAGATAAAATAAAATTCAAATAGAAAGTATATATGTAATGAAAAACTTATAACCACGAGCAGGGCTTAAACCTGCAACCTCCAAAATATTACGTTACATTTTTTTTTTTGGCGTCTAAGCATTCTGTATTAATTAATTCATTAATTCAACATAGTTTTATTAAAATAAAAAAAAATACAATTTATCCTAGGCCTACGAATGAAAAACTAGTAATTTAAATAAAACTAATATTTTCGGAAGAAGTAATCTTTCGGAGGAAGTTTCCAATTCGACTTATACATGTATGATTAAATTTTACTAAAGGAGCGTTCAAGTATTACGTAACGCAATTTTCGAAGATTTTTGACCCCCCCTTCCCCCGTCGTAACGCACAGTATCGTTTTTCTGTAGCCCCCCCCCCCCCCCTTCTCAAAACGTTACGTAACACTCAAGTGATCAATTTCATCAAAAGACTTACAATGCAATCTAGGTATTCCCCGTAAAATATCAATTAAGAGGTTTGCAAACTTGGAATAACAATTAAAAATATCGACCAGACTAATACAATCTGGTCAACAATGTAATGTAAATGAAAAGAGTTGCCAGTTTAGGGGTTTTTATTAATATATTTTTTAGAAACAATGCTACGTAACGTTTTGTAAGAGACACCCCCTCCCGCCCCAGTAACGCATCGTAACGTTTTACGAGACCCCCCCCCCCTCCACCAAAATTGCGTTACGTAATACTTGAACGCTCCCTAATAACATTTCCATTGTCACGTACTCAGGATCTGACAAAAAGATTATCTAGAAATCGAATGAATCCTCGTAATTAAGATGTCGTGTATCTCAAAGAGGATTTAATATGAAGAGAAAGTCGTGAGCAATAGCTGATTTGGAATAAAAGCTTACCTTACGAACACTGGTTTTATTTAAATTGAACACCTGCCCGGAGCTAGCGGCCGCTATCTGCTGGTAAACCTGATATGAAGGTTTGTTGAGATCGTTGCAGTGGCCAGTCAGCACGAACACAATCTGCATACATTGATCTCTTAATATTATCAATTTGACATTCCATATGTAATTAATAATAGGATACATTTTTTTGTTGTGAATTTATAATATCACAAATAATTCATTACTATTAAGTATAAATATACGGTTCAATGACGTCATGAGAACATAAAATAGTAAATCAAAATAGTTTGTGACAAAATTTGTATTAATGAGATCTAAGATTTTCGCGAGTACTCATTTAAATGAAACTAATATTTTCGGATTTTACTTCGCGTTTTAATTTTGATTACAAACTACCTACATACTCCTGACGTTTCGGGATCGTGAAACGTCGGGAGTATGTAGTTTCTAATCAAAAATAAAACGCGAAGTAAAATCCGAAAATATTAGTTTCATTTAAAATTTGTATTGGTTAGTTAGGTACTATATTGAAAGCCTATACCTATATAAGAATATTTAATTTTAAATCTATTTACCTGACTTTGCTTTTTCTGCACAGTATCCAGAACTTTCCCTACAAGTTTATGATCGGAGGCCGTAGCGTCAGTGAATACGTAAACGAAGGACTTGGGTCTACTGACTTTCAGCGCGAGTTGAATACCTCCTAATGATCTCTCTGGACAATCTCCTCCGCCATACACACGAACAATATTCAACGCTGATTTAAACACTTCCTTATGTGTTGTAACTGTTGGTGGACCTACCGCTGTAATATATTTTTCTTAATTAGTCCTTTAGCAATTAGTGACGTTGTTTGGCTTATGCAAAAAAGTTTGTAAACACGCAATTATCGGACGTATAATTTTGAGTTTAATAGGACTATGATATTGCAAACATATGAGTGATTTTTTTGTTAAGGTGGTAGAGCCCAGCAGTGGTTAAGTCACTGCATCTCGAACATGAGCTGACTCAAGTTGAAGTATCAACGTCTCACAGAAGATCTGCGTGAAGTAGACTTTAATGGCATAGTCCAATGAGTGAAAGAACTGGTTATCTTTTTCCTTTTTCCCACTTTTTCCTCTCCCTTGTCCCCACTCAAATTTGGCAAAAGATGCCGTCTGCTCGTTGGCCCCCTTAATTACAAAAATAAACAAATGAAAAAATTAATAGTAAGTACTTTATCATTACCTGGATCGTGAAATGGAACAAATACGAAGTCAGCTATTATATTGCTTTCCTCCAAAGCAGTTTTCAATATCATTTCCGCTCCTTCCCTAAGCTGCTTGAGATCATTGAACATTGAGCCTGTCGTGTCGAAAACGAATACCAAACTACTTTTATCATTTGTATAATTAAACGCGCACACTGAATGAAATTCCACTAAAATTAAATAAAATAATAACTTCATAATTCTTCCTAACATTTTGGTTCATGCCATTTGTTTGGAGTTTCAAAGTGAACTAATACAGAAATGTTTATTTAACAATAACCTTATGACATTTTAATCTATATGGGTTAGACTACATCCATATACATAAGATGTTTTAATTTTTCAATGAAATTTAACGCATTGATAAATTCAAAGGTCACTATATACAATTCCTACTACTAAATACTATCATTAATATTTTCTCTTTGATTAAACCTGTTATTTTTTAATGGGTACAGAGAAAACGATAAAAAATTATCACTTCCATTCCAAAAAAATATTTAGGTAAATATTTCAAAAGACGAATTAGAAAAGTTATATTAAAAATGACTTATCAGAGATTCGCTCTTCCAAGACGATCTATAGAAAAAATTTAAGATCTATTTATCATTTTCAGTTACATCATAACATTATGCCGTATTTGACTACGACATCTTAATTTCACGCAATCTCAAATAAGTTACGCTTTTAACTTTAAAATAAATAAATTTATTAAGTAAGGAGAATAACGAAAAGTAGCGTATCAGTGTAATAAAAAATGTCCCAGAATTGTTTAAAAAAATATATGAGAAAATCCACTAAACACGAATATGCTTTGAATATACTCAAATGGAGGATATGACTATTATTGATCTTAAAATAAGGGACTTCCCCTTAGCGCCGGACGGCACCTAGTGTCAGACACTTGTGCTATCTCGAGAACTCATAACACGAGCGATTCAAAAACTAGTGAGAAGGTTGCGATGAAAATTCGTAATAACAAGTGAAGAAATGTACTGAGCCGGTGACACAGATGAAAACAGTGGTAGCAGTGGGTTGCTGTTTTTGAGAAGACACCGCTTCAGGTAATATTCAAACAAATGTTATAAAAAAGTACATAGGATTCAACTACTTATGTTTATTCTTAATAAAGCTAGTACTCCATTGTTGTTTGTAAACAAATAACGCTATTGAAGGTCTCTAATATATTTCTAACGTCCATTGTAATAATTCTGATGGTTCTCTGTCCCCTAGTACCAGACACAAACTTGGCGTATATTATGTTACTTTTTCTTGACAGTATTTATGCTTTTTATTGTTAATTAAGCCATACATTTTTTTTCCCGGCGTCAGAAGAATGAAATTAAATAAATATAGAAGACAAAAAACAGAAAGGAAACTGGAAGCAAACAACTTCACATACTGCAATTACTACGATTTTGACTAAAGATCTTTCTTGAAGACAAGCTTCGTTATGCTACAAAATACCAATAAGTATTTTGCATTATAGAACATCGACATTAAACCGTGGAGAAAAAGTGATATTGCAACTACAAATCTGTAGATTCAATCAAACATTTTCCCCAGAGTATGAACAAATTTTAGTAGACCAAGCTAAAAATTTTAACAAACAAATGTGGAAAAGCCAAAGAAGAGAGAAAATCAAATAAATAAAAGCCAAAAACAAAGTAACATATAAAGCTAAGAAATTATAGCCATTAACTGAGTCATCGCAGTCAGAAAAAACTACTTTTGTAGTATGTTTAGATGATAAAGAGGACTAGATACAATACTTAGGTGGCCTCACGAAGCTTGTGCCGACATTCTAGAATGTTCAGGGAACTATATAATATTCGTTGTCAAATGTTTTAAAACTGTTCGATGCTTTCGAGTAAGTGGCCGGTACTAGGCGCCATTTGCAGAAACTGCGAATTTTACCAAGGTTTAATTCAAGACTAAATATGTTCAAGCAGAAGTAGTAAATTTGTTGTTATTATTAGGTTAAAATATTTTTTTAGGTTCTTACAAAAAACGTTAACTGTACGCCACTGCCCACCCCTACAAAGTTAACTTTCCTTTACATTCATTGTATATAGTTATATACATATAATTTTATTATTAATAAACCTAATTAAAAATAAAAATCTTTATTAAAATTCACACTTCACATAGAAGACATCTTTTACTTATACAAAAACAACGTAACTATTTACCGAGTTATAAAATTGCTCCAAATTATTCTTAAATATATACGATTTACGCATTTTCAAATTAAAACAAAATTCAATATTAAATGTCAATAAAATAAAATGAAATAAAAAATTATATGTATTATTAAAATGATTAAATAATAATTCTGTATGAATGAAACCATAGATTAAATTAAAAATAAATAGAAAATACGTAAATCGTAAGACATAGATAAAAAATATTAGATTTTATGAAAAATAGTCATAAAATACTCGTCTTTGATATTGAGCAAGCAATAGTTACCTACACTACACTATACTAATACGAAAGTTAGTTAAGGAAATTAAGAAAATTATAATTGCAAAAATTTTCATAAAGCGTTAACCATATCCAAAAAATATATATAAAAATCGAACCAGACTTTATGTGAAGTGATGTCAAATGAAAATTGCAAATATGAAAAAAAACCTATATATGAACTCAAATATATACTGACTTATTAGAAATTTAAAAATTAATATTGCATTTATTAGATAAATTTTATAATCTGTGCCCAGTACAACTCAAACTACAGATTATATAAAACAATAAAAGTCTGATTCTATGAAATAAATTACAACTAAACACTATTCTACTCAGATGGCGTTTTGCCTATAATATTGTCTCGGTGGAAAAATTAAGGAGCTATTTAAACTACAGGCTTTGGCAAGTGGAAATATTTAACAAATTCACAGTCATGGAAATTATCCTGTATTAATTTTTGTTTATTTTTGTACTAATTGAAATAAATTTGTAATAAATATTTATATACTAAATTAAATCAAAATGCTCCGGAGTTGTGTATAGAATGATATGGCTATTAAAATATAATTATCTTATATAAAGAATTAAAATATATAAAGAAGGCAGTGTAAAGTCAAGTCAAATTCTATCCAATGTCAAGTTATAGTTAAGATTATTGCTTTGAATTTTATAATTTAAATCATATAAATATTATCGAATACAACCACAAATGGTACAACGTCAGAACACATGTTGTATATTATAAATTCATCTCTAAATATTAGTAACACTGCATCTATAAAAGTATAAATGGACATTATTTGTATTACAATAAGGTCCAATTTGTAAACGTGTATAAGAACATTTGTCTATTAAGTTCTATGGTCGTCAATATATTATTTCGTCCGCTTGTATTTTCTGAGTCCTCTTCTTGTAAAGTAACACCTTTTCTCCGACTTCTCCTTGTGGGAACTGAAAATGTTTAAAACAAAAATATTTACTTTGCTTTGTTGTTGTCATTATAATTTACAAATGTGTGAGTGTGTGCGTTTATGTATCGGTGCGTGTATGTATGTGTGCGTTTATGTATGTTGCGTATGTATGCGTGCGTGTACGTATGCGTGCGTGTATGTATGCGTGCGTGTACGTATATGTATGTATACTAACATACCTGAGTATGATTTATCCGTTGTATTAAGTCGTAACCCTGTAACAGTGAGTCAACTCTGCCTCTTAGTACGTCGTATAACACTATGTGACTCGGTGTTTGTTTGTGTGCGTACTCCACGCTCCACCAACGATTAGGATTCATGAAGAAAGCGTCCGATTCACACGTCCTACCTTCAGGTGGCGGGGAACAATCCAAAGTACGTGTTGATACGTTACGATGCAAGTGACTGTAAACGAAATAGATAATACTTAGTCATAAAATCTTATTTACTCCTATTACACACATTGATATCTTAAACTTGGAGCTTATGATCAGCATTTCTTTTATATAAACAAAAGTAAAATTAATATTTGATATAAAGTTTGTGAGTATCAGTTTGTTTTATAATCCTTCTTCTTCTTCTACCTTTCAATTTCCCAGCTATAGCCAGGGTCTGCCTTACAGGTTGTGAAAAGTTTTTGGCTATTTGTTTTTACGACCGGCCGCCTGCCTGACATCAACCCTCTTTTTGGGAATCAACATTAATCAGTGATGTCTAAATACTCTTAGAAAGTACATATGATTCGGAAAAATCACATTGGTACTTGCCCGGGCCAGGATCGAACCCACGCCCTCGGCGACGAGAAGCGGGCCCTTTAACCACTGAGCCACCACTGACTTAGTTTGTTTTATAATCCTGTGTACAGAATATGGACAAATTCATAATTATATTTTACTAGCTGCGCCCCGCGTTGTTACCCGCGGATTTCCGGGATTTCCAGGATGTAAAGTAGCCTATGTGTTATTCCTGGACGTCAGCTTCCTGTATACAAATTTTCATCAAAATTGGTTCAGCCGTTTGAGCGTGAAGAAGTAACAAACATACACACACACACACACACACAAACTTTCGCAATTATAATATAAGTAGGATTCTGGAAACACATAGGGAATTTGTTGTGATTGTAATAAATTATTGCATCAAGTATACATTACAATTTCATTATATCTAAGAGATGTAAATTCGTATTTTTAACTGCCTGAACTGATTTTAATGAGAATTTCAGCAGCAGATTTCATATAGAATAACCTCAGATACATTTATTGTGATATAAATATTAATTTTAGTAGTAATTATAAAAAAAATTACGGTGAAGGAAAACATCATGAGGAAACCTGGACTTATAGTTTCACAATTATAAGTTTGAAATCACCAACCCTTCTTGAGCAAGCGTGGTGATTAATGCTCAAATCTTCTCCATGTGAGAAAGAGGCCTTTGCTCAGCAGTGGGCTCTGATAGGCTGATGACGATGATGATATAAAAAAAAAAAATTATTTCTTGTATATTAAATATATAAACTATAGTTACCTGTATAAAGGTGTTGAATGACATGGCATCATGAATAGTACAGCCGAACGATTCTCTGTTAGTGATTCTCTCAACACTGGCATCACAGCCAATGTTCCCGCTTGATGAATAACACCAAAATACAAGCTCGGCAGTAAATTACCCACTAACATGAGTAATGTCACTCCATATAATTGCCACCTGTAAGAAAAATGCAATACATATAATAGATATAATATATGTAAGTGAAAACATATTAGATTACTACATTTTGCATTATTTAAAGGAAACAAAATGTATTACACTTCACTTTATAATTGAAAACAATTATATATAAAGATCAAGTTATGTTATATACGAGGTCTGTTCAAAAAGTACGCGGAATTTTTAAATTTCTAAGATCGGGAGAGTCTGATTGTCAAAAATTTTATTTTTATCGTATAGGCATACATGTCTCTAAAGTATGATAAAATTTTCAGCTATACTCACTGTTTACTTTTTTCGTGGTAGTCGCTAAGGTTTGACGTGTTTTATGAGCACGGTGATTTTTATTTGTTTAACCAATGGAAGAAGTGAAGAGTCAAAGAATTTGTATCAGATTTTGCGTACAAAATGAAATTAAGTGTGTGAAATGTTACAAAAAGCATATGGTGACTCTGATATGAAAAAAACAAGTGTTTACGAGTGGTATAAGCTTTTCCAAAATGGCCGAAAAGACATTGAATATGATGAACGGCCCGCTCGACCCAGCACGTCAATAGTCGAAGAAAATGTGAAAAAAATGGTTATGAATGATCCCCGAATCACAATAAGAGAAGTTGCTGATGAAGTTGGCATATCAATTGGCTCATGTTATAAACATTTTATCAAATATTTTGGCCATGAAACGAGTGGCAGCAAAATTCATCTCAAAACTGCTCAATTTTGACCAAAAAAAACAATCGCATGAACATCTCTCAGGAGCTGTTAAACGACACCAATGACGACATAAGTTTGCTTGAAAGCATCATAACTGTTCATGAAACATGCGTATGCGTGTTATGATGTCGAAATCAAAGCACAATCCTCAACCTAGAAGCATTCAACGTCTCCGAATGCGAAAAAAGCACGTTAAGTTTGATCAAATGTCAAACTTTTGCTTACTGTTTTCTTCGATTATAATGGCAAAGTGCATCAAGAGTTCTTGCCACAAGGTCGTACAGTTAAGCCGCATTTACATTTATCTGACGTGTTGTGTTGTGATGCATCAGAACGGTATCAGTTTCATACATTTAATATGGAAGCGTTCACATTTATTCAATGCGGTGTGTTATGACGGCTTCTGATTGTGAACTCTTTGGGAGTCAAGACGGAACTGATACAAAAAACCGTCATAATGCATAACAACACAACACGTCAGATAAATATAAATGCAGCTTTAATAAGGAATATAACTTTAAAGTAATGCGTTTGCTTGAAACAATCCGAAAAAACGACCCGATTTATGAAAAAGCAATTCATGACTTTTGAACCACATAGCGCGCCAACTCACTCGTCGTAGCTTGTTCGTAATTTTTTGGTCAAAAACAATACCGTAGTCATACCGCAACCCCATATTCACCAGATATCGCTCCGTGTGACTATTTTCTGTTCCTAAAATTGAAGAGACCCATAAAAAGACCTCGTTTTTCCTCGATTAAAGAAATAAGGGTTGAATCGCTGAGAGTGCTAAAGGACATTCCAAAAAGTGAATATCAAGACTGCTTCGAATATTGGAAAAAACGCTGGCATAAGTGAATTTTATCTGGGGGGGGAGTACTTTAAAGGAAACCATATTGATGTAAACAAATAAATATTTTTTTAAAAAAACGAAAATTCCGTGTCCTTTTTGAACACACCTCGTATATAGATTAATTTTTTCACATATATGAACACATATGATGTGAATGTATTTATGACAAATGGTAAGGTAACAACTTACTTTTTGGCTTTTCTACTCCACGGTACAATAACGTCTTGGGCCAAATACAGCAGTATTGGTAGTAGAGGTAGGACAAATCGAAACTCTTTGTGAGGGATGAAACTGAAACATTTCAATTATAAAGTTCAAATATATATAAAGACACTTATGCACACATATATATTTATATGTGTGTGTATGTATGGTATAAAAGAAAATAGTAGAATATTATTTAAATCATAAAAATGTTACCTGTGTAATAAAACATGTAAGCCAGCAGCAATAATCAACAATAACCCAATCTTATTTTCACTTGGGCGGGAAATTATTTTATACAAAGCCCACACAACTGGCAACACATTTATACCAAGTATCGCTGGCAATCCTTGACTTATATACCAATGCCTGAAAATAAAAAGAGGTTGCATAGAGATTACATATCAGAATATGAATTACTAAATACAATTAAATACTTCTCCAAGTTTTGAAGGTTTTATATATGCAATCTTCCTTAAAAAACTGTATGTAATTGAACACTATTTATTATTAAAAATAAAAATATTTTTAATATAATCCTAACATACTTATTATGTTTAAAACTTGTTGTAAAATCACAATTTTTATATTTATAACTTAAATTTACTGTATAAATGAAAATAGCTATTGTTTCTCTTTTGTATTACAATCCAATAATACATTCAAATACATATGAATACAGTTTTGATCCAAATTGTATTATAATTTCTGTGGATGTATGAAAATAATTATTTATTTTGTACAAACCATGGATGCTCTCCGTAGAATGAAGCTACACCACTGAGGACGTTAAACTTGAAGAACTCCCACGGAGTAATAATGAGACGGCCATACAAATAAGAATCAAGGCTGACCAGCAAAACACCAGATGTTAAACTGGAAATAAATACATAGATCATTATATATAAATATATATACTTGGATTTAATTAAATACATTTAGAGCATTATAAGGAGTACTAGTGTTCTAATTTAAAATTAAAGAAATCATGTATCTGTGCTGTGTTGCATATAGGTATTTAAGTAAACAGTTAGTAAGTTACATATTCTTTGTCTAAAATTTTTCACATCTGTGTGTCTCATATTCTTTGATATAAATCATGTATTAAAGTCGAATCATTGCATATGAAAATCAGTGTCGAATTGTACACTCTTGTAAATAAATCTTGAACTAGTTAGTGTCTTTTTATCCTCAACATTCTAAGCAAAGCAATAATTCTATACTATGTAAGTTATGAAGACAAATCATGTAGATTTACAATAATTCCTAGAATAGACTTCCTAGAAATTGGATAAATAACTAAGTATGTTTATCAATGTATTAGAATATTTATATAAGGCTATATACTAACGCGATAGGTAAATAGGTCTTTAAGAATAACTCCATCCTTCCTTGGTTGGTTGTTACCAGATTGTAAATACCAAGAACAATCCATAGTGGAGCTGAGGTCGGCCGTACAAAGACAGAGATACACGCCAGCCATAACCATGTTGAACTTTCTGAAAATATATTTATATATTATCATTATATATTCTCAGTGGTGGTTTAGTGATTAAAGGGCCTTTTTTTGTTTGGTGATGCAGGGAAACTCTTTTGACGAGCCGTCTAACCGGCCTAGGTGGGGCCGGAAGGGATGTGTGAGGCTTGGCCTGGGCAGGCCCCTACTCACTAAAACCACTGCGAAAGCTATCGGCCGTTATGTCGGTGTACCCTGGATCTGTCAGCGACAGAGCAAGTGATTAAAGGGCCTGCCTCTCATACATGAGGGCACGGGTTCGAAACCCGGCAAGTACTAATGTGATTTTGGTGGTGATTAATGCTCAAATGTGAGGTGGTGATTAATGCTCAAACCAAAGTTGTGTTACTCTGAACAATACTTATATTACAAAGAGAACATAGTTTTAATAGAAATGTGATTATTATAATTGTAGGAGTTCATGACTAACATACTTCTATATGTTCAGTAGCTTTTAAAAAAACAATTCAATAGTAGTATGGAAGTGTGTCATATATTTAAAATGTCTTTATTTTTGTCTACATTAAGACTATTCGAGTGATTTCACATACCTTTCTCATAATATCCAAGCTTTCCAGTTTTGAATGGAAATACAGATAGGGCTATGGCCACAAAAGCTGTTTCTAATGTCTGTAACAGTGTTCGACTGGCAGTGTAGAACCAAAACCAGGATGTAAGTATCAAAAACAATGCCCATTTCCGACCTCCAGTCCATTTGTAGAACCTGTAGTCGGCTATAGAACTAATGATTGCTTGCAGAATACGAGGTAGAATTATCTAAAAAAATATTTTCAAAATCTCTTTTATTAACATAATCAAGAGTAAAGCTAGTTTTCATATAAGAATTCTTAATAAAAATTAGTTAACATACCACAACATTTGGATAATCAAGTCCAGTGAATTTCAACACGGAGTAAAGTAATGCGATTACACTAGGGTACAAATAACTTCGTATCCCCTTTTGCCACTCCCAAGTTAGAGCTCCATAGCCGAAGGCATATTTGTGTGCCACTTCTAAGGTCTGCCAATACTCATCCGGCACATACCAGGTTTGCACTACGAACACTGATAAGATTCGCACCGCCAAAATTACAGCCCCAACCTGCATGGGCCTCAGGCCCTTTGCCAAAGCCATTCCCGCCTAAAAGAGGTTACTCCATATCAGCTATAAATAGACTTTCAAAACGTGCCTAGCACATACTTCATAATTATAAAGCTTTACTCAATTACACGGTAAATATAACCAATATATTAGTTAAATTATTTAAACTTTATAATACTGTGCATAGTTTGTCTCAAATGTCAACTACCGCGTCCTTTTTAATTTAACTTATAATGAATTAATAGTGACATAAAATTAATCCCAAAATAATAAGATCCCACCCAGAATATGAGTTGTTACAAAAAACCTGTTTATTTTGATTATATAGACGATAATACCAATTATTTCATAACAATACCTAACGCTAACCTCACCAGTGTACACTGTACGCCAGTGACCACCACTGTGGTTTACGAATAGAGCTATATTTTTAAGGCGTTATCAAATAACGGTATTCATAATTGAAAAAAAACGATACCATAAAACCATGAAATTCTTGTATTACAATAATAAAAATGGTTCTTTTATTATTTATTAAAATTTAATTAGCTATATAAATATAAATATTGGTAAAAGCATTAAACTTATTTGCACCACTATAGATGCGTTCAGAATTTTGAAACTCACCTCTTATTATCAGAATTTGTAGAACGAAGCATTAGAAATCATAAATGTCATCTCAGGATGGTTCTAAAACTTGTAGTCAAAATGTAATTGTAAGTACATTAAGAAAGGCGTGGCAAAAAAAATACGTTTATATAGTTTGCAAAATTACTAATATACATAAAATGTTAAATGATTATGTTATACGGATTTATCTTTAACATTTATTTAAGAAAGATATAAATTTGACAATAACAAAATTTACAAATGCTTAATTGACAATGAAGGATAGTTTGTTTTGATGTTCCGAACGTTCATTTATGATTGTTGATTTTGGGCAAAGTAAAACATTCCCATAATTTAAAATTAAAATATGATTAAAAAAAATTAAAATATGGGTAAGTACATTAAAAAAATATCAATGTATTAAGTTGAATATTCAATAATGATCACGATTTTTGTTACGATTTCTAGACAAGTCGAACAATGAAACACTTGATTTATCTAAGCGTGGGCTTAAGAAAATAGAGAAAGCGCACGCTGAGGATGCTGAGACTGTAATCAATTTGATTTTAGATCAAAATGAATTGCAGCGTATCGAAAACATTGATTCCTATCAACGAGTTGAAAACGTATGTACAATCCTTTGCCTTTATGTTATTAATAATTTAAAACGACTACAAGCTTATGTTTTTAAAAAAATCTCTTATATAAATACCAATTTGATTCTAAATAGAAATTATGTATATAAAAAATCCATTAGCATCAATGTTTCATGTACACTGTGTTATTTATCAAGAATTTAAGTATATTGAATTAAAAACAAATTTATTCACTGAAATTTATATCCACATATAATTTTTATGTATTTTGTATTCTAGCTGTCGATATGCAATAATTTTCTGTTGCGTATGCATGGTGTATCGAGACTCACAAACATCAGAGTACTGGCTCTCAATAATAATGGAATACTACAGATTGAGGGCCTCAAAGATTTGATATACTTGAAAGTATTAAAATTAGCTGGTGAGTAAGGGAATTATCTTAAAAACATTATAATCAAATCATTCACTGCGGGAAAAAGTATAGCAAATGTCCCAAAATAATGATTGCTTATAAATGATAGATCTTTCCACTGATTAAAGGCCCTTGAAAAGAATTTTCTATGACACAAAACTTGCTTAAACCAGGAAATGGGTCACTTGTCATTCAGTAAATCATTTTGTTACATAATCTTATTAGATTGAACATTTGGCACACATAATATGTGAACCCATAAATAAATATATAAACAAATTTATATTTTTTTAAAGAAATCCAATTGAAATAGTAATTTAAAAATTAAGAATTAAGTATAACAATGAATTGTTCCACACAATATGCTATATTATTAAACTGTGAAATTAAAGCTATATTATAGATTGCTTGCCTTTTAATAAATAATAATCATAGAGAAATTATCCTATTGATGCTAATTGGTATTGACTAACAATGGATGTAATAAGTTAGAAACTAATAATCTTATAAGAATGTATTGTTTTATATGAATTATTTAAAATTAATATATAACCTTTTTTAAAACATATTTATAATTCACTGGCTGTACATTATTAAATGTTTGTAAATTTTTTTCTTATATAATAATATATTGTCTATGGTAAATATTTTTTTTTATATGTTAAAGGTAACAGCATCAAATCAATAGAACATCTTAATCACAACATACATTTGGAGCATCTTGATTTATCAAATAATCAGATATCATACATCGCTGATATATCCTACTTAAAATGTTTGAAGGTATGTATGTATTTAAATAATATATATGTATATACATGAGCTAATTTTCTTATCATTTTTGTTATAACTTTGAAATCAATATATAGTCATCTTTTCCAAGAAGTAATATTTGAAGAGAAATAAATGTATGAACAGTATATACATGTATGTTTTATAGAATATAGTCTACTATATATAGTATTACATATTTTCTATTACAGCATCTCAATCTAGAACGTAATCGTATAATGGATCTCCGTCAGTGCGACCGTTACTTCCCGACAAACCTCCTCACTTTAGGGTTAGCACATAACAACATACAGGATCTGAATGAAGTGTCTCATTTGGTTCATCTATCGGAATTGGAGAGTTTCACCGTACAGGGCAATCCTTGTGTTGCAATGGCGGGGAAGGATAAATTGTATCCTTTTTTATATTGAGTAAAGTATAATTAATCTTCTTCTACCTTGCAATTTCCCAGCTATAACCAGAGTCTGCCTTACATGTTGTGAATAGTTGTGGCTGTTTTTACGACCGGCTGCCAGCCTGACATCAACCATCTTTGGGAATTAAAGTATAATTAATGTTTGATGTATATTTTTAATTTTTTACTGATGCAAGAAGGTTTTATGAATATTCCTTAACAGTAATTGATCAGAGGTTTTGATTACCGTCCATTTGTTCTGAACTGGATCATGAGTGTCAAATCTATTGACGGATTCATAGTTAGTGCAATAGAAAGGTTAGTATGTTATTTAATATGGATAATGTTATTGTATATTTTTAATATAACTTATTAAATAGATTTATTTTTTAAATGAAGCTGTATTTTCGGATTTTACTTCGCGTATTTATTTTTGATTATTAACTACATACTCCAGACGTTTCGGCTACTTTTCATTTATTTTTACTTTTTAGTAGCTTTATAAGATTTTTAGTGATAAATTATAGCACCTTACATCAATAATGTATATTTAATGAGTAGCTGTGTGTGTGTATGTAACAATGCGAGCTTCAATTATGTGTACATATTATTTCGTTCCTGCGCGTGTGTGTTTGTCTGTTACGCCATAGTCCTAAAACGATTCCACTTATAGATAATGTTTTTTCATTTGGAAGTCAGTATCTTTAGTTTGGTTCTTAGTTATGTTGTGTTAAATTATCAATTGATTTAGCGGTGTAAAAGTATCGGCACTTTTCTGAAATAATCTGAGTCGAAAGGTTTTATTTATATTTAATAAATTTCTTTTTGTACTTATATTTTATATGTACTTAAAAATTTAAAATAGTTTTCATACGAACAAATTAAATCTATCAGTAGAGTAAATATGTGTGATGTCGTGTATTTGTGAAGTTATGATATAAAATTCAAAAATTATTGGCGGTAGTTGGTAAATAACGAACGAGTTGACATTTTTAACTTGTCTGTCAGTAATATCAATACGAATTAACGAGTTAGACTTAAACTAAATGAAAATATTAATTCTACAGTGCATTTTTATTTAATCAATTCTTAAAGTTTTTGTCTAAAACTGTCAAATGTCAAAATTAATGTGAATATCCCATTTAAATGACCGTGCAAATGATAATCCATTTGTTGCAAAGTAATCGAAACTTTGGTAGTACTCTATACTAAATATTCGTAATTCGAAAATATTAGTTTAATTTTAATTAATACTCGCGAAAGTCTTAGATCTCATTATGATATGAAAATTCCAGTTTGAAAGCGGAATGGTTGTACAGTCAAGGTAAAGGTCGAATATTTCAACCGGGTCAACATAAGGAATTGTGTGAATACCTCGCTGCCACGTGCCCTCATACTGCAGATGCCTTAGAGACAGAGGATCAAAGGAAATTGAGACTTATATTGAGCAAGGTAAGGACTAAAATTACTTTGACTTGACTGCTTATAAGAGAACTATATTAAATGATATATAATTTCATTATAGGCTCAACATCACCAACAACAGCTGAAAGATCAAAATCATAGTCCCATCAAATCTAGGATACAGTCGCCTAGAATGCAGTGTAAGTTATTTTAAAACGAGTTGAGAATTTATTAGAATAAACTTTAAAATAATATATGTACATATATACAAAAAAGTCGCGGTGGCCTAATTTTTGAAAGCACGCATCTTGTGCTTGAGGGTGCGGGTTCGAAACCTGGCAAGGATCAATGTGATTTTTCCATATCATATATACTTTCTTTTCCCAAAGAGGGTTGATGTCAGGCAAGCGGCCGGTCGTAAAAACAATTAGCCAAAACTCTTTACAACATGTTAGGCAGACCCTGGCTAAAACTGGGAAATTGCCAGGAAGAAGATAAACTTTCTAAGAGTATTTAGACACCACTAACAGAAGGTGAAGGGAAACATCATGACTCCAGGTCTGACTTATAATTTCAAATTGTAAGTTTGAAATCACCAACCTGTCTTGAACAAGTGTGGTGATTAATGCTCAAACCTTCTCCATGTGAGAAGAGGCAGCTCTGCAGTGGGCGTCTGATAGGCTGATGATGATGATTATGATATATAATACATACTAGAAGACCCGGCGAACTTCGTATCTCTCTATAATCAAGAAATATCTGTTACGTTTTTTTATTTATATTTTTGGAGTTTACCTATTAAAGCCATAAATCTCCGTGTTTTGAAGTGCGACAGAATGATTGACATATTAGTTAGTTGTCAAATCTGATGTCAAAAAAAAACCGTTTGTATCAACAACTACAAATAAATTAAAAATTAATTTAAAAAAAAAACATTGTCCAGCGGACAAAATTGTGAATCTAAATCATTCCCAGATCGAATTGAACACATACAAAAACTTTCATCGAAATCGGTCCAGTCGTTATAGAAGTTCAGTGACATACACACTTACAGAAGTATTATATATATAAAGATATATATTTCAGCTCGTATGCCGTCCCGCCACGTCGGTCGTTCTCCGGACAGACTTACTTCAAGCTGTCATTCCCGTGTGATGAGTTACAGCTGTTCAGGAGATCTGCCGTCGTCTTCGCCTCAACAACATACACTACCACAAGCTATGTCACAGTCAGTTACACACACACTGACAGATAGACGAGAAAAGACAGGTTATTAAGTTGTATTATACGATTTCAGGGATGTAAAGTAACCTATTTGTTATTCCTGGATATCAGCTTCCTGTATACAACATTTTATTAAAATCGGTTCAGCCGTTTGAGCGTGAAGATGTAACAAACATATACACACACAAACATTCGCAATTATAATATTAGTAGGATAGCCATCCATAATGACCCAAGTGTATTGAAATTGTATGTGATATAATATATAAGAGAATATTTAGGGGATCAGGTTGTAATCGACATCTGTTAGTTCTTTGTCAATTCTTATAGACTTAATACTGAGTAATAAAATAATAATTTTAATAATAGCTTCAGGAGGAAAATGTATCGACAGATATATAGGATTTTGGTATAGTGCGTTTGATTTAAGCTGAGCTTTGAATTTGTGAGAGTGTACATAGATAGTGTAGGTGTGATGTCAAATTTTTGAATGCTACGTTCTTTTCTAGTTTTGAACCGGTTTATTCTGCTTTTACTCTGCCCCGCACCTTCCTCACTTAACCCTTTGTACTGGTAGCATGCTCAAGTGTTGAAACCGCAATGTCAAGTGAAGATTTTGTATAGTTTTTTCAAAATTTTTATAATTAATATTTTTTTTCCCTAATATTCAAAATATGTCCTGCCTTTTACAAGTTTTGCTTATTTTATAGCACTTATGTTATGTTTCTATTTAAAATATAATAAAATTTAATTGTAAAAGTTTTTTGTCTAACTCTACTTTTACTTTCACTCACACAAATGCAAAGCTCACCTTAAGTCTAACGGACTATAACACGGTGTTAAATGATAAGCTTCAAAAACTATTTGTTATGTCATAGAGCCTAATTTCATGTCATAATTTTTATTTTTGCATATCAATCTATAACGAATGCATCAATCTATGACATATAAACTAAATACATCAAACCAGTTTATTAATTCTTTACGTAATCATCTCACCCTTCCAGATCAACCGAAAGTAATGAATCAGCCATTGGAGGCTGCGTCTAAAATGGTTCCTGTGCCAGAATCATTAATGAGTCCCGACTATCAAGACCCGATATACGACATACAAAAGACGATACCAAAAACAAACAATAATCTATCCAACACTTCCTCACAATCTAGTAACAGTAGCGTTACAGAAGAAAAAAGACAGATATGCAAACTAAAAGGATCACCAAAATTACCTAAAAGCAACACTTCGTCACCCAAAATGAAGTCTAAAATAGAACGAAAAGGAAGTCTCACTAAGATCGATGCTGAGAAAAAACTAAACGGAGTGAAAGAGAAAGAAGATATCGACCAAGATAAGCTGGAAGTGATAAAACTCGCGTCCAATCAGAGGCGGCAGAAGAAGATGAGCGTGGAAAACATGGCGGCTGTTACTATACAGAAAATATGGAGGGGATATAGAAGTAGGAATTTGAATAAAGATACGTTGAGAATTCTTCATGCTATACAAGCAGCTCGAGCTAGGCAACATATACAGTGAGTAATAAGAGAATATTTATCCTTTTTACCCTTTTAATTCGCGGGTAATTCGGGTAAAATAGTATATTGTATCAATGTTCATAAATTCAAGATTTAAGTCATTTGAAAAACAAACTTAGCTATAACGCTACAACTATTATTAACATTTTGATGATTTGTACAAAACAGAATTTCTTTTAGATATTTGATGAAAGTAAGAACACTCAAGGAACCTTTCGCTTCAATCCTTCCACAGTCCCTACTAATATTATAAATGCGAAAGTAACTCTGTCTGTCTGTTACGCTTTCATGTTTAAACCACTGAACAGATTTTAATGAAATTTGGTACGGACATAGAGTTGACTTTGACAAAGAACATAGGATAGTTTTTATCCCAGACTTTTGAAAGGTTCTCTTGGAAACGCGATATAACAGAACTACACGCGGGCCACGCCGCGGGCGGAAAACTAGTTTAACGTGTAATTTAGCATACAATGAATATTTTATTGCATACAATATGTTAATATTTCAAACAGACGTCTCACATGTGATATGGAAGCAACGAAGGCAGCTTTGGAAAGTGAAAGAAAGATTCAGCAGTTACAAATGCAGGCCATTAACGCACTATGGAAGAAAGTCTCTACTCTACAGACTACTGGTGAGAGAAGATATAGTATACATAAAGTATATATTTAGTATACATTAGGTATACATTTAGTATACATATAGTATACACATGATTATTAGATACTAACTCACAGGTCATAAGTAATATAACAATTAAAATTAATATCAATGACCCATTAAGAATAATGGGATCAAAAAATAGATTTAATTAAATTTGTACCGTTCTTGGTATGCATATGTTATAAGTAAGACTTTTAATAATTTCATACATCTCATTTAGTTAATGTAGTTTTCGTTCGGATGTTGCGATTAATTTTGTGACATATATTTAACTACTTACAAAATTTTCACCTTCTAAATTCGCATATCCGCAAATAATTTAAAATATTGTAAATATTTATTAACTTTAGTAATTTTATCTTATGTAAGTAGTATACAAGTAGCAAACACAAATAACTACCAAGATATATATTTTTTAATTTTATATCCAATCATAAACTTGATTGCATACGTAGTCGCGAATTAATAAAAGTTAGCTAAATTTTCGTTTTTAATTTTCAGATCCAAAGCATAGAGTTTCAGAGTCAGAAGATAATTCAGAGGCTTTAAGACAGTTGACAGAAACCTGTGTGTCACTACAGGCTCAGGTAAACACACACACACACACACATATTCCTGTATTATTTTTTTGGAGTTAGCCTATTTAATATCAAAATTACTTTATTATTTTTAAGTAGTTACTCACATAATATATCTTTTATATGCACATAAATATAAAAGAAACTGTTTTTTTTTTTTCATTATAATCAAATATTGTTGATATTTGAATAATGAGTTATTTTTTTTAGCCTATACGAGTATAATGTAGTACAATAGTTTCTTAGGAATGAAATATTCAGAAATTAAACGAGTCTCAGGTTACATAAACTTACCTCTATATGAGATATCAACTTGTACTGTATATACTACGGCATCATCTATATTTAGAATTTGATCACCATACAGTTGTATAGAAATAAAAGTATAAATGTTTTTCTTTAATAATCCTAAGTTATATTGACTATTCTATATAAACTAAAGCGTATACCAGAAAAAATATAATTACATTACATAAATATATAACCATTAACTTACAAAGACCATAGACATAGAATACAATAACCTCCAAATATATACATATCTTTATATATATAATTCTTCTGTGAGTGTGTATGTCACTGAACTTCTCTCAAACGACTTGACCGATTTTAATGAAATTTTTTGTGTGTGTTCAAGGGGATCCGGGAATGGTTTAGATTCACAATTTTGTCCGCTGAACAATGTTTTTTAATTTATTTGTAGTTGTTGATACAAACGTTTTTTTTACATTAGATTTGACAACTAACTAATATGTCAATCATTCTGTCACATTTCAAAACACGGAGATTTATGGCTTTAATAGGTAAACTCGTAAAATATAAATTAAAAAACGTAACAGATATTTCTTGATTATAGGGCGATACGAAGTTCGCCGGGTCTTCTAGTATATGTATATATTATGTATATTACACTTTAATACAATATTATATATATATATCTCAGGTAGTGGAGCTCCAAGGTTGTATGAGGGACGTCCTCCGAGCTGTGTGTCGGACTGGTGAGACTCAGGTCGCTACACAGACGGACATAACAGCTGTTATCACACCGCAGGTGAACTATATTATTATAACTCTTATGCACATACAAATAAGGCTTAGTTTACTTTGATAGGTTATACATTGTATAAAAATGTTATCATTCAATAGTGGAAATATTGTAATATAATGTTTAGTATGTACATTTGTTGCTTTTACCCATAAAACATAATATTAGTTGTATCAAGTTAATGTTCCTTATTGAACACAATACTAAAATAAGCAGACAAAAACTAGTATTATAGTTATGTATATATATCAATTGTTATTTAGGAAGAACGTTGTAGTTGGCTGAAAAGACCACAGTCGTTAGCTCTGCCGGCTCATTGTGCGGATAATGTGTGAGTATAAAACTATTTTTACATACAACTATTACTATAAATAAAACTATATAATATATATACGTAGATAATAGTAATGAGATCTAAGACTTTCGGTGTATAAATGTAACTAATATTTTTCTGATATACTACGCATGCTTTATTTTTGCAAAAAACTTTCTGAAAAGTAGCCGAAACGTCGGTAGTATGTAGTTTTTTTTAATCAAAATAAAGCACGCGTAGTATGTCCGAAAACTGAAAAGTATTAGTTTCATTTCAAGTTAATAGTGTTATGTTTAATTGACTTCAAAGGTAGAATTCAGACGAATTAAGAACAAAATATACATACTTATCTAGGAAAATTTATATGTAAATAATACTATTAAGATTTTATGCTTGTAAATTGAATGACAGCTATTTGAAAGTACTTAGTTAATTTATTTTATTTTATTTACTACTTATATGTCGTTTATTGTTCAAGATTATCTCTTTTCTTTGGCCAAAGTATTATTGCTGTATCTTTAATATATGTCTTTTTTACTATCTATTTATTTAGTCACATAATGAATTGTTTTTTTTATATTTTTCAGTGAGAAGTCTGAGTCAGAAATCCTTCCCATAGAGCGCACCGAATCAATGATCGAGGAAAGTATAGAGAATGAAGAAAAGGAATTGTTGGCTGATTGATTTGAACCTTATTATTACAACAATAAAGATCGTTTTGCTGTGGCTTCGCTTGCTATATTTTTTAAGAGACAACTAAGAATTTACGTTATTATACAATGTTAATATTGTTTTATATGAAAAGACAGCTTAAAAGACGTTTTTATTTATTAATCGAACCGCTAGTTGTCTGATATTGGCTAATTGGGTTATAAATTAATAATGAACAAGGGATCTTGCGCTGTCGCTAGCAATAAGCTTACATTATAGTAATAGTTTTCACATGACAGTAGCTTTGTAGCGTTTAAACTTATTATTATAATTAGAATTTCAATACTAATGACTTTTGTTTCATATAATTTTTTTTTTCTAGTTTTTCGTCACAAACGATGGTTGTTTATTGTGTATCGAATTTTTATTTTATGTAAATTTGCCGTATAACAAATTTAATTGCCCTAAGATTTAATTTAACACTAATTGTAGTATTAATATTTATATATCGCCACACTTAAATATTAGTTATCTAGTTGATAACAACGATTTCGCACTAACACTGCCGTAACATTGCAGGTATTTAAGAAAATGATGCATTTTTTCCCTTAAACGTATAATAATTAAAAACAATGTACTAAAAAAATAAGAAGAACGAATTTATTGAAAAAATACATTGTTATTGTCATCTTATTGGCGCAATTTTAAATGGAGCGGCCATGTTGTTTTTTCGGGATTAATTTGTTTTTTTTTAATATTCAAAATCGAAGAGCTTTTATTATATAACTCTAGCACTCCTAAGGATATGGTTTTAATTATTATTTTTTGATTTGATATTGTTTTTGTTATTAGATTATTAATAATTTAATAACGTGACTGTTCAGTCTGGTTCTAGGATCTGACATTTTTTAAAATTTAAATCCAATATTGCCTTATTTTAGTAGAAATATTGAAATGTTTATTGTGATTTTTTTAATATGTTTTTTTAGTTTGTATGTCACGGTTAACTGGAAATATGTAAAACGACCAGGTATCTGCTACACGAGCACTGAAATGATAAGCTTTATGTTTTTTTAATAATAAATATTATTATTAAAAAAAGCTACATATTCTAAATGATGATAATAATTTTTCGTAATCAGAGTATTGTAGTTTTCTCTTTCTAACTGCTGTATTAAGAACTAGTCATTTTTGTAAGTTTGTTAAAAGTTTTACTAGACCGTGTCTTTTAATATATGAATATTGAAACGTGTTGTTTAAATGTTCGTTGACCAGTTGAGTTCAACTTTTACTGACGTTCTTAAGGAAGTTATTTTATTAATTTCAATATAAGTACAGGCGAATTATTAAAAATTTGTACCCTGAAATCTGTCCAAAGATCTACAACAATCCAAAAATTAGTATTTAATGTATATGATATATTATTACAATTTACAACAAAAAGTACACTTTCATAAACAAATCTTTTTTAATGATGGTTTTATTTTCGAAAATGCTTCGCGCCGCACTCCGCTTATGTAGTGTAAGGAGAGCACAAAGTATATGTATGTTGTATGTCGGTCCGTGTAAGTGATGTAATGTAATGTTTCCTCGTAATATTTGTTTCATTGACTCCTTCTGATACTCGCTGTATATTCGTTAAGTTAGCGCTCTTACACACGAACGGCATGTTGCTAACTGCAAGAAACACTGTTATTGCTTTTACTTGCTTGACGCCGACGGAAACGAAAAATAAAAACACGTTCACTGTGGGTTCAAGAAATGTTAATCAATAGAGATCAAGATGGGCATTTTTCTTTACTGCCATAATTAGCAATTCATTATCAATTTGGTCGGTAGAAGTCATTTTACAAATTTGAGACGCGTGCGCACTCTTGAACTATTTGCATTAAGCAACATGCCGCTCGTGTGTAAGAGCGCTTAATATCTACCGTCCTAACGTCTTGTGTCCCCACCTTGAGTTGTCCGTTGATAGCTTGTATTATTGTTTTATAAAACATTTTTGAAAAATTTCACCTGTGTTTCATTTCATACATTTCTGCCTCATTATAAACTCTTATTTTATTGTAAGTTATTTTATTGTTTGAATAAAACGAGTATAATCAAATCCCGGTATATTTATTATATACTTAATACAAAAAAACTCCAACCAGTGGAGTCATTACACTATGACGACAGTCGTGGATGTCCTACAACAGTTTTTATATAAATGTATTATGCTTAATGATAACTTTAAAGCTATTATCGTTAAAAATAAAGCGCCGTACAGTCGCCCACACTAAGACAACCTATGTGGTGCACCGTACGTTATAAAACGCGGCTCCAATTATTATTATAATATGAATTATGAACGCCGCCGGCCTCAGTGGATTTATTCTCTAAATATAAACATACAAACAATACACTACGAATGTAAACCTTTAACCTAACTATGTAGAGTCGGACACCGAATATCACATTGAGTATCAAACTGGCGATATAAAGAATTAAAACACATTGACAATATACAACATGAGAGAAGTGACGAACTTCACTTAAATCTACCGAAACCAAGGGCTGCGAACAAACCTTAATGTATAGCGCTAATAGTGACATTTCCTTCGACACAATAATGTTAGGATATAATAAAAAAAAAACATACAAAATCATGTAAAAACTAAATCCAAAAATATAAGTTACACGACAATAATCCATAAAAAAATATATTTAATACATTCATATAAGAGATCAGCGAAAATTAAAAAGATACACAAATATTAATTTTCTGTTTGATTAAAAAATCAAGGATTATTGCTATTTAATTGAAATTTCAAAAATACGATGAGTTCGTGAGAACGAAACATTTAAAAAGTCTCACATAACAATCCTATTGATTTAAGAATATTTGTAGAATTATTGAAAGTAATATAAAAAGATATATAATTACATTAAAAATACGGTGCAACGAACCGTGTGTTACAACGAAAGCACCATCTCTCGTCAACAATGTAAACTATAACTAACAAGCCAATACGTATCAATTGAGACTTTATTGTCTTACAAATAGAGTCAATATTGCATCACCCGCATGGTATAGCATAATTGACGTAACAATTTACCTAAAAAATAAAATTAGCTAAATCAATAAGACGTAAATATAAAGGAACGCTTCGAAACTAACATTGTTCACTTGGCAGTGCTCAGTAAGGTATACCTCACTTAAAACGAACCTATCATACAATTACAATCGAATATCATAAAATAAAGCACTGTATTCATAGTTTCGATCAATTTAAATGCATCATTACGTAAACTTTAAAGCGGTGGATTCGTTATAAATATATAGAATATGTTTGTGATCAAAACACTTTATATATGACGACGTTCAGTCTGATCTCAGTGATGTCCGAACGCTGTGTTTTTTTCTTTTTGGTCACGAAAAAACTTGGCCAGCCTTTGTTTCTGTATGTCGTTGTAGTGTTTGTTTGAGGCTCGCACTTCCTCCAGTAGTTTCCGCACGGCCTTGTTCCTCGGGGACACTTTGTCCGCTAGCTTGAGGTCGCTCAGAGCCGCCTCGTAGTTCTTCAGAGCGTAGTTCGCTTGTCCGCGACGGTAGAGGGCCTTCTCGTTCCTAGGGTCCATGTGCAGCACCTGTAAATGTAGTAAATGGAAGTCATATATTTTTGATCTGTTTCATATAATATTATAGTTATATATATATCTTGTATGTATGTATGTTCCGACCTGGTCGCAGCTGGTGAGGGCGGCGCGGTAGTCTCTGAGTCGACACTGACACGCGGCCAGGTTGAGGCAGCTCTGACGACCGCACGAACGGAGCTCCGACACTGACGGCGATGTATACAGATCAATATAAAGAAATTTGAGACATAGAAATACATTAAAAACATTAATCCCTACTGTAGGATCCCTGGTCCTACATGTAAGTATAACTAGTCACTGGCTCACTATTACCCGTTCTGCTCCGCGCTAGTCGTGAAACTGCCGAGCGCATGCCGCCCCTCTAGTGGTTTACGTGGGACAGTGTATTATATTTATAGTATAGATACATACACTACACCTACTAATATTATAAATGCGAAAGTAAGTCTATCTGCCTGTTACGCTTTCACTGAACTGATTTTAATGAAATTTGGTACAGAGATAGAGTTGACCTTGAAAAAGAACAGGATAGTTGTATCCCAGACTTTTGAAAGATTCTCTTGGAAACGCGATATAACCGAACTCCACGCGGGCGGAGCGGGTAACATGGTTCTAGACCAGTGTTTATCAAACTGTGGCTCGCGACACCTAGGGATAATCGTCGCAAAGATATACTTGAAGGGTCGCCAGCAAAAAGAAAAAAAAATTCTACACTAGAATAAAAACCAAAATTTAATGAAAAGAATGGGCTTATTTATTTTTCAAAAGCATGTCTAATCGTGGTGCCATTTTTTAAAATATTATCTATCAAATCATCTTGTAATTGAAGTGTATTACTCCTTTTTGTTTTGATGTCCATTACAGAGAATGTCTTTAACTTTAATATGTCTTTAGACGTTAAATTTAAGACTGTTTTGCCTGTCTATGCCACAAGGGCTGGCCAAAATTTTTCGACCCATAAAAGGGTCGCAGTATCAGAAATATGTATTGAAAAACAGGGTTCGAGAAGTTTCTTAGCTCTACCTAGGTAAATAATAGGTATGTATCCTAGGTATGTATATAATATATAAGGTCACAATATAAAAAATATGTATTGAAAAACAGGGTTCGAGACGTTTCTTAGCTCTACCTAGGTATGTATACAGGGTGACTGGTGAATTACTATCGATATTTGAGAACGTGATATTTGACGATCATATATGACAAAATAAAAATTAATATAACATAAATATTAATAAACTTCTGAGTAAAGTTAACCAAAAGTTATCTAATTAATTACGCATCGTGTGAACACCCTACAGATTAGGTATACACACACACACACACTCGCGCGCGGCGGCGTATTGTTGTATCAGCACGCCGCCGCACGCGTCCACACTTGGCACACTTGGAACGTGTCCGCACTTTATTTATTTATACGGAAATTTGGTCAAAAATTAAGTACCTATTTTTTTACATAATTCGAATGAGAATCATGTACCGAGTATTCTCGTTAAATATTGATAGTAATTCACCAGTCACCCTGTATAAGGTCACGATATCAAAACTATGTATTGAAAAACAGGGTTCGAGACGTTTCTTAGCTCTAACTATGTATTTAATAGGTATGTATCCTAGGTATGTATATAATATATAAGCTCACGGTATTTCTCGCCATCCTTGGCCCCAATTTCTTGTGCCTGTGTCACATATCTATTACATTTCCTGTATTTCCTCGCAGCGGCCTTATACCGTCCCGCACCAAACAGATCATTACCGCTCTCCTTCACACGACGAATACTATCGACAAGCTCCTCCATCTGAAACATAATATATATACATATATACATATGATCAGTTGTTAACCATCTTTAATACAACTATAATAAGGGATGCCCAGGAAAATATATATATCCCTACTAATATTATAAATGCGAAAGTAACTCTGTCTGTTACGCTTTCATGCCTAAACCACTGTACTGATTTTAATGAAATTTGGTACAGAGATAGAGTTGACCTTGACATAGGATAGTTTTTGTGTTGACTTTTGAAAGGTTCTCTTGGAAACGCGATATAACCGAACTCCACGCGGGCGGAAAGCTAGTATATATATATAAATCCAGTAGTTATATAATCATTTGATTAAAATAAATTATACAGACACACACACACACACACATAAATCAAATCCATTAAAATTATAAAATGTAATGCCTATATATAATAAGTGTCATTTTTGTTAAACTAGAAATTTTAAATAATCAAAGAAATATACATAGATCAATATAAATAGAAGTGATACCTATGTATCAAGTATAATAATAATATTTCATATACTTCTCATTTAAATGTTATGACACATTAAAAGTAAAAAAATATATGAATCCTATATATCTTTTAATTGATTTTTATATAGTCTGTAATTATGCTAGATAATATACAGCCAAGAATAAATACTTCTTAGTGAATTATTATATAATCTGTATTCTATACAGCCAGCTTACAGTCAGATTTGTTCTCATATCCTCTGGATGTTCTGGCAATGTGTCCAAAGTTCCATCTCGACAGCAAACATCCCATGTATCGATATCAACTATCTCACCACAGTCATCAATCAAACACTCCTGTTAAAGAAAATAATTCAATAAATATTATTAGCACAGAATACATAATTATGTCAAAAATATGCACAGATTATAAATAAAAACTAAGTAGCTTCTTTTATTTATTATTTATTTTGAGAACAATAGTAAAAAAAATCTAGTATCAATAGGATATGGATTATTATATGGCTTTTGAATCATGACTTTCAGAGTATACTACATATAACATGTATAATACATATATTGAATATTCATACATGTTTAAATAAATATTTCTTTTAAGTTTTAATATTGCAAGCAATTGATGATTGCTTGTTATTTCTATTAACTAATAAAAATTATGTAACTAATATACATTTTGAAATAGTTACATATGACCAATTTATCAAGATCCCTATCAATATGAATATTACTCACTACTGAGGGTGTATCATCGCTAGACAGACTCTGTATTTCCTGAACTACTCCTAAGCCAGCCAAGACCCTTCCAAAAACAACATTAGTACCATCTAGTTGTGGACAAGGCACGCTGGTGATGCAAAATTGAGATCCATTCGTATTGGGACCAGAATTCGCCATACTAAGGACGCCTGCTTCATGCTGAAACAAAGAAAAAAAGTACATAATATATAAATAACACTATAGATTTTTTGGACTAAATTCTGCACGTGACTTCGTCCATAAACTTCTTAATTCTGAATTAACAATAGTAATTATCTGATAGATCCATATATCTAGATCAAGTGACTTCACACAGAATAAATTCTTACTGGAAATATTCAGTATAAAAATTTTACAAACATACATCTCACAAATTTTATATTTATACTAGAAGACCTGGCGAACTTCGTATCGCCCTATTATCAAGAAACATCTATTACGTTTTTCGCCCTACAATCAAGAAATATCTATTACGTTTTGAAGTGCGACAGAATGATTGACGTATCAGTTAGTTGTCAAATCTAATGTCAAAAAAAACGTTTGTATGGGAAATAGAAAAGAGCTGTTATTATGGTTTTCCCAGTAATGAATCAATTTTTTTCAGCTTTTATACCTTCCCTGAACCTCCACGAACATTTCAAGACTAAGATAAGATAAATCCGCTCAGCTGTTCTCGACTTTTAGCGAGACTAAGGAACAGCAATCCATTTTTATATATATAGAAGAAGAAGATAGAAGATTAGTTCTCATATAGTTGTATTAAAATCCATGCAGTAATTCAAACATGTGTACATACAAAAGTATTAAAGTATTAAATTCATGTTATATAGAAAATTCTAATATATTACAATAAGCTTGAAGTTTTCATCTTCAAAGGTCAGCCCGTAGATGCTCTCACCACCTGTTCCATTACCATTTATGATATCACCACCCTGGATCATGAATTGTGTGATCGCTGAAAATAAGTATAAAAATATATAAAGTTTCATTTACATATTCATGTATTACATTAAATACTATTCTAACTAATATTAAGTGCATTTAAAATATTTTGTATGTCTGCATTTTTAAATCAGATGATCGATAGTTAGTTAAATTCACCATTAAGTCGATAAGAGAAATCATTAATGAGTAATAATATATAAGTAAAGTAGTTAAGCAGTTGTTATTATGTTGTTTAAAATAATAAAATAAAACATAATAATCCGAAAATATTATTTTCATTTAGAGAATAAACATTTCTGATTTCGTAAGTAGTACAAGACTAAACCCGGGGAGATATAGAAAGTGATAATTCTATTCCAGGTGTAAAAAGAAAGACATTATGCTGAAACAGATATATCAAGTTTAACAAATTACTAAGTAAATTACCAAACTAAGTGAATTAGTTTTAATTAATATAAGTAAAAATAATACATATTAATTATTATAAACCCACCAGATTATATTATCTGAAATTATATGGCATCATATAATTTTAAAATCAGTGGTTTTTAAAATAAATATTCTGTTTTAAGATGTAGTTTAGTAGAAATTTTAATGCTTTAAATTTAAAGAACATACTTTATCATTGGATATTATTTTAATGGAAATAAAATACTTTCAATTTGAAAAGAATCAACTTATCAGAAACATAAATTAAAATGTGTTCTTCATATAAAAATAAATAAATCAGTCTTCTAAACACAATATAAAAACCCTTATTATTCTAGAAAAAAAAAACAAACATCTCAAAACAATGAGATATTAAGAAAGAATGATTGTTTTATAATGCCAACATGATAATTATAAATTATTATTCAGTTAAACATAAATATATATGTATCTTATATATTTTTGTAACGAGATATATTTAAAAAAGAAACGAGATATATTTAAAAAAGAAAAATATATATGACAGATTAAAAATATATATATGAAAAGAGATACAGTTTATAATAGTTTGTTAATTTTAATGTTTTCTTACAAGGAAATAGATAATTGTTTTATGTGTACAGCAATTATAGTAATCCAATCACAATACAGATCAAAGTGCAACTCACGAGATAAGTTAATGATAATTGCTTAGAAAAATTTACTTAAAAATATGTATGTATGTACTTACAAATGTGGAATAATTTCTATTCTATCATTAAAACACACATTTTTGAAGTATCAGGTTTGATTTGAAAATCAGACAATAATAAAATTTTGAAAACTTATTAATTCTAATGAAACTAATATTTTCGGATTTACTAAGTGTTTTTTTATTTTTGATTATAAACTAAATACTTCCAATGTGAGTGAGAAGTTATTAATTATTTGATCTTGAATTAAAATTATCTGAGTATTGCCCTCAAATAGCAAATAGAAGGACACTAAAGGTTTTTTAAGAATTAATGAAACAAGTGAAAACATATTAAAATATATGAAAAACAACTTTTGCACTGTTAAAAGTTCCTCTGATTAGAAAAATGTAAGATTTTTATCACAAATAGAAAACAAGAATGACAATAAGGCGATCAGAACATATTACATATGAGAAGTATAATTAGGGAAAAGCGAGTTTGAACAAGGTGTTTTTATTGATTATGGAATATTTGCTTACTTATAACTTTTTTTTATAAATATAATACCTTTGTGAAATCTAACTCCTTTGAAGTGTAGTGCTTTTCCATGAACACCAATCCCCTTTTCTCCTGTGCATAAGGCACGAAAGTTCTCAGCAGTTTTAGGCACAACATCATATCTTAATTCTATAACAATTCTCCCGGCTGCAATGACAACATAATAATTAAATTACTTTACGATAAAATTTTAGAAACGTTTGGTATAATTCAACTTGAAAGTAAACTATGGTTGGAGTTATGTTTATCTTAGAAGTTTTGGATAATTTCGGATAATTAATTTGGTTAAAATAAGGAAGGTATTGGACTTTAATTATGAAGAGCTTATCGTTTTTGTGCTAAAAACATGAAAATTTTAAGCGAGAAAATCATCTAATTGTATTACAAAATAAGCGTATACTCAGAATAATAAATCATGAATTAAATAAGAATTCTAATATACATTGTATGTGTAGGCGTTATTACTAACCTTTCTCTCCATCAATTAAAATATCTAGGAATACTAAAGGGTTCCTGTGTTTTTGTTGAAGCTCCGTTATCATTATCTTCACAATATCACAATTCTAAAGCCATTTATAAAATAAAATCTTAATTAGAAAATATAAATAACAGCATAATTGACCATTCTGAATTTATTTCGTGTGATAAAAGTCGTTATGACTTATGCCTGTATTAACTAAACAAAAACAAAGCAAAAGAAACACCCATTGAAAGGTCCTACCGCAAACCCTTGTCTGGTCAAAGACAAAGTATTCCATAGACTTTGGCATTTTTTAAAGTTAATTTCATTAGTGAGTAGAGGTTTGCAAGAAATAATACTATTTACTCAAATAACATAATAATGTCGAATATACACAGATTAAACAATTTAATAAAATATTTATTGCAATTGGTACAATATTTTCCGACAATCATAACTTTTGTAGTTAAATTCTTTAAATTGATACCTGTCTTACCTTAAAGTATACTGTTTTTTTTCAGATTTATTGATTTATAAAAGAAATTGTTCAAGATGAAAATGAAGCTAGATATTTTATATCAAAAGTATACTCAACATTTGATAATATCGACAATTATTCTTCGTCCATATCTTGTGTTGATATACAATACTTATTTGTCGATTCTATTTATGAATAAGGTTTATATGAAAACATCTCCCTTTTTCTATTAAAACTTTTTAATTTTGCTTACGAAGTCTTCTGTAGCAACATCCTTCTTCAAACAAAGATATCGTGTGTTTTTATATAAAAATGAAGTGGATTAAATTAAATTACGTTCATGACTGTCGTGTATTTTAGATTTAAATATTTATATTTCAGAAATTGTGAGCACAAAAGGCTTTTTATGCTAAACAGTAATTCGGAACTCCTTTTTTAGTAATTGATATATATACTTAAGCGATTCCATTCGTATCTACTTACTACTCAGACGATAAGAAAGCCGTAACTTTTTTATCGAATTACTGCTTTCAATGTCACTTGTCAAGTCCAGTTGTTTAAACTAGTGATACAGAAATTCTTAATTGCGTCACCAATCCAATTTTCTGTACGGAATTTAGGAATTTCATTAATTAAATTTGTGTAAATAGTAATGCGGCTTATTTAATGTAGGTAGACTTTTTCGTTTGCTATAAATTTTTGAAGTCTTTTGACAGCATTCGACCAAGTGTACACTATTATATATCGACACTTTATAATATTGATAACTATATTTCAGTTAACAAGATGTCGTCGTCAGCGATTTACATATTGGACGTTAAAGGTAAAGTTCTCATATCGAGAAATTACCGAGGCGATGTAGATATGGGTGTTATAGACAAGTTCATGCCGCTTCTTATGGAGAAGGAGGAAGAAGGGATGTTAACACCATTGCTACAAACGAGCGAATGTACTTTCGCTTATATTAAGACAAATAATCTTTACATTGTATCAACTACAAAAAAGAATGCCAACATTGCCCTTGTGTTTGTATTTCTTTACAAAATAGTAGAGGTTATGACTGAGTACTTCAAAGAATTAGAAGAAGAGAGTATTAGAGATAATTTTGTTGTTATCTACGAATTGATGGATGAGTTGCTCGATTTTGGCTATCCACAGACCACCGATAGCAAGATACTTCAAGAATACATAACTCAGGAAGGTCACAAACTTGAAATGCAACCACGAATACCGATGGCAGTAACCAATGCTGTATCATGGAGATCGGAAGGCATTAAATACAGGAAAAATGAAGTGTTCCTAGATGTGATAGAGTCGGTTAATCTATTAGCTAACTCCAATGGAAATGTTTTGAGAAGTGAGATTGTAGGGGCGATCAAAATGAGGGTCTATTTATCAGGGATGCCGGAACTAAGATTAGGATTAAATGATAAAGTGCTTTTCGAGAGCACAGGCAGAGGGAAGTCTAAGTCTGTAGAATTGGAAGATGTAAAATTCCATCAATGTGTTCGATTGTCGAGATTTGAAAATGACAGAACTATATCTTTTATTCCACCAGATGGTGAATTTGAACTTATGTCATATAGATTAAACACTCATGTTAAACCTCTGATTTGGATTGAATCAGTTATCGAACGACATGCCCACTCCCGGGTTGAATACATGATCAAAGCTAAATCACAATTCAAGAGACGTTCAACCGCTAATAATGTTGAGATAATCATACCAGTACCAGCCGATGCTGATTCTCCTAAATTTAAAACGACTATTGGCAGTGTGAAATACACTCCTGAACAGAATGCTATAACCTGGTCTATAAAATCTTTCCCTGGCGGCAAAGAGTATTTAATGCGGGCTCACTTTGGTTTGCCGTCCGTAGAATGTGAGGACACAGATGGGAAACCGCCTATTCAAGTCAAATTTGAGATTCCATACTTCACTACTTCCGGGATACAAGTTAGATATCTTAAAATCATTGAGAAAAGTGGCTATCAAGCTCTGCCTTGGGTGAGATATATCACTCAGAATGGAGATTATCAATTAAGGACTAATTAAATCACAGCCATTTCTTTGTTACATTCCTTTAACATATAAGTTGCACTAGTATGTAATCCTAATTATTATATATATTCAATTTTAATGTAGTTGTATTTTTGAAGTATTATTGTTAAGGTTGTTTGACACTAATAAAGTCTTACTATTTATCTTATTTTTATTATTTTTTCCTTACGAGCTATTGCTATAAAAGCGTAAAATATACTGAATATGAAAATTAAAGAAGGAAATATGGACAATGAACGAGTTTTTAAAAGACAAAAGGCCAATTCTAAAACATAAAAGAATAGTATGGGGAATGTATTTTAAAGTGTATTTTCTTTCCGTTTTTAATGGATACAACTAGATACATAAAATAAATACGTTTATTGCTACTTAAAACCATAACATGTTTATTATCATCTGAATACGAAAAATTTATGTAAATGTCCACTGCTATGATTTTTTATCCAGTTATTCAGTACTTCACTGTAATTTCATGACATCTGTCAATGTCTGTAATTATTTGTTTACAAAATTTCAAACTCATTCGCGGGATCATTACTTGTTAGGTATCAAACACCGGTTGCATTTATTTCATTGTTATTTAATGGATCGTAGAAAATATGAGAAATCTTAAAAAACTGTGCCATATTTACCGTCGGAGCTACAGCAATGATATATTGCCATCAAGTGAATCCGTAATAATAAGACAGAGTAAACTTGAAAAGGATATTGATAACCTCGAAACACCTGTTAAAATTCCTCCTGAAAATGATCCTAAGGAATTCAGAGTCAATGATGTGAATATACAAATGATATCAAAAAATATATACGACCAGCTTTTTCGAAATCCGCAACCTGCTCCAGATGCTAAAGTGATTAAAAGGTAGTTTTATAAATTTTTGTGTTGTGTAAATCGACATTTGTTTTTAAGCCTCTCAAAACTATAGAGTTATTTTCGACTGTATTAAGAATTCCTTAATTGCAAGAATATTTTAAGTTATGTTGTACAATTTTTTTTTTTTAGCAAAATAAAATTTTGAGAGGCTTATACCATATCTGCCTCCTTATTTATGAAAGTCCTTTTGTAAATGACAAATAAGATATTTTAAGTAAATATTGTTTGCAGTTGTCTAAACCATTTAGAAAGGCATGGCATAGATATTAGGAAGAGTACCTACTTACCAGACGTACAGCTTAAAATACCAAAGTTAGAAGGAAAGGATATTGAGGAACATTTTTTTAATATTGGAGAGAAACAATGTGCCCCATACAGAACTCTCTTACAAAAACTATCAACCGGCAATTTGCCTAAATTACCAAAGGTATCAATGTCCTAGCTTAAATTTAAATTTATTTATTTTTCTCATTACTAATTGAAAGATAACAAAAAGGAAAAATTGTCAGGAAACAGGATATAGGAAAAAGAACAGTGTAAAAGAGAATAATTATATTCTTTTTTGTCAATTGTTTTTTATAAAAAAAATGTATTGCATTAATCTTACATTTCCTATGTCCTTAATTTCAGAAATGGCTTAAAAATCAGGGTTGGACTAAATATACTGATCAAGGTTCGGAACCCGTTGCCTGTCCTCAAGATGATGCTTTGATACTTGATGTGGAAGTTCTGATGACCGCTGGGAAAAGACCGACACTGGCCTGTGCTGTGTCATCTGAAGCTTGGTATATTCTATGTGTATTCTTATAAATATATTATTCCTCTTCTTCTACCTGGCAATTTCCCAGCTTTAGCCAGTGTCTGCGTTACTTGTTGTGAATAGTTTTGGCTAATTGTTTTTACGACCGGCAGCCTGCCTGACATCAACTTTCTTTGGGAATCAAATGTATTCCTATAAATATATACAATAGTATTAATCCCTTAGAAGTTAAGATTGGATTTGGTTGGTTGGCTGATTGGTTGGTTGGAATAGTTTCCATGCATTTTAATTGTCTATTAAATAGTTATCAACATAAAAAAGACCTCATTCTTTGTCTACTTGCCTGATTTTCTGTTTGTTGGAGTAATGTTTTGAAGACATGGGTTTGACAAGACTCTAATTAGAGAATGGATAAATGCTACTTCTATATGGTTCTAATATTGTTTTTTTACATGTAAATCGATTTTTTAAAATATTGTGTATAGAAAGATTGATATGTAACTTGGGGTGACTGAAGTATAACATATTTATGTTATTTCCAGGTATGGCTGGGTAAGTGAACCTCTGGCAAATGATAAGAAACATGAACATCACAATACTGTGAGATACGAAGATCTTATACCATTGGAAACCGATGGTTTTGAACCAGTAGGTGATACAACCAGGCCGAGAATAGTGGTTGGTCACAATGTATCATATGACAGGTCTAAAATTAAAGAACAATATTGGCTGAATAAGACTGGTGAGTAAATGTATGTATTTTTATAGTCTTCATTTAATTGGTGGATTGTAACAATACATAAATAGACTGATTTTTTTTTCATATTTCAATTTCTCTTATAAAAAATATTTAGTCCTAAGTAATTTTTTTCTGTTTCAATGATTAAAACAAATCTTGAAAATGATTTGCCGACAAATTTAATCATTTGAAAAATTTACATTTATTTTTTGACAAAATATATCAGAAAGAGAAGTAATGACTGATAAAGTTAAATAAACTAAAATGGTGTATCACATATATTTATTAAGAATAATATCCAATCAATTGACATTTTTACTTTTTATTTATACAACATATGAATTGTTGTTACTTTCATCATCGCTGTAGTTCGCAGTAGGATCATATTAAAATGCCAAGCGATCGTATGATGCCAATGATCTTTGTGTGTTCACGAGTTGTCTCAATCTGGCATTCTCTTATTATATTTTGTCTCTCTTTGGTTAAGTTCTATGAATGGACACTTGTTGCTGGCTTGCATGTCTTGTGCGGTTCTGATTGATTTGACGGTTTCCAATTGAAATGTTAGGAAAGTAATAACTTATTTTTTTTTTTAACTTTTTTTCACAATTTGACAGTGAAAACAGTAATGGACAAACCATTACATGAAATTGACAATGTTTCAAGCGCCGGCGCCATCTACTTAAAATATTGGTTTGTAGTACATGCTATGTATTAGAGATGGCGCTGTATGTGAAAAAAGATTTTTCCGCTTTTCTGTTGAATTTTTCTGAGTTTTCTTTGCTATAAAACTCGCGGAGCCCGAGACCTTTCTAACGAATACAAAACCGAGGTAATCGGTTCGTGTGTTCTGGAGTTATAGCGTCAGGAAGGAAAACCCGACTTATTTTAATATAGTAGATATCTATACTAATATTATAAAGCTGAAGAGTTTGTTTGTTTGTTTGTTTGTTTGTTTGTTTGAAAGCGCTAATCTCCGAAACTACTGGTTCGAATTGAATAATTCTTTTTGTGTTGGATAGTCCGATTATCGAGGAAGGCTGTGGGCTATTTAACATCACGCTACAACCAATAGGAGCAAAGATATAGTGGTAAATGTGTAAAAAACGGCAGAAATTATTTCATCTTTGCGTGCGCCGTGAAAACGGTTCAAGATACACAAAAAATATGTATTAAAGAATAATAGCTCTTTTAATGATCTAAAAAACAGTCCGCGACAGTATATGTCTATCTTTTAAGATTAACTCACAAAAACGTTTTTATCGTTCCTAATTTGGTCGAAATAATTTGTTTAAGTTGTATCAACATAATAATATTAATCTTTATTCAAATAAACAAATAAATATGTTGTTGGTTAAGAGTACTTCATTGTGAATAAAAAAAAACATAGATTTTATCCTGAAAATTCTACGGGACTCGACCATTCCGAAAACCCCGCAAGAACGGGAACTATGTGGGAGGAACCAAAAATCTGGCGGAAGTCACTATTCCACGCGGACTGAGTCGCGGCAAAAGCTAGTATATATAGATAGAGAGAGATTGAGAGACGAAATCTCTTATCTTTCAATTTATTCACCGTGCGGGTGCAGTATCCATCGCGTTGCAGGGAGAGGAGTTTCAACAGTGACTGGGACTTGCGACCCAGGTGTAGGTTTAGGGGGCCCCTATCTAACGCGCGTTAAACACTCTCTTTCACTGACCAAGCTCCTATCTCTACTTAATCAAATTTGAAAATATATAATTTTATTTTCAGGCGTACGTTTTATGGACACAATGTCAATGCACACATGTGTATCAGGAGTGACCAGTTATCAGCGAACAGTTCTTAAAGACAAAAACAAAGAACCTCATCCCACTGATGATGAATGGAGGGAAGTCAGCTCCCTCAATGGACTCTCTGATGTAAATTGTTTATACATTCATTCATTTAATCATTCGTTCATTATGCATGGTGTCTTCAATTCTTTTAGATCTTGAACAAATCTCAGTTGCTAATATTTAAAACAAAAAGTATATTTGAAATAGGCTTTTTTAGAGTGGTAAAAATTTTCACTTATATAATTGTGTCTTATATAATATTAAGTTTTACTTAATTTATTTTTGCTCCCTTTCTCCCATAAATTCTTGCAATAAAATGGTTGTGCGTAATAGTTAGACAGAACATTTGTTCATTTTGATCTAAAAGAAAGTAAAAAGATAATTCTAATTAAGTAAATTATTTATAGAAAGAGAAACTTTAAGTTCTAATTGTCGGTTTAGGTTACCATTTAGAACTAATCTTCTATCTTCTATATATATAAAAATGGATTGCTGTTCCTTAGTCTCGCTAAAACTCGAGAACAGCTGAACGGATTTATTTTATCTTAGTCTTGAAATGTTCGTGGAGGTTCAGGGAAGGTATAAAAGGTGAGAAAAATTGATTCATTTTCGGGAAAACCCTAAAAACAGCCCTTTTCTATTTCCCATACAAATGTTTTCTTTGACATTAGATTTGACAACTAACTAATATGTCAATCATTCTGTTCGATTGAAACAGGAAAAACCTGATTATTTATGGCCTCTAGGACGGAATAGAGTTCACCCGGTCAGCTATACATATATTACTAACTAGAAGACCTGGCGAACTTCGTATCGCCCTATAATCAAGAAATATCTATTACGTTTTTTATTTATATTTTTGGAGTTTACCTGTAAGCCATAAATCTGCGTGTTTTGAAGTGCGACAGAATGATTGACATATTAGTTGTCAAATCTAATGTCAAAACAAAAACGTTTGTATGGGAAATAGAAAAGGGCTGTTTTTATGGTTTTCCCAGTAGTGAATAAATTTTTTTCAGATTTAATACCTTCCCTGAACCTCCACGAACATTTCAAAACTAAGATAAATCCGTTCAGCTGTTCTCGAGTTTTAGCGCGACTAAGGAACAGCAATCTATTTTTATATGTGTATATAGAAGAAGAAGATGATGAAATTAACGCGGACGAAGTCGCGGGCAAAAACTAGTCCAATATATTTCTAATTACTATGAAATTGTTACACACACACACATATATATATATATATTTAACAAAATTAATGTCGGTATGTTTCAATCTATGTTTTATGTAATATGTTAAGACTTAGAAATGCTCCAATATTTTTGCTACTATGTACAATAAAATTTATATATACAGGGTGATTGGTGAATTACTATCAATATTTAAGGAGAATACTCGGTACATGATTCTCATTTGAATTATGTAAAAAAAATAGGTACTTAATTTTTGACCAAATTTCCGTATAAATAAATAAAGTGTGGACACGTTCCAAGTTTTCCAAGTGTGGACGCGTGCGGCGGCGTGCTGATACAACACCACGCCGTCGCGCGCGAGTGTGTGTGTGTATACCTAATCTGTAGGGTGTTCACACGATGCGTAATTAATTAGATAACTTTTGGTTAACTTTACTTAGAAGTTTATTAATATTTATGTTATATTAATTTTTATTCTGTCATATATGATCGTCAAATATCACGTCCTCAAGTATCGATAGTAATTCACCAGTCACCCTGTATTATAATATTCCAGGTGCATAGATTATACTGTGGTGTGGCCATAGACAAGCAGACTCGAGATGTATTCGTAGATGGCTGTCTAGAAGATGTTCAGAATAACTTCCAAGATCTTATGAAATATTGTGCTGGTGACGTCATCGCTACCCACAATGTACTCAAAGCGCTTCTACCCTTGTTCCTAGAAAGATTTCCGCATCCCGTCACATTCGCTGGAATGTTGGAATTGGGTAAAAATATATATTTATATGTTGTAACTAGCTTTCCGCCCGCAGCTTCGCCCGCGTGGAGTTCGGTTATATCGCGTTTCCAAGAGAACCTTTCGAAAGTCTGAGATAAAAACTATCCTATGTTCTTTCTCAAGGTCAACTCTATGTCAGTGCCAAATTTCTTTAAAATCAGTTCAGTGGTTTAGGCGTGAAAGCGTAACAGACAGACAGAGTTACTTTCGCATTTATAATATTAGTAGGGATATAGAATGTAAAAAATTTTGTATGTTACAATACCTATATAAGAAGTATAAATAAATTAACTAACATATCTATTTATGTTCTTCTGAATGGTAGTTTAAATGTAAGAAAAAGTTCTGAGATATGCTTAGCATACTAAATTGTGATAAATAATTTCTATTATTATATATCCTATTGTTATGTTCCCAGGTTCTGCCTATCTTCCCATCAATTCGAATTGGTCGCAGTACATAGATTCGGCTGATACAGTTTTTGAGGACTTGAAATTGGAATCCCAACAGATACTCTCATCTAAAGCGGATGAAGCGTGTAGAATGATGGAGAACGAAGGATACAAGGAGGATCCTTGGATGTGGGATCAAGACTGGTCGGTACAGAAGCTAAAATTAAAAAAAAATGCGACCAAAAAAAAAGAAACTATAGACTCAATAAAACCAGCCAATGAAGATGTAAACAGAATAAGTTCTAAATTTGAATTATTAAGTGACGAATATGTTGATAGTCTTAAGACTAAAGAGAGAGTTACACACGATGTTGAGAATTTGAACAAAAAGTTTAAGTATTTATATGATTTGGGTGATTTATTGCCAGTAAAGAGACCTTTTTTGGCCGGATATCCAGCGTGGTATAGGAAATTGTGTACTAAACCAGGAAAAGACCCAGATTGGAGGGCCGGTGCTAATAATATTACTACCAGTATGCAGGTATGACTATTCTATGTATATACTAAAGATTCAGAATGTACATTATAAGAATTAATAATATTAATTCTTAATATTAATTTAATATTATCGTTTATGATGGTTAGGAAGGGCTTAAGATAAAATCAATTTATGTTTAACCAGACTTGGACAATGTTGATTTGATAGTAGAAAAAATAACATAGTATTTATGCTCATTAATTTTTATATATGATTACTATACAATACATTTGGAAGACTAATAGATTTCGAGTTGGATTATTGTAATTAAACTAAATATAAAATTATTTTATCACTCATATTCCTAAGAAATAATAATACATAATGATTAATTATTATCAGACTAATGAGATCTAATATTTTCGCGAGTTTTATTCATTTAAATGAAACTAATATTTTTTTTTCGGATTATACCATGCTACTTTTTGTTAGAAAACTACTTACATACTTCTGACGTTTCGGCTACTTGCTGTAGCAACCGTGATCATAAAGACGAGATTAATAGACTATATTATATAATATGTCAAGTTGTATAATAACATTATATGTATAAATTATACAGATAACTCCTAAACTCCTGCGTCTATCTTGGGAAGGCTATCCCCTACATTACTTGCAGTCCGAAGGTTGGGGATTTTTAGTTCCATACAGTAGACATATATCTGAAGATGCCAAAGAACCTCTCGTGCCATTGGAGAAGATTCTAGAAATCTGTCCATTATTGACTTCTAAAGCAGATTACGTTGAGAGCGAATTACATATGCTGCCCAAGAATGTGGAGGTTAATTTAAAAATTATAGTATTTACTAGCTTAATTAAGATCATTAAGCAATTTTTAATAGCAATTTCTAGAATTGGAATATATTATTATAGATATTCTATACTAGCTTTCCGCCCTCAGCTTCGCCCGCGTGGAGTTCGGTTATATCGCGTTTCCAAGAGAACTAATATTAGTAGTGATCTCTCTTGCTAGTTTATAATGTGTTTAAAAATAATGAATTCATGTTCAGTTTTTACATTTTTAATGAATAAATAAATTTTCTTTGGTTCATGATGGGTATACAGGGTGACTGGTGAATTACTATCAATATTTAAGGAGAATACTCGGTACATGATTCTCATTCGAATTATGTAAAAAAAATAGGCACTTAATTTTTGACAAAATTTCCGTATAAATAAATAAAGTGTTGACACGTTCCAAGTGTTCCGAGTGTGGACGCGTGCGGCGGCGTGCTGATACAACACCACGTCACGACACGCGTATGTGTGAGTGTCAGTGTATACCTAATCTGTAGGGTGTTCATACGATGCGTAATTAATTACATAACTTTTGGTTAACTTTACTTAGAAGTTTATTAATATTTATGTTATATTAATTTTTATTCTGTCACATATGATCGTCAAACATCACGTCCTCAAATATTGATAGTAATTCACCAGTCACCCTGTATATGTATATAATATATGAGAGTATATGTTTGGTCAGTATTAGTATATATAATATGTATATTCTAGGAAGATTTAAGCAAGAGGGCGTATTATGCTCGTAAGAAGAAACAAGAGCAAGCAGCCGCCAATCAGTACCATGGCTTGGGTGTGTGGTGTGGAGTACAAATACAGGGTTTGTTATACATATGAATAACTAGCTGCGCCCCGCGGTGTTACCCGCGGATTTCCGGGATGTAAAGTAGCCTATGTGTTATTTCTGGACGTCAGCTTCCTGTATACAAAATTTTATCAAAATCGGTTCAGCTGTTTAAGCGTGAAAAAGTAACAAACATACACACACACTCACAAACTTACGCAATTATAATATAAGTAGGATGTGAAAAGAGTAATATATGATGATTTTGATTAACTAAATAATAATAAATGTTATTAAGAATTATTATGTTATCTATATGATATTTTTTCTCTATTGATTATGGAAGTAAAAAGCAATTTTTATATATTTTTTAATATGTTGTTCATGCTTTAAGTATAATGTAAGAATAGAAAATTATAGTAATTATAACGACTGTTTATATGCTACATAAAGTTTGTGACGTACAGACGTTTATAGGCCTTCCACATAAAAAGTACTAAATGGATTTTGGTTTAACTCTTCAGTAGTGCAGTTCAGTCATCGGAGTAAAATAGGGGCTGTAATTTATCCCGGAATTATGAAAATCTAGCTTGGTTTTGTATGACATGATACAGTTTTTACAACATAGATGTCACTATCAATAGGTATCTATATCTAGTGTTTTGTGACACAATTTTCTTAAAGCTATAAATATCTTCATTAGGTTGCTGTCATTTCCTGCGTCTCCCTCACAAAGATGGTCCGAAATATAAAGTAGGGAATCCGTTGGCGAGGGATTTCCTTAATATGTTCAGTCAGAACGTACTCTCCGCTCAAGGGAATGAGGCTGAGAAGGTTAATATGGAGATTATATAAAATACTGATTAGTATTGACATTTGATATGATAAAGGACAAATGTGAATATTCGACATATCGTCGGGGATAGTGCAAATCCGCGTAACAACCATAGGATAATTCCGCGTATCTACTTTGGAAGCAGATTATCAGAAGAAAGTTTAAACTGACATGTTTTATAAATTAACGACTTTTAACGTAATATTTTTACAATAAGTAATAAATTAAACACTAAATAATTATATACTAATTGTGAAAAAAAAATACCTTAAAAGTCGTATATTTAGAAAATATTTCACTCAAACTTTCCTCTGATAATCTGCTTCCAATGTAGATACGCGGGATTATCCAATGATAGCTACAAGGATTTGCACTATCCCCGACGATATGTTAACAACCAGAAATACACACACATACACACACACACTCAAACAGGTACACGCAGATACACAAACTGCTACACACATACACAACCTGCTACACGCACATACACAAACAGCTACACGCAGATACACAAACTGCTACACACACACACACACACACATACACATGTATGTATGTATATTATCCGTGTGTCGTCAGGTGTTGTCGTTCGGCCGCATGATGTCGTACTGGCGTAACAACCGCGAGCGTGTGTGCGGGCAGCAGGCCGTGCGTCTCCCGGACGAGGCGCTCCCTTTACAACTGAGAGGCCGCGGACTGGCCGCCATCTTGCCGCTCGTTGTTGTGTGCGGCACGCTTACTAGACGGTGAGTGTGTGTGTGTGTGTGAGATTTATAATATACATGCATATAAATACAGTGTAAACTCTATATAACGACACTGAAGGGACCGTGCATTTTATGGCGTTATAGAGAGAAGAAAAATCAGAATTAGAAAAAGACAAAGTTTATTTCATACTAGTGTTAGTACTTATGTACATGAAAAATAAATGTTATTCGAACGCTATTGCGTATAGTCTGTCATTTTTGTTTGACGTCTTTTGCTGCACCAGTAATGTTGTTTTATTTTTTTACATATGTATGTATCTTGTAACGTGCGTTGGTGTAGTAGATTAATAGATCGTCGATTTTCGAAGTACACATGTTTAATTCTTTCGTTTGTGTTACATTCAGATTTGAAGTCACGATAAGTTTAAATCGGGATAGTTGAAAGTTATTAAATTAAAATTGTTTTTAGTCTTGTGTAAATTTAATAAATTTATAGTGATATTGTATTGAATATTATATTTAGAAAATATCAATTCTGATCATGTTTCTAAGATAATGTTATTCTAATTGAATTATATTACAATAATATGTAACAGAGTGTTAGTGATTTTTGATAGATTCTACAAAAATTACTCTTGAAATATTGTTACCGAATTATGGTTAGGAATTCACGATACATTTGAAACGTGTACCCATGAAAGATAATCCTTTGTAAGTTAAGTAATATTGATGTTTCTTTATATGTAGCGCGTCGGAACCGACTTGGATGACAGCTAGTAATGCTCAGAGTGACCGCGTGGGTTCCGAGCTACGGTCAATGGTGACCGCCCCACCAGGTTACCGGTTCGTTGGCGCCGATGTGGATTCTCAGGTACGAGAACACTCCTGACTCATTATGAGTTATTTATAGGTGGTAGAACCTAGCTATGGTCGTGAACATGGGTTAGCACGAAAGAGAAGTACTACCCTCTCACAGAAGATCGAATGGCTGAGTTTCGTCCGATGAGAGATAGTTGCTCTTTCCTAGTTCCCACCCTTTCTTAACTATCTTCCACAATAAATCAATCAACGCATCTGCAACATAAGGAATGTTCATCTGCGTCGGTGACGTCCTTCTATCAAGTAATTCTCCTCGTTATAATCAATCAAAAATAATTGTAAGGATTATAGTATACTAGCTTTCCGTCCGCAGCTTCGACCACGTGGAGTTCGGATATATCGCGTTTCCAAGAGAACCATTCAAAAGTCTGGGATAAAACTATTCTGTTCTTTCTCAAGGTCAACTCTGTCTGTACTAAATTTCATTAAAATCAGTTCAGTGGTTATACGTGAAAGCATAACAGACAGGGAGACAGAGTTACTTTCGCATTTATAATATTAGTACGGCACAGATGGCGCCACTTGTAACAATAGTTCGTGTGATCGTCTGCAGGAGTTGTGGATAGCTGCTCTATTGGGTGATAGTTCGTGTATGTGTGGAGGGAGCGCGTTCGGCTGGGCAGTATTAGCGGGTGACAAGAGAACTAATACCGACCTACACTCACTTACGGCGGCCGCGGCCGGCGTGAGGAGGGACCACGCTAAGGTCATCAACTATGCCAGGATATATGGTATGTGATAGTTCTAGTAATAAAACACTCTTTTTAACTAGTTAGATTTATTACAAGAAAATATAGTCGCTATGTCACGGAGTAGTGTTGTAAGCATAGAGAAAAATTATACATGTAAAAAACATTAAGTGAAGACAATACAGATAATTAAGGAAGGATGAGTTAAATTTAAATAAGGCGCGAAATTCAAACATATCCAACAGTGTGGAACATCACTATGTTGTTATCTCTGTCGTTCGTGACGTCATCATAACTGACGTCATCAATGTTGTTGTCAGACTCGTGACGGTAACCTGGTAGACGGTTTGACAAATCCCTTACATCAAAGAGATCCGATCCCTGCAAGGGCTCGAGTGAGATTGTTTTTAATCTGCGCTCTCACCTCTATTTATACCAACCAACACTTACCGTTGCGACAATACTTGCACAGACATTCATTTGGTTATGAGGGTGACGCATGATAATTTTGACTGAGCTCTCAATTTATGATCGATCAAATAATAATTGCACCCATATCTCTTATATTCGAATAAATACTACTTGATTGAAATTCAACATTAGTTATGTTGAAATAAATGCCTGGATGGTAATACCTTCTATCTCAGTTATAATTCAGCTGAATAGTTCAATGTTTTACTATTTGCGGAAGTAGATGGAGTATTACTTCTCACAGATACATCAAGTTCTACGACGAATGTATGGAGACTCTTCGCGTTTCTGGTCGTGAGATTATAAATAGACCATAAAAGCGTTCACTTCTTACTATGTAACTAATCAATAATCGCTATACGCAAACTTAATTCCCGTTGTTTATTAGTAGCTATAAATAAGTACATATATTTTTTTAAAAAAGAATCCTACAACGATCGTATATAGAATTGTAAATATCATAGACTCGTGTATATTTTTGGAGAAAATATTATTGATTATTTTCTTGTTTTTATTATATCAAACTTTTTCTATAAAAAATTGTTAGAATATAGTTTCTTTAAACCAGGTGCCGGGCAGAATTTCGCTGAGAGATTACTGAAACAGTTCAATCCTACTATGACGATATCCGAAGCGAAGAGCAAAGCTGCAAAAATGTTCGCTACAACCAAAGGAAAAAGAGTGTATAGGCTGAAGGAAAAATATGTAGAGGGATTCATTGACGAGGAGTTAGGAGATCAGGTATAGAGAGCATCATCTATCAAGTTATTCAGTTTATTAGAAACTAGCTGCGCCCCGCGGCGTTACCCGCGGATTTCCGGGAAATAAAGTAGCCTATGTGTTATACCTGGACGTCAGCTTCCTGTATACAAAATTTTATCAAAATCGGTTCAGCTGTTTGAGCGTGAAGAAGTAACAAACATACACACAAACTCACAAACTTTCCCAATTATAATATTAGTAGGATAAGTCATTATTGTAATATATGGCTGTGTGGTTTATGCGAGTAGAAATCAGCTTGAATAGTGTTTATAGAGATTCTTAACATTTTCAACATCACACTAATCGGAATTCTTAGCTCTAAGTGCATTCTTTATGTAGATAGCCATTTTCATATTAACATCTGTTACTCTTATCTTCTATATATATAAAAATTTATTGCTGTTCCTTAGTCTCGCTAAAACTCAAAAATAGCTGAACGAATTTATTTCATCATAGTCTTGAAATGTTCGTGGAGGTTCAAGGAAGGTATAAAAGCTGAAAAAAATTGATTCATTACTGGGAAAACCATAAAAACAGCCCTTTTCTATTTCCCATACAAACGGTTTTTTTGACATTAGATTTGACAACTAACTAATATGTCAATCATTCTGTCGCACTTCAAAACACGGAGATTTATAGCTTACAGGTAAATTCCAAAAATATGTATAAATAAAAAAACGTAATAGATATTTCTTGATTATAGGGCGATACGAATTTCGCCAGGTCTTCTAGTAAAGTAATAAAAATTTTAGCCCAAAAATATAGAATATTAGCCTAACTGAAACTGAATTGCTTATATAATATAAATTGCTGATATTTGCTGAAGATAAACTTACAGTCTACTGTAAAAATCCCCTTGTTATATGTAGTTCTTAAAATCTCAAAAATATCAATATAAGCCTAAAAATGATTTTTTTTACTATAAGGAATTCCACGAACATGAGTTATGATTTCCTATACGCATTACGTAATTTTCTAATTCTATTTTATTTACTAACTGATTAATAGACCATTATCGAATAGTCATTCTTATTTATTTGTTCTTTACTAATTTTGACACACATAAATAAATAAAATCTCGCCCGATCACACTTTGCGTAATGCTTACCAGCTTACCCCCAAGCGTGCCTAAAAAAGATTTGATACAAAAGCAAAATAGGGAGCTAACAAGTTTAACCTTAATATAATTGGGTTTTTGAAAAAAAAAAAAGTATTGATTTTTTTTATGTATTTTAAAACTTTATTATTAATTATATTGATTTTTAATGCAAAAATCTTGAAAACAATTTTTTTAAATTAATTATAAACAATTAAAAATTGATAAAATTCAAAAACAAATCACGTGACTGTAAACGCGCCACGATTGGTTGGCATACTTGTGACGTCATAATGTTAAAGCAATTTCATAATAGTACAGTGTTTATGGCTATTATCTTTGACTTGATAAAAATATCTCAAATTTATTAGTGAAAAACGATTTGAAAAGTTTATTTCCACTAACTATGTGTGATAAAGGATTTATAAAAGCAAAATCGGATAATATTCCCGATGTTGATATATTTTTATGATAACTAATTTTTTAAAAAGTGCGGTTTAATTTTGCTGAAGTTCGAGGTGCTAAGACATCAAGGTAAGTCTGTTAAAAAATACTATTCTAAATGAAAATAAGTATTTATTCTCTATTAAATATAATTAATAATTATTTCATTAAATCATTATTAATAAAATGTTATTACAACATTATAAAAAACCAAAATAACATATACTTTAAAAATTTAAATGTAGTCTGATACAGAACCTAGAATATTATAAAATTATGAAAATATCTATTAATTGAATTCCAATTATTAGATAAACATACATATAGATTTACTATTTAATCGCTTTGAATTATCAATTAAAAATTTTTTAATGCTACGATTCTAAAGGTTATGATTTGGAGCCCAGGTGAAAAAATTAATTACTGAACTATACTTATTCGATTTATACACTTAGATAAATAATAATTAATAACAATATTATTATGAATACTTACAACGAAATGATCTTCACAACAAAAAAATTGATTTTGTTTTTGAATAATCTCGGTGCACTGCTTGAAACCATTTCTTTCGACGTTTTTCGTCTTGTGGAACATTTAAAACATTTTTTCAGGAGTTGTTTTTGTAGTATTTGTACATAATGGTACAAAACAAGAGCGATAACTTTTGAGATTTGACATTTTTGATTATTTAACAATGCCAACAGAATTTACTAGGTAAAAACTCAAAACACTGTACTAATTATTATATCTCTGTATGCTACAATGAGCAAAAACTAACATTGTGACGTCACACGCGCTCGGGTTTATTGGCGAGCTGTCGGCTTGTCTTCGGTACTGAATTTAAAATTTAATTTTTATTTTGAAATAACTTTTTAAATATTGCAAATAAAAATAAAATAAAAATAGTTTTGTTATAAAACTTATATATGATCTTTCCATTTATCACAAAAAAAAAAAATTAATTCAAAAACCCAATTGTTAATATAATGAAATGATATTCAAATTATATATTTCGTTTTGTTTGAAGCTATGTTTTAACACTGCTTAATTGATTCAATTAACTATATTACACCTTATTATAATCATCATATTGCTTGAATTGAATGAAATTATATCTCATACAGTTCATTAGCTTAGCCAGACCCTGGATAAAACTGGGAAATTGCCAGGTAGAAGAAGACAGTTCATGAGATTCTCATTAGTGGTACTGTTTCCAGACTGTAGAGATGACTTCGTACCAAGCGATGCGTCTCGCTAAACTGAGCGGTCGAACTACTGATGAGATGTTTGAGAAACCGCGCTGGGAAGGTGGAACGGAATCACACATGTTCAACAAACTAGAGGAAATAGCAGGTATTATATGTACAGCTATAATGCTTTGCACGCGACTTCGTCCGAATTGTACCTAAAATACTTGTTTCAGTATAACGAAATCAGTAAATATAGTAACTTATTATATAGGGTGGCAACTTCAAGGAAAACTACGAAACTTACTTATATGTATATTATAATAATAATTACATATTAAAATTTAAAACTTATACCTAAGACTACGTGATTGCCCCTATTTTAGGATAGCAATGCCATTCCATAGCTTGTGTAGTATCAGGAATCTTCTGGTTCACACGGCTTGGTGTTCGTTCCGTGGAGTCAGCAGTATCACTTGTTATATGATATTTTATCCATTCAACGATGTTGCCCCGGCGATGTTCATTTAATTTTTAACCATTTGCCATTTTTCTCATATTAAAAAAACGGTGAGCTATAATTGCAAATTCCCTCTTTGTCAATTTTCTTATAGCCATCGTATCGAATTAATCCCTGAAAGCTATTGATAGACAACCCACTAGAAATCAGGTGGAAATTAATACAAATATCACGACACTGATCGCTCGGATTTATCTTGCAGATGGTACTGAGATTATGTGATCCCTTCATTAAGCTCAATAAAGGCTTTGATACGTATTCATTCACGAGGGCGCGGGTTCGGTCCTGGCCCGGGCAAGTACCAATGTAATTTTACCGAATCATATGTACTTTCTAAGAGTGTTTAGACATCACTGATTAATGTTGATTCCCAAAAAGAGGGTTGATGTCAGGCAGGCGGGCCGGTCGTAAAAACAATTAGCCAAAACTATTCACAACATGTAAGGCGGACCCTCGCTATAGCTGGGAAATTGCCAGGTAGAAGAAGAAGAAAGGCTTTGATACGTAATTGATACTCTCTAGCCACTGTTACATACATTGTAGTCACGTGGGTAGTCCTTAACTTACCACAAACCATCAAACGTTTTATTCATTTCTAAATGGCTTAAATTTTAGTATGAACAAGAAGAGGTCAAACAGTAATCATATTTTTTTCTATTTAGAGTCATCGTGTCCTCGTACAAGTTTCCTCGAGGGTCGTCTGTCTCGTTCCTTGGAGGCGGCACATAACGGAGGCGGCACTAAACTGAACTGGGTCGTTCAGAGCGCTGCGGCCGACTTCCTACATCTGATGTTAGTCAGCATGAGACATATGCAGCCTTCAGCCAGGTAACACGAACAAACTGTTAAACAGATGTACCAAAGAAATATTTAGTAGTCATCCCAACAATTATACACTATAAATATCCGTCATCAGCCTAACAGAGCACGCTGCTGAGCAAAGGCCTCTTTCTTACATGGAGAAGGTTTGAGCCTTAATCACCACGCTTGCTCAAGACGGGTTGTAATTTCAAACTTATAATTGTGAAACTGTTTTAACTTATAATTGTGAAATTGTGAAAAAATTGTGATTTTTTCCATCACTGTATGTCAGTGGTGTCTAAATACTCTCAGAAAGTTCATATGACTCCGAAAAATCACATTGGTACTTGTCAGGTTTGAACCCGCGCCCTCGGCAACGAGAGGCGGGCCCATTAACCACTAGGCCACTAGTGGCAATAATAAATATTATTAAATCAAAATCAACGACGTGATTGATTGTTTTCATAAAAAATATGAAGAGACAAAAAGGAAATAATCTTAATAAACAAAAGTAAAGACTTAAACTTTGAGGTCTTCCTTGAGATACATCTTTAGTGGTGCTTTGAAGTGTGAACGATCAAATATTACTTATTATTATGGAATGATATAAATGTCTAGAGTGATGTTATAATTCGTATTAATTAATTGTTTGTTGCTGTTAGTGTGCTATACAATATTTTCTATTTCAGATTCTGTCTCAGTTTCCACGACGAGGTCAGATATTTAGTTCCAGAGGAACATAAATACGAGGCAGCTTTAGCTTTACAAATAACAAACCTTCTCACAAGAGCCTTCTGTTCACAGAGGTATCACTTTTCTAATGTTTTCGTGTTGTAACAAATACCTCATTCAAAATATTAATAATACCATCATATATTTAAGAGTAGGCTGAAAAGTTTTCAGACTGACATATTGACGCCCCAGTATTAAATCCTTATAATTATTATTATTATTAGTCCATCTTAATGTTTAAAAATATTTTTAGGATAGCACTTTTCGTTAAATTGATAAAATATAATTTCTTTTATTCATTTTAATAAAACTAAAGTTTTGGGGTCTCACTACGAAATCTTTATAATTTGTGATATATAAATAACAAAGCCAATTGACATTCTCATCTCGTCTGCCCGTGATCACGGTTGTTGCAAAATAACGGAAACGACTGATTTATTAATTGTAAAATAATAAAAAAAAAACGCGTAGTATACGAAAACCTTAGTTTTATTTATAGCATTGCTTTTTGACGAAAAAAAGTATTATCGAAATAATGGCTTTTCTAAATAAACATCAACAAACAAGAAGTCAGAACTTCGGTATTCTGAAAGGAATTAACTACGAAACATTTCGTGTAATATTCCGAAACAATGTTTTTGTTTATACTATTCAAAAACAGTAGAATGTAAAATTGTATTTTATTTTTAGTCTGTGATGTTGCATAGACTACACGTCTACGAATAAAGAAAGTAATTTTACAATTACAATTGCAGGGTTGGGATACACGATCTTCCGATGTCAGTAGCTTTCTTCTCTTCTGTGGAGGTCGATCGAGTTTTAAGAAAGGAAGCCAATATGGACTGTGTGACCCCGTCAAACCCCCATGGCCTGGAAAAAGGCTATGGTATACCTAATGGAGAGTCATTAACCATATATGATATCTTAAAAAAAACCGATTGTAACAAATTTTGTATCAAAGAAACGAAATAAAAATTATGAAAACTATTTTACTGTTCAATTTATTGAGTTCATATTATTTCCTTTAGTATTGCTCAATTAAATAACATGATTTAAGAATCGTGTGAATCTAAAAAAAATTATACGAATTTCAATAAAATACTTCCCAGACTTTTTTATCAAATATATACGATTTCTCCACGACAATACATAATTTTCCTCTTAATTCATTGCAGATTGTTATTCCTAAACTTCATTTAAATAAATTCATTCAATTTTAACCTAAATTCTACGTAAAATACCAGTAACCCAAACCATGTTGTGCCAAACTGTCGTAATGTCAACGTCAATATACAAGATGAAGGTTATAAATTCACGTTATTATTTTAGTTTATATAAATGTTTTTATTAATAAAACAGAGGAAATGTCGAAAGTAACAAAAAGGAAACATGTGATGAACGAAACACTATGGGATGATTATGAGTTGCCTAAAGAAAATCAAAGTATAGTTAAAGTTTTAAAAAGTAGGGGAAATAATCTTCATGAGGTAATAAACCATAACATTTCATACTTTATTTGAAAGATTTGTTCTAACAATGTAAATAAATTAGCGGAGATTTTATCTACTCATACTTTTACAGATCCAAACGCCTAGTGGAGAGGAATACTTGGTGTCAATGCCAGGAAAATTTCGAAAGAACATTTGGGTGAAGCGTGGCGATTACATACTAGTGGAACCAATCGAGGAAGGGGATAAAGTGAAAGCCGAAATAGTTAAAATAATGAACAAGGGCTCTATAAAATATTACAAGGAAAATAATGTATGGCCTAAGGAGTTTGATGACAACAAAAAGGAAGAGATAAAGGAAAACGATGATGACTTATTTGTAAACACAAACAGAGCTCATATGAAAAGTTATTCCAGTGACAGAGACAGCAGTGACTCTAGTGGCAGTGATAGTCAAAGTGATGATTAATAAATATTTACCTCTATATGATTAAATATTCTTTAATATAAACCATTTTATAACAAGAAAGCAAAACCATCCTTTATCATTTATTAGCTTATTAAATAGAAATTATCTAAACACAAAATATAATTACCAATATTAACTAAATTTATAAACAACAGATTAACTTTTTATAAGCCTACTTAATTTTGTGTATGTTGTTAATAATAAAAAAATGTATAAAGATTGTCTTTAAAAAAAAATGAAGATGGTGGAATGTATAAATAAAGAAATGAAAAACCTCTATTAACATATTTTAAATGTATGATATTTCTTAAACTTCTATATTTATGAACAGACTTAAGTACTTAAAAAGTAATAAAAATGAAATTGTAACATTTTTGAGAACTTACATTTAACAATTAAAATACTATACATATTATAGTTAAACAATTATATCAGTGGTGGCTCAGTGGCTAAAGGGCTCGCCTCTCGTCGCCGAGAGCGCAGGTTCGATCCTGGCCCGGGCAAAGTACCAATGTGATTTTTCTGAATCATATGTATTTTCTAAGAGTATTTAGACATCACTGATTAATGTTGATTCCCAAAAGAGGGTTGATGTCAGGCAGGCGGCAGGTTGTAAAAATAAATAGCCAAAAAAACTATTCACAACATGAAAAGCAGACCCTGGCTATAGCTGGGAAAATTGCCAGGTAGAAGAAGAAGATTATAGTTAACCAATTAAAAATTAGACATATATATCAATCTTTTCCATCATCAATAACATATTTGTATATTAATTTTATAAGTTCCCCAGATTCTTCTTTTGCCCAGCCTTCTGTCTTTACAATAAGTTTAGCTTGACCATTTTTAATGAACTCTAAACACTTTTGCTTTAAAATTTCCGCTGAATACAAATCTGCTAATTTTAATGTTTCTATAACATTATCTACCGTCAGTTTACTATGTAGGGCCTCTTCACATAAGTTTTTTAATTCTTTTAATTGATAATAATTGGCTGCAACTAAAAGACTCTCCGGTATCTCATCTATTTTAACAATTTTCCCACTGTATATGAAATTTATCACTGCTGAAAGTGTTGCCGATTCAAATGGTGATTCTAAAATATTGGTTTGACATTCCAAAGTGTTATGTTGAAAATTTGCTTTGAGAACTTCACTTCGGGCAGCCAATATTGCTTTGTGAACTTTATATTCATAACCATCACTGGATTTCATGATGACATCAAAAAATGATTCACTGTGTAGCAAACTCTCAAAATCACAACTTAGGCGTTCAAGTGATACATTTTTATAAGCAACATTGACATCAGTTCTGATATAGAATTCAAATTGAAGTGATAAACTTCCATTACTTTGAAGGATTGATTCTTTTCCCTTGGCTGCAATTATATCACGTTTGAATAGTGTAAATAAGTATTGCCATGAGTTAGCTTCAATTGTGGCAAATTCATTTTGGACCAACAACTGGTCTTGGAATTGATTCAAATTTGTTATCAGTACTGTTTTGAGAAAAATGGTTTTGGGATATAAATAATAGATTTCCATAATATCATTTTCTCTGCCCAAAAGTTTTATTTTTAAATTAAATGTTGAATCATTATCTCCTAAAATATTTTCATAGGCGTCCGAACGCAATTCTTTGTGAGTGCTGCTTTGAAAGAGTTTGTTAATTTGAGGTATAACCCATTTTACTTTATGTATTTTGGTTTGCCCCATTTCAGAAGTTTTGTAATTTATATCCTTGGAGAAAGACATTATGAAATCCACAAAATATTCTCTAAAAATTTAAGAATCTGGGTAAGGGAACAACAATGCTGAGATTTAAAATTCAAAAATTATTTCATATTGACACTCGGTCAGCCTTGTTCTTGGTTGGTTGTTTTTTTAAAATATGGTCTTCATCCGTGCAAAGACGTGCACAATATATTCTGCTAGGGTCGTATAGAACGAAGAGAAACGATCCGGTATTAACTCAGCCTTGTTCTTTGTTTAGAGATTTACACTGACATAACACAATGTAATAAGTCAATTTAATCAATCACTTTTCTGTTTTCATATTTTGAGAATTCGCTTTTCGCAGTGCATTTATGAAGAGGGGTGTTTCTGGTTGAAATTGAGCTTTTAAATCATAAATATAATATAATTCTTATTTGAAGATATCTTTAATATTAAATATGTTTATGTTGTATTTTAATAAATTATCAGACATTAAATAAATTTTATATTGTGAAATATACAATATTTATCGACCGTTGTAAATGTCTTTGGATTTGTGGACTCTTTGGAGTCGATATTTTTTCTCACATTATTGTTTCAACTGCTTTGTTTTGGAAAGAGCCTGATATTCTGATATGTGTGAAATCTAAACGTCTTATCAAAAATGCCTATAATTTAATTTTAATCGCATTGATAGAATATCAGCATCATATCGTAATGTAACGACTGTCAATTCATTAAAGCGGAACAGTGAACGGGGAAGATAATTTATTACAATTTCTTTCAGACAGTTTCAACTAATGTTACTTGGTGATAAATAATAATGGAGGATTATAAGTTTCTTTTTAAAGTAGTGTTAGTGGGTAACGCGGGTGTTGGTAAAACTTGTTTAGTGAGGAGATTTACTCAGGGCCTGTTTCCACCAGGTCAAGGTGCTACTATAGGCGTAGATTTTATGATTAAAACTGTTGAAGTAGATGGAGAGAAAGTTAAGGTAAAGGTCTTACGTCAGTTCAAAATCAGCCACACATTTTAATTACCTCTTATGTCCAATAAGATAAAATATGTATGAGCGAATTTAATTTCGATGATGAAATACATTTACTTCAAAAACTACCTTGTTACTATTAATTAAGCGATGATATTACATAATATATGTATTTATATATATGTGAACTTTACAACTTATAGCTTCAAATATGGGATACAGCGGGACAGGAGAGGTTTAGATCAATAACACAGAGTTACTACCGATCAGCCCACGCTCTTATATTGGTATATGACATATCTTGCCAGCCCACATTTGACTGTCTTCCAGATTGGCTTCGGGAAATAGAAGAGTATGCCAACAATAAGGTTCTCAGAATATTAGTTGGTGAGATAACAATTCCATTCTTGCAACAGTTTGTATCAAAGCGATAAAACAAGCTGTAAATACAAAATCATTCTAAATACTTGTGTGATGTCACCCAAAATATATATATTAGTTTTAATATTGATTCAAACTTCATCCTATTGTATGGAATAATATTTTCAAACATTTTGGTGTCTCAATATAATGATATTTGATATATTTACATATAAGAATTGACAAATAATTATTCTACTCACAACTCCTATCAATATTTTTTAATTGCTTTGAACAATGGTATGCTTTCAAGGTTTTAGTAATCTAGAATAAAGAATGTTATAAATTTCAGGTAATAAGACTGATAGAGAAGATAAGGAAATACCTCGTCATATTGGCGAAGACTTTGCACAGAGACATGGAATGTATTTTCTGGAAACATCGGCCAAAGAAGCTGAAAATGTTGAAAGATTGTTCATGGAAATTGCTGTCGAATTAATGGAGGTGAGATTATGTTTAATTGTAACAAATGAAAATGTTTTATATCACATGTATATACAGGGTGTATGAAAATTTGTGTCAACCCTCTTAACTACGTTATCAGTATCGATAATGTAACACAATAAAACAACTTACATTTACAAACTCTTCAATAAAAATAATAAAATTAAATAATAAATGATTATTATATGTAGAGTAACAAAATGTTTGTAAGCCCTGGTATAACACGATGACACGCAATGACGTCATCACAGCTGCTGCGATACTAGTGACGACCTTGAAGTTACTTTCACATTATTGAAAATATCGATATTTAAAAAATCATAACAATAAATAAATATTTAATATTCATATTATTTCGATACTTATTTTGATATATCAAACATTAATATTATGTTTGATTGTAAAACACCATTTTTAACAGAAATAGATATCGGCTGAGATAGAAAGGGCCCTGTAAAATAGGTAAACATGGACGTTCGTCCCCAGGCATAAGTGATAGTTAAAAATAATAATCATAATAAATCACAATATAACATTTATTAATTCAAATTAAAATCACGAATTTAACATAAATTAACAATTTAGTAATTGACAAATTTAACTATTTTGACCATTGACAATTAATTTGAGAATAATTAATTTTAACAAATTTAATATTGAAGAAATTTAGACACTTCAACAAATTATTATAAATTTGACTAATTTACAATCAAGAAAACAATTTAAATTAGAAACAATTCAGGAGTGACAAATATCACAATTAAGAGATGTGAACGAAGCTAGTGCTAACGTTGAAGTGTGTCCGGCCGCCTAGCACGTCGCTTTATATAGGTCGTTCGCCACCTCGCCTGACTTGTTGAGCGATAAGAGATTGTAAACGCCTGTACGCGCCTGTACGTGCTTGTTGAAACCTGTTCCTTTTGCTCTCGCGCCGACACGGCCATTCTGCATGATGGTCGCCTTCGACCTAGTCCTTCTTCTAAGTCGATACGTTCTTGGCAGAACGGTCGTGGTCATCATGATGTGTGGTGGCACGCTTCACAACACGTCGCCACTCGTCTCTCGTCCACTGCAGCCCTGACTTGGTCCGTCCAGCGCGTGGGTGACCTGCCACGCGGTCTTGTACCCTCGACTTTGCCCTGCAATCACACAATTACGGAGGCCCCTGTCCTCCACTTAGTTACTCATTGTAAGGAGGCCCCTGTCCTCCATTTACATTACACAACTAAGGAGGCCCCTGTCCTCCACTTAATTACTCACTGTAAGGAGGCCCCTGTCCTCAACTTACATTACACAACTAAGGAGGCCCCTGTCCTCCACTTAGTTACTCACTGTAAGGAGGCCCCTGTCCTCAACTTACATTACACAACTAAGGAGGCCCCTGTCCTCCACTTAGTTACTCACTGTAAGGAGGCCCCTGTCCTCAACTTACATTACACAACTAAGGAGGCCCCTGTCCTCAACTTAGTTACTCAGCACGTGATTAGCTCAGAGGTATCACTCTTTGGTGAATACGTGTCTTCTCACGGCTTTCACAAGACATCACTACAGAATCTTATAATTCTCTCAAGAATAGCACGTGATTAGCTCAGAGGTATCACTCTTTGGTGTATACGTGTCTCCTCACGGCTTTACAATACATCCCTGCAGAATCTTATGATTCTGTTACAGTTAACCTAAGAATAGCACGTGATTAGCTCAGAGGTATCACTCTTTGGTGTATACGTGTCTCCTCACGGCTTTACAAGACATCCCTGCAGAATCTTATGATTCTGTTACAGTTAACCTAAGAATAGCACGTGATTAGCTCAGAGGTATCACTCTTTGGTGTATACGTGTCTCCTCACGGCTTTACAAGACATCCCTACAGAATCTTATGATTCTGTTACAGTTAACCTAAGAATAGCACGTGATTAGCTCAGAGGTATCACTCTTTGGTGTATACGTGTCTCCTCACGGCTTTACAATACATCCCTGCAGAATCTTATGATTCTGTTACAGTTAACCTAAGAATAGCACGTGATTAGCTCAGAGGTATCACTCTTTGGTGTATACGTGTCTCCTCACGGCTTTACAAGACATCCCTACAGAATCTTATGATTCTGTTAAAGTTAACCTAAGAATAGCACGTGATTAGCTCAGAGGTATCACTCTTTGGTGTATACGTGTCTCCTCACGGCTTCACAAAACATATCCCTACAGAATGTTATGATTCTCTTACAGTTAGCTCAAGGATAGCACGTGATTAGCTCAGAGGTATCACTCTTTGGTGTATACGTGTCTCCTCACGGCTTCACAAAACATATCCCTACAGATTGTATGATTCTCTTACAGTTAGCTCAAGGATAGCACGTGACTAGCTCAGAGGTATCACTCTTTGGTGTATACGTGTCTTCTCACGGCTTCACAAAACATATCCCTACAGAATCTGATGATTCATAATTCACATAAGGATACATCATGGTTACGAGCAGTGGCGGCTGTACCTTAAGTGCACTCGTGCGCTGAACCACTAATTCAAAAGATTTAAAAATTACAAAATATTACTCCATCTTTATTTTTAAATTACCATTTTAATATTTATTTTCTTAACATACAAAAACGTATAAAAAATTAAATTTCTAATTATAGTAAAAAAGTTTGAGCGCTTTACTAAACTAATATCTCGTGCGCTTCGGCGAGTGCACGAGGACTGCTAATACATTTTGTATGAGATACGATTAATACGCCTGACGCGTGAGACAAAAGATAGTTCATAGAAATGTACCGAGTAATGAGTCGGTTCTCGAGCGCCGCACGAGCGACCGAAGATTACCGAGAGCACCCGATGTATGATGAATTGGAATTGAAAAGAATAAAACTTTTCTCCGAAATACCATGCACTTGCTAAATGCACTTTCTGTGCTTAGTATTGAATAAAAAAATATATACAAAAAAAAAATATCCGGATTTTAATAAATAGGTGATTGAACATTTCGCTTCGGAAAAATGTCTTTGCATTAGTTAATGTATAAAAATAAACATATTTTATGTGAATTGGTTTTTTGTTGCATTTTCTAATTTTAATATTTTATTAAAGTGCACCACCAGTTAGATAACCCACCAGCCGCCACTGGTTACGAGGATAGCTTAAGAGTATTAACACAAGTTAAACTCAGAGGTACCATTCTCTGAATTTCGTATACCACAATAGACGGTTATCGCGTCCCGTCACTCTTCCCGTTGTGGCTGATGGAAACTAGTCTGTAGAGACCAGTGGTTGAAAGCGCAGCCTGTTCCGATCCTCATTTGCTCGGCTAATACCTGACTTAGATAACTTCAAACGCTGATGAGTGTTGTGTATGGGATGCAGCCGGAATCGTTCTGAAAAATATTAGACATTTCATGGATTAGACAATCTATTTATAGATTGCGTATAAGACTTATTTTCTTTTTAACCAATAGGATTCTTTTATTTTAAAGAATATTTTCCTCAATCCAACATGTTAAGACATTACTGGAAAGCAGTTGACACAACAGTTAATTGTTGTGGTCCCACAATGGGATATTCTATGGCTTTCTTGAAAAACGCGTCTCTTAGAGAACAGTCAGTGATCTCTTCTCAATTCTATTGTTAAATACGCGAAGTATCGGGTCATAAAATTCACCACGGTTTCTTTGAAATGAATAGGATTCCGAATAAAGAAGTAAGCATTCTGTAGTCTAACACATTTCCTATACTCAACACATGAATCTAATTCTTTTAAGGAGAACCCATTAATAGGTGAATAGATTGAAAGAGAATCTACTTCGTACTTAGATCGCTTCGTAGAGTTAAAGTCTGTTGGTATTTTGAATTTCTTATCATGAAAGAAATGAGTCCTTTAAAGACGTTTGAAATTCACCTTTGGTTGAATCATAAAGAGGTGTCGTGAACACGAGAAAAATTGGAAATGAATTTTTGTAATACACCCTGCAAAACCGTTGAATTGTTTTTCTTGGTTAACGATTCTGGGAAGAGGTGATTTTATAAAATCCTAAGGCTTTGTGGGCTAGGGGACACATTTGTCCATTTTCAATTACGTTACAAAGATATTCAGAGATATCGCACTTACTAATAATATTAACCGAAAATTACCGTGATCTTGTTTGATCGGAAGATTTATTTTCGTCTAAGGTCACAGTCAATATTTATGTACGACTATGTCGAAGTTTTTGAATGGGTCATCCCTTGTAATGGACCAATATGGAACAATAACAATGACGCAGTTTTTCTAATTATCATCACTTTCTTTTTTCCTTCTATCAACACGTCAAAAGGAATTTCATGATCTGACAAAAACAGAACCGAATTTCTACAAGAAAATATCCACAAAACATGGACACAGTATTGTTGAAAGGAAATATAACTTTTGTTAGAAATTATTTGGGCAGCACTTGCACTTCGAGTGCCCACTGCTCTACAATTTGTAACCGAATCCCCAGTTAACACCCGCGTCATATTTATAATATTCAAAAGTAACACCCAGTTGAGGGTAGGTTACAATATTGGGCGCCAGATCCTCTCACATGAATTTACACAATTATAACAAACATGTAAATGGCGCCTGTTTTCCGTTATAAGAATTTCCAACAAATATTAGAATATAAATAAGGTAAAGCTTAGAATTGTGAAGTAGACAAATATTTAAATCATTAGAAATAACTAGCTGACCCGGCAGACTTCGTATTGCCTCAATCAAGAAATAAATTATTTCTTAATTATTTTTTATGAGTTTACCTTTAAGCCATAAGTCTCCGTATTTTGAAGTGCGACAGAATGATTGACATATTAGTTAGTTGTCAAATCTAATGTCAAAAAACCCGTTTGCATGGGAAATAGAAAAGCGCTGTTTTTAGGGCTTTCCCGAAAATTTATTTTTCTTTTTCAGCTTTTATACCTTCCCTGAACCTCCACAAACATTTCAAGACTAAGATAAGAAAAATCCGTTTAGCCGTTCTCGAATTTTAGCGAGACTAAGGAACAGCAATTCATTTTTATATATACATAGAAGATTATCACCAACACCATATTTAGTGTTTAGACACCTTTATATAAAGTGTGTTCTAATTTTAGAACAGTATATACAAATGGGCTTCATTATCAGCTCGTACGATACGAGTACATATCTACAATTGGTATTATTTTAGAAATAGCAATCTCCTTAGGAGTGACATTGTTTTGGATCTATTGCAAAATGAGCTAGACCTAATCGTAAGGTCTTTGTTTGAATTGAAACGGGAGGTCGTTTTTGGACTAGTAATAGCAGCCATAGGAATTATTATAGATACGGTGAGAGTACTTAACTTTTGTCACCTGTATTTCCAATAACAGCTTCTTCTAACAGACGGCGACGCACCAACACGGGACCGGTGCGAGCATGTATATAGGGCAAAGGATCGCTGAGTAGCGGCCGTTTTGTTGGAGCCACAGCCTGATTTAGAAATCCTGCTAGAAATTCTCGATTAGCACCCATACTTAACTTTTGTTGCTACCAGACGACTGCGGACATAGCTCGACGCCACTAACGCCTGGTTGACCAAGTGGCGTATCAAAGCACGCGCACCGAAGTCGCACCACATTACATTCACCCTGAGGCGCGGAACCTGCCCTTCAGTTAAACTAGGATCCGACTCATTGCTGCAATCAGCTTGCGTTAATTAGTTTCATCTTGACCGAAGGATGACCTGGAAAGAACACATAAAAAATGAAACGCAAAGAAATGAACTTTAGATTCAAAAACCTACTCTGGCTTCTTGGTAGATAATCTGCACTGTCCCTGTCCAACAAGCTAAGGGTTTATTGTTCCATAATAAAAACCAATCTGGACCTATAGAATCCAACTGTAGTTAACAGTCAGCAAATCCAACACTATGAGCCTACAGAGAGCACAAAATAATATCCTTAGGACTCTGTCATCGGCCTGCGAACGACCGAACCTCGTCACTAAAATAGGGGACGACCCATCTTTATCAAACGTAGTTAATTCAATGGTCGATAGTTCTAGGTCGTGGCAGGCGGTCCTCTCCTTTTCGGAACCGTCATGGCGCAAAATGGGATGGCAGACACGGGGAGTCGGCCGCCCCGCTACAACAAGGTCCTCGAGTCGGACGACGTGCAGTACCATCTTGGCACGTCTCTGGTTGCCCCTACAAACCCATCGTGCTTTGGGTTCGTGACCGGATAGCCACACCTGGAGGCCGCGGGCTGGGCGGAAGCGTTACCGTGGCCTCTTTCCACCTGATTATAGTCGTAGAGCCGCGTTACGTTCTCTAGCAGACAGAGCCTGGTTATTTCCATTTCCTTCCGTGCGGGCTGATGGACCTGAAGAGTTCCCAAGGTCCATCCCACTTCTGATATCGGCTGAGATAGAAAGGGCCCTGTAAAATAGGTAAACATGGACGTTCGTCCCCAGGCATAAGTGATAGTTAAAAATAATAATCATAATAAATCACAATATAACATTTATTAATTCAAATTAAAATCACGAATTTAACATAAATTAACAATTTAGTAATTGACAAATTTAACTATTTTGACCATTGACAATTAATTTGAGAATAATTAATTTTAACAAATTTAATATTGAAGAAATTTAGACACTTCAACAAATTATTATAAATTTGACTAATTTACAATCAAGAAAACAATTTAAATTAGAAACAATTCAGGAGTGACAAATATCACAATTAAGAGATGTGAACGAAGCTAGTGCTAACGTTGAAGTGTGTCCGGCCGCCTAGCACGTCGCTTTATATAGGTCGTTCGCCACCTCGCCTGACTTGTTGAGCGATAAGAGATTGTAAACGCCTGTACGCGCCTGTACGTGCTTGTTGAAACCTGTTCCTTTTGCTCTCGCGCCGACATAGATTAACGATTTATCCTAATAATACAACATATTATGTAGTTAATTTACCTGAACAAGTTTCAAATTATAATATTTATTATTAATAAAAGTTATTTTAAATGAAATTATTTTAATGTGAAAAGCATAAGTATTTATAGCAATATTGAAAATGTCGATAGAATATTTATCGATATAACAAATTTTTACACTTTCAAATCTCTATTCGAACAACTAACAGAATAGTAATAATATCGCCGGCGGCCCGGCGCCTGCGGTCAATGGTCACGCATGCGCCGTTGCGACTATACGGTGTCTTGACCTTGTATGAGTCAGATGTTTGGTACATTTTTTCGAATAATGTCGATTTAAAACTTATATAGCTTATGCAATTTAACTGACGTCTGCTTGATATTTTTTAAGTTATACCATTTTTTATAATAAGCTTATACTTATATGTATACAAGCCTTCAAGGGTTGACACAGTTTTTCATACACCCTGTATATTTTATATCACATGTATATATTATATTATGTAAGAATATAAAGTTATAATAATGATAATGACTATCTTATATGCTACTTATATGATAATAAAGTTTGTGACGTACAGAAGTTTATAGACCTTCCACGTAAAAAGTGCTTAATGGATTTTGGTGTAAATCTTCAGTAGTGCAGTTCAGTCATCAGAGTAAGATAGGGGGTATAATTTATCTTAGAATTATGAAAATCTAGCTTGCTTTTGTATGACATGATACAGTTTGTACAACATAGATGTCACTATATCTAGTGTTTTGTGACACAATTTTCTTAAAGCTATGAATTTCTTCATTAGGTTGCTGTCATTTCCTGCGCCTCCCTCACAAAGATGGTCCGAAATATAAAGTAGGGAATCCGTTGGCGAGGGATTTCCTTAATATGTTCAGTCAGAACGTACTCTCCGCTCAAGGGAATGAGGCTGAGAAGGTTAATATAGATATTATATAAAATACTGATTTGTAGTGACATTTTATAGGACAAAAGGGGCCGTTCAAGTATTACGTAAGCACTATGGAGGGGCGGGGGGTCTTTGCTTTGCTTATTTTGGATGACATAGGGGTAGGGGAATCCAGGTATTGATTACATCATCGGTAGTTATTTACTTTTTAATCGTCACATCGAGAAGATCCATAAAAAATATAATTATAATTTTTTCTGGATTTATATTTAAAAAAAAACAATACAGTAATTGAAAATGTTTACTTAAGCATGGGGGGGAGGGGGTAAGAGCTTTGCTTACTTTTGCTGACAAGGGGGATGGGGGGGTAAATAATTGTAATAAATCTGCTTACGTAATACTTGAACGGCCCCAAAGAGAAATGCGAACAATCGACATATTTAAACAACTACACACACACACACACACACACACACATGTATGTATATTAGCCGTGTGTCGTCAGGTGTTGTCGTTCGGCCGCATGATGTCGTACTGGCGTAACAACCGCGAGCGTGTGTGCGGGCAGCAGGCCGTGCGTCTCCCGGACGAGGCGCTCCCTTTACAACTGAGAGGCCGCGGACTGGCCGCCATCTTGCCGCTCGTTGTTGTGTGCGGCACGCTTACGAGGCGGTGAGTGTGTGTGTGTGTGAGATTTGTAATATACATGCGTATGAATATATGTATATACAGGGTGAATGGTGAATTACTATCGATACTTGAGGACGTGATATTTGACGATCATATATGACAAAATAAAAATTAATATAACATAAATATTAATAAACTTCTAAGTAAAGTTAACCAAAAGTTATGTAATTAATTACGCATCGTATGAACACCCTACAGATTAGGTATACACTGACACTCACACATACGCGTGTCGTGACGTGGTGTTGTATCAGCACGCCGCCGCACGCGTCCACACTTGAACACTTGGAACGTGTCAACACTTTATTTATTTATACGGAAATTTGGTAAAAAATAAGTGCCTATTTTTTTTACATAATTCGAATGAGAATCATGTACCGAGTATTCTCCTTAAATATTGATAGTAATTCACCAGTCACCCTGTATATGTACATTCAGGGAACATTTTCGGCAACGCACTCTGGTGCCTTTTGGCTCGAGTGTTCATGGGCGGCGATGATCATCTACCATCGGACGGCTAGCCTGCTCGTTTGCCCCCTATTGTATATTAAAAAAAAACACACACATTTAATTTGAACCGAACATTAAATTCCTGAACGCATCCGAAGTGACGTTGAAGGTGACATTTGGTTTGTTCACTTTCACGAGGCGATGAGTGTGTGTGTGAGATTTATAATATACATGCATATAAATATATGTATGTATCTCGTAACGTGCGTTGGTGTAGTAGATTAATAGATCGTCGATTTTCGAAGTATTTTAAATCTTTCGTTTGTGTTACATCTAGATTTGAAGTTTAAATCGAGATTGTAGTTGAAAGTTATTAAATTAAAATTGTTTTTAGTTTTGTATAAATTTAATACATTAATAATGAAAAAAGTCAATTCTGATCGTGTTCCTAAGAATATATAATTTTAATTGAATAATATGACGATAACACCAGATGATTTTAATTGATACCACAAATACTAGACTTAATGTATTGTCACTATGTCCTCGTATTTTAATCATTTAGAGTATCATTTCCAAATATTTTGAATACGTTTTTTTTTAAAGATAACTTCATATTTTGCTTAGGAAACCACTATATATTTGAAACGTGTAAAATGAAAGATAATCCTTTGTGAGTTATAAGTAATATTGATGTTTCTTTATATGTAGCGCGTCGGAACCGACTTGGATGACAGCTAGTAATGCTCAGAGTGACCGCGTTGGTTCCGAGCTACGGTCAATGGTGACCGCTCCACCAGGTTACCGGTTCGTTGGCGCCGATGTGGACTCTCAGGTATGAGAACACTTCTGACTCATGAGTGATTTATAGGTGGTAGAGAGCCTTGCTGTCATGAACATTGGTTGGCTCGAAAGAGAAGTACATCCCTCTCACAGAAGATCTACGTGAAGTAGTCATTAATGGCTGAGTTTCGTCCGATGAGAGAGAGACGGTTGCTCTTTCCATCTTCGTTATAAACAATCAAAAACAACTGTAAGGATTATAGTATACTAGCTCTCCGCTCGCAGCTTCGTCCGCGTGGATTTCGGTTATATCGCGTTTCCAAGAGAACGTTTCAAAAGTCTGGGATAAAAACTATCCGATTTTCTTTCTCAAGGTCAACTCTATGTCAGTACCAAATTTCATTATAATCAGTTCAGCGGTTTAGGCGTGAAAGCGTAACAGACAGACAGAGTTACTTTCGCATTTATAATATTAGTACGGCACAGATGGCGCCACTTGTAATAATAGTTCGTGTGATTTTCTACAGGAGTTGTGGATAGCTGCTCTATTGGGTGATAGTTCGTGTATGTGTGGAGGGAGCGCGTTCGGCTGGGCAGTATTAGCGGGTGACAAGAGAACTAACACCGATTTACACTCACTTACGGCGGCCGCGGCCGGCGTGAGGAGGGACCACGCTAAGGTCATCAACTATGCCAGGATATATGGTATGTGATAGTTCTAGTAATAAAACACTCTTTTTAACTAGTTAGATTTATTACAAGAAAATATAGTCGCTATGTCACGGAGTAGTGTTGTAAGCATAGAGAAAAATTATACATGTAAAAAACATTAAGTGAAGACAATACAGATAATTAAGGAAGGATGAGTTAAATTTAAATAAGGCGCGAAATTCAAACATATCCAACAGTATGGAACATCACTATGTTGTTATCTCTGTCGTTCGTGACGTCATCATAACTGACGTCATCAATGTTGTTGTCAGACTCGTGACGGTAACCTGGTAGACGGTTTGACAAATCCCTTACATCAAAGAGATCCGATCCCTGCAAGGGCTCGAGTGAGATTGTTTTTAATCTGCGCTCTCACCTCTATTTATACCAACCAACACTTACCATTGCGAGAATACTTGCACAGGCATTCATTTGGTTATGAGGGTGACGCATGATAATTTTGACTGAGCTCTCAATTTATGATCGATCAAATAATAATTGCACCCATATCTCTTATATTCGAATAAATACTACTTGATTGAAATTCAACATTAGTTATGTTGAAATAAATGCCTGGATGGTAATACCTTCTATCTCAGTTATAATTCAGCTGAATAGTTCAATGCTTTACTGTTTGAGGAAATAGATGGAGTATTACTTCTCACAGATACATCAAGTTCTACGACGAATGTATGGAGACTCTTCGCGTTTCTGGTCGTGAGATTATAAATAGACCATAAAAGCGTTCACTTCTTACTATGTAACTAATCAATAATCGCTATACCCAAACTTAATTCCTGTTACTTATTAGTAGCTATAAATAAGTACATATATGTGTTGAAAAAATAATCCTACGGCTATCGTATATAGAATTGTAAATATCATAGACTCGTGTATACTTTTGGAGAAAATATTATTTATTATTTTCTTGTTTTTATTATATCAAACTTTTTCTATAAAAAAATGTTAGAATATAGTTTCTTTAAACCAGGTGCCGGGCAGAATTTCGCTGAGAGATTACTGAAACAGTTCAACCCTACTATGACGATATCTGAAGCGAAGAGCAAAGCTGCAAAAATGTTCGCTACAACCAAAGGAAAGAGAGTGTACAGGCTGAAGGAAAAATATCTAGATGGCTTCATAGACGAGGAGTTAGGAGATCAGGTATAGAGAGCATCTATCAAGTTATTCAGTTTATTAGAAACTAGCTGCGCCCCGCGGCGTTACCCGCGGATTTCCGGGATATAAAGTAGCCTATGTGTTATACCTGGACGTCAGCTTCCTGTATACAAAATTTTATCAAAATCGGTTCAGCTGTTTGAGCGTGAAGAAGTAACAAACATACACACAAGCTCACAAACTTTCGCAATTATAATATGAGTAGGATAAGTCATCGATGTAATATATGGCTGTGTGGTATGTTGGAGCAGAAATCAGCTTAAGTAGTGTTTATAGAGATTCTGAACATTTTCAATATCATACAAAACGGAATTCTTAGCTCTAAGTGCATTCTTTATGTAGATAATCATTTTCATATTAACATCTGTTACTCTTATAAAGTAATAAAAATTTTAGCCCAAAAATCTATACTAATATTATAAAGCTGAAGACTTTGTTTGTTTGTTTGTTTGTTTGAAAGCGCTAATCTCCGAAACTACTGGTTCGAATTGAATAATTCTTTTTGTGTTGGATAGTCCAGTTATCGAGGAAGGCTTTAAGCTATATAACATCACGCTACGACCAATAGCAGCAAAGATATAGTGGTAAATGTGTATAAAACGGGAGAAATTATTTCATCTTTGAAGCCTTCCGTTGCGTGCGCCGTGAAAACGGCTCAAGATACACAAAAAATATGTATTAAAGAATAATAGCTCTTTTAATGATCTAAAAAACAGTCCGCGACAGTATATGTCTATCTTTTAAGATTAACTCACAAAAACCGTTTTTATGGTACCTAATTTGGTCGAAATAATTTGTTCAAGTTGTATCAACATAATAATATTAATCTTTATTCAAATAAACAAATAAATATGTTGTTGGTTAAGAGTACTTCATTGTGAATAATTAAAACATAGGTTTTATCCTGAAAATTCTACGGGAACTCGACCATTCCGAAAACCCCACAAGAACGGGAACTATGTGGGAAGAACCAAAAATCTGCCGTAAGTCACTATTCCACGCGGACGGAGTCGCGGCAAAAGCTAGTATAGAATATTAGCCTAACTGAAACTGAACAGCTTATATAATAGAAATTGCTGATATTTGCTGAAGATAAACTTACTGTAAAAATCCCCTTGTTATAGTTCGCAAAATCTCAAAAATATCAATATAAGCCTAAAAATGATTTTTTTACTATAAGGAATTCCACGAACATGAGTTATGATTTCCTATACGCATTACGTAATTTTCTAATTCTATTTTATTTACTAACTGATTAATAGACCATTATCGAATAGTCATTCTTATTTATTTGTTCTTTACTAATTTTGACACACATAAATAAATAAAATCTCGCCCGATCACACTTTGCGTAATGCTTACCAGCTTACAAATTATATCTCATACAGTTCATTAGCTTAGCCAGACCCTGGATAAAACTGGGAAATTGCCAGGTAGAAGAAGACAGTTCATGAGATTCTCATTAGTGGTACTGTTTCCAGACTGTAGAGATGACTTCGTACCAAGCGATGCGTCTCGCTAAACTGAGCGGTCGAACTACTGATGAGATGTTTGAGAAACCGCGCTGGGAAGGTGGAACGGAATCACACATGTTCAACAAACTAGAGGAAATAGCAGGTATTATATGTACAGCTATACCGCTTTGCACGCGACTTCGTCCGAATTGTGCCTAAAATACTTGTTTCAGTATAACGAAATCAGTAAATATAGTAACTTATTATATAGGGTGGCAACTTCAAGGAAAACTACGAGACTTACTTATATGTATATTATAATAATAATTACATATTAAAATTTAAAACTTATACCTAAGACTACGTGATTGCCCCTATTTTAGGATAGCAATGCCATTCCATAGCTTGTGTGGTATCAGCAATCTTCTGGTTGCACGGCTTGGTGTTCGTTCCGCGGAGTCAGCAGTATCACTTGTTATCAGTGGCGGCTGTACCTTAAGTGCACTCGTGCGCTGAACCACCAATTCAAAAGATTTAAAAATTACAAAATATTACTTCATCTTTATTTTTAAATTACCATTTTAATATTTATTTTCTAAACATACAAAAACGTATAAAAAATTACATTTCTAATTATAGTCAAAAAGTTTGAGCGTTTTGCTAAACTCATATCGTGCGCTTCAGCGAGTGCACGAGGACTGCTAATACATCTTGTATGGGATAGGAGTTAATACGCCTGACGCGTGAAACAAAAGATAGTTCATAGAAATGTACCGAGTAATGAGTCGGTTCTCGAGCGCCGCACGAGCGGCCGGAGTTTACCGAGAGCACCCGATGTATGACGAATTGGAATTGAAAAGAATCAAAACTTTACTCCGAAATACCTTGCAGTTGCTAAATGCACTTTCTGTGCTTAGTCTTCTATATATATAATCAAACTATTATTATTGGCAGTCCAATATTAATCTCACGAATAGATTTTTCTCTTTTATCACCTATATTATTTGACAATGCCATAATTCCATACAGTGATAAAATTAAAAATCTGGGTATAATATTCGATTAAACCCTTTCTTGGAATCCACAAGTGAGTGAGGTAAGCAGAAAAATGTTTGTTGCTGTTGGTTCCCTACGTAGATTACGTAACCTCTTACCGATTCCCACCAAAATTGCGTTAGCATAATCTATCCTTTTACCAATTCTTGATTATGCAGACTGTTGTTATCTTGATCTTAGAGAAGATCAATTGAACAAGCTTGAGCGCATTCAAAATCTTTGCATCAGGTTCATATTTGGGCTTCGCAAGTATGACCACATTTCCGATTTTCGCAAAAAGCTCGAGTGGCTCCCCATCCGCCTTCGCAGGAATACACACATTCTCTCTCTTCTCTACTGTATACTTTTCAACCCCAATGCCCCTATTTATCTTAAACAGTCCTTCCAATTCCTAAGTGATTCCCATTTCCGCAGTCTTCGCTCCGAACAAAACCTCACACTTAAAACTCCTTCCCATACTTCTTCCTTCTTTACTAAATCCTTCTCTGTCCAAGCAGTACGGTTGTGGAACTCCTTGCCCATAGAAATAAGACGTGCACAATCCGTTCCTGTTTTTAAGAGGCTTTTAAAAGACTATTATCTGTCATTGTAAATCGTTGTACTTTTAATATAAGTATGTATTTATATGTATTTATTTATAAAACATATGTATTATTTTATTTATACACGTATTTATATATTATATATATAATGTATTAATCGTATGTATGTATGTTATGTAAATATGTTATGTATGTGTATGTATGGTTTACTTGAAAGTGTACACCTCCGAACCCCTTTCTTTTATTCAATGTCCTATATCCAAAGGTTGTCTGGAAGAGATCGCTCTTTCAGCGATAAGACCGCCTTTTGTACCATGTTTCATTTTTTGTTATGTTGCTTCTTGTTTTCTTCTGTTTGTTTTGGTGTACAATAAAGTATGTTTATCTTCTCTTATCTTATCTTATCTTCTATCTTCTATATATATAAAAATGGATTGCTGTTCCTTAGTCTCGCTAAAACTCGAGAACGGCTGAACGGATTTATCTTATCTTAGTTTTGAAATGTTCATGGAGGTTCAGGAAAGGTTTAAAAGGTGAGAAAAATTGATTCATTTCCGGGAAAACCTTGAAAACAGCCCTTTTCTATTTCCCATACAAATGCTTTCTTTGACATTAGATTTGACAACTAACTAATATGTCAATCATTCTGTTCGATTGAAACAGGAAAAACCTGATTATTTATGGCCTCTAGGACGGAATAGAGTTCACCCGGTCAGCTATACATATATTACTAATCATGAAATTAACGCGGACGAAGTCGCGGGCAAAAACTAGTATTAAATAAAAAAAATATATACAAACAATACCCGATTTTAATAAATAGGTGATCGAACATTTCGCTTCGGAAAAATGTCGTTGCATTAATTAATGTATACAAAATAAACATATTTTATCTCAATTTATTTTTTGTTGCATTTTCTAATTTCATTATTTTAGTAAAGTGCACCACCAGTTCGATAACCCACCAGCCGCCACTGCTTGTTATATGATATTTTATTCATTCAACGATGTTGCCCCGGCGATGTTCATTTAATTTTTAACTGTTTGCCATTTTTCTCATATTAAAAGAACGGTGAGCTATAATTGCAAATTCCCTCTTTGTCAATTTTCTTATAGCCATCGTATCGGATTAATCTCTGAAAGCTATTGATAGACAACCCACTAGAAATCAGGTGGAAATTAATACAAATATCACGACATTGATCGCTCGGATTTATCTTGCAGATGGTACTGAGATTATGTGATCCCTTCATTAAGCTCAATAAAGGCTTTGATACGTATTCATTCACGAGGGCGCGGGTTCACTCCTGGCCCGGGCAAGTACCAATGTAATTTTTCCGAATCATATGTACTTTCTAAGAGTGTTTAGACATCACTGATTAATGTTGATTCCCAAAAAGAGGGTTGATGTCAGGCAGGCGGGCCGGTCGTAAAAACAATTAGGCAAAACTATTCACAACATGTAAGGCGGACCCTGGCTATAGCTGGGAAATTGCCAGGTAGAAGAAGAAAAAGAAAGGCTTTGATACGTAATTGATACTCTCTAGCCACTGTTACATACATTGTAGTGGGTAGTCCTTAAATTACAACAAAGCTCCCTTAGCATGAAACGACTTGCTCATTGAGATGGCTTAAATTTTATTATGAACAAGAAAAGGTCGAACAGTGATCAGATTTTTTTTCTATTTAGAGTCATCGTGTCCTCGTACAAGTTTCCTCGAGGGTCGTCTGTCTCGTTCCTTGGAGGCGGCACATAACGGAGGCGGCACTAAACTGAACTGGGTCGTTCAGAGCGCTGCGGCCGACTTCCTACATCTGATGTTAGTCAGCATGAGACATATGCAGCCTTCAGCCAGGTAACACGAACAAACTGCTAAACAGATGTACCAAAGAAATATTTAGTAGTCATCCCAACAATTATACACTATAAATATCCGTCATCAGCCTAACAGAACACACTGCTGAGCAAAGGCCTCTTTCTTACATGGAGAAGGTTTGAGCCTTAATCACCACGCTTGCTCAAGACGGGTTGTAATTTCAAACTTATAATTGTGAAACTGTTTTAACTTATAATTGTGAAATTGTGAAAAAATTGTGATTTTTTCCATCACTGTATGTCAGTGGTGTCTAAATACTCTCAGAAAGTTCATATGACTCCGAAAAATCACATTGGTACTTGTCAGGTTTGAACCCGCGCCCTCGGCAACGAGAGGCGGGCCCATTAACCACTAGGCCACTAGTGGCAATAATAAATATTATTAAATCAAAATCAACGACGTGATTGATTGTTTTCATAAAAAATATGAAGAGACAAAAAGGAAATAATCTTAATAAACAAAAGTAAAGACTTAAACTTTGAGGTCTTCCTTGAGATACATCTTTAGTGGTGCTTTGAAGTGTGAACGATCAAATATTACTTATTATTATGGAATGATATAAATGTCTAGAGTGATGTTATAATTCGTATTAATTAATTGTTTGTTGCTGTTAGTGTGCTATACAATATTTTCTATTTCAGATTCTGTCTCAGTTTCCACGACGAGGTCAGATATTTAGTTCCAGAGGAACATAAATACGAGGCAGCTTTAGCTTTACAAATAACAAACCTTCTCACAAGAGCCTTCTGTTCACAGAGGTATCACTTTTCTAATGTTTTCGTGTTGTAACAAATACCTCATTCAAAATATTAATAATACCATCATATATTTGAGAGTAGGCTGAAAAGTTTTCAGACTGACATATTGACGCCCCAATATTAAATCCTTATAATTATTATTATTAGTCCATCTTAATCTTTAAAAATATTTTTAGGATAGCACTTTTCGTTAAATTGATAAAATATAATTTCTTTTATTCATTTTAATAAAACTAAAGTTTTGGGGTCTCACTACGAAATCTTTATAATTTGTGATATATAAATAACAAAGCCAATTGACATTCTCATCTCGTCTGCCCGTGATCACGGTTGTTGCAAAATAACCGAAACGATTGATTTATTAATTGTAAAATAATAAAAAAAACGCGTAGTATACGAAAACCTTAGTTTTATTTATAGCATTGCTTTTTGACGAAAAAAAGTATTATCGAAACAATGGCTTTTCTAAATAAACATCAACAAACAAGAAGTCAGAACTTCGGTATTCTGAAAGGAATTAACTACGAAACATTTCGTGTTATATTCCGAAACAATGTTTTTGTTTATACAATTCAAAAACAGTAGAATGTAAAATTTTATTTCACTTTTAGTCTGTGATGTTGCATAGACTAAACGTCTACAAATAATGAAATTAATTTTACAATTACAATTGCAGGGTTGGGATACACGATCTTCCGATGTCAGTAGCTTTCTTCTCTTCTGTGGAGGTCGATCGAGTTTTAAGAAAGGAAGCCAATATGGACTGTGTGACACCTTCAAACCCCCATGGCCTGGAAAAAGGCTATGGTATACCTAATGGAGAGTCATTAACCATATATGACATCTTAGAAAAAACGGATTGTAACAAATTTTGTATCAAAGAAACGAAATAAAAATTATGAAAACTACTATTTTACTGTTCAATTTATTGAGTTCATATTATTTCCTTTGGTATTGCTCAATTAATAACATGATTTAAGAATCGTGTGAATCTAAAAAAAATTATACGAATTTCAATAAAATACTTCCCAGACTTCTTTATCAAATATATACGATTTCTCCACGACAATACATAATTTTCCTCTTAATTCATTGCAGATTGTTATTCCTAAATTTCATTTAAATAAATTCATTCAATTTTAACCTAAATTCTACGTAAAATACCTGTAACCCAAACCATGTTGTGCCAAACTGTCGTAATGTCAACGTCAATATACAAGATGAAGGTTATAAATTCACGTTATTATTTTAGTTTATATAAATGTTTTTATTAATAAAACAGTGGAAATGTAGAAAGTAACAAAAAGGAAACATGTGATGAACGGAACACTATGGGATGATTATGAGTTGCCTAAAGAAAATCAAAGTATAGTTAAAGTTTTGAAAAGTAGGGGAAATAATCTTCATGAGGTAATAAACCATAACATTTCATACTTTATTTGAAAGATTTGCTCTAACAATGTAAATAAATTAGCGGAGATTTTATCTACTCATACTTTTACAGATCCAAACGCCTAGCGGAGAGGAATACTTGGTATCAATGCCAGGAAAATTTCGAAAGAACATTTGGGTGAAGCGGGGCGATTACATACTAGTGGAACCAATCGAGGAAGGGGATAAAGTGAAAGCCGAAATAGTTAAAATAATGAACAAGGGCTCTATAAAATATTACAAGGAAAATAATGTATGGCCTAAGGAGTTTGATGACAACAAAAAGGAAGAGATAAAGGAAAACGATGATGACTTATTTGTAAACACAAACAGAGCTCATATGAAAAGTTATTCCAGTGACAGAGACAGCAGTGACTCTAGTGGCAGTGATAGTCAAAGTGATGATTAATAAATATTTACCTCTATATGATTAAATACTTCTTTAATATAAACCATTTTATAACAAGAAAGCAAAACCATCCTTTATCATTTATTAGCTTATTAAATAGAAATTATCTAAACACAAAATATAATTACCAATATTAATTAAATTTATAAACAACAAATTAACTCTTTATAAGCCTACTTAGTTTTGTGTATGTTGTTAATAATAAAAAAATGTATAAAGATTGTCTTTAAAAAAAAATGAAGATGGTGGAATATATAAAAAAAAAAATGAAAAACCTCTATTAACATATTTTAAATGTATGATATTTCTTAAACTTCTATATTTATGAACAGACTTAAGTACTTAAAAAGTAATAAAAATGAAATTGTAACATTTTTGAGAACTTACATTTAACAGTTAAAATACTATATTATAGTTAAACAATTTAAAATTAGACATATATCAATCTTTTCCATCATCAATAACATATTTGTATATTAATTTTATAAGTTCCCCGGATTCTTCTTTTGCCCAGCCTTCTGTCTTTACAATAAGTTTAGCTTGACCATTTTTAATGAACTCTAAACATTTTTGTTTTAAAATTTCCGCTGAATACAAATCTGCTAATTTTAATGTTTCTATAACATTATCTACTGTCAATTTACTATGTAGGGCCTCTTCACATAAGTTTTTTAATTCTTTTAATTGATAATAATTGGCTGCAACTAAAAGACTGTCCGGTATCTCATCTATTTTAACAATTTTCCCACTGTATATGAAATTTATCACTGCTGAAAGTGTGGCTGATTCAAATGGTGATTCTAAAATATTGGTTTGACATTCCAAAGTGTTATGTTGAAAATTTGCTTTGAGAACTTCACTTCGGGCAGCCAATATTGCTTTGTGGACTTTATATTCATAACCATCACTGGATTTCATGATGACATCAAAAAATGATTCACTGTGTAGCAAACTCTCAAAATCACAACTTAGGCGTTCAAGTGATACATTTTTATAAGCAACATTGACATCAGTTCTGACATAGAATTCAAATTGAAGTGATAAACTTCCATTACTTTGAAGGATTCCCTTGGCTGCAATTACATCACGTTTGAATAGTGTAAATAAGTATTGCCATGAGTTAGCTTCAATTGAGGCAAATTCATTTTGGACCAACAACTGGTCTTGGAATTGATTCAAGTTTGATATCAGTACTGTTTTGAGAAAAATGGTTTTGGGATATAAATAATAGATTTCCATAATATCATTTTCTCTGCCCAAAAGTTTTATTTTTAAATTAAATGTTGAATCATTATCTCCTAAAGTATTTTCATAGGCGTCCGAACGCAATTCTTTGTAAGTTCTGGTTTGAAAGAGTTTGTTAACATAAGGTAAAACCCATTTTACTTTATGTATTTTGGTTTGCCCCATTTCAGAAGTTTTGTAATTTATATCCTTGGTGAAAGGCATTATGAAATCCACAATATATTCTCTAAAAATTTAAGAATCTGGGTAAGGGAACAACAATGCTGAGATTTAAAATTCAAAAATTATTTCATATTGACACTCGGTCAGCCTTGCCTTGGTTGGTTGTTTTTTTAAAATATGGTCTTCATCCGTGGAAAGACGTGCACAATATATTCTGCTAGGGTCGTATAGAACGGAAGAGACACGATCCGGTATTAACTCAGCCTTGTTCTTTGTTTAGAGATTTACACTGACATAACACAATGTAATAAGTCAATTTAATCAATCACTTTTCTGTTTTCATATTTTGAGAATTCGCTTTTCGCAGTGCATTTATGAAGAGGGGTGTTTCTGGTTGAAATTCAGGTTTTAAATCATAAATATAATAAGAGTTTATTTGAAGATATCTTTAATATTAAATATGTTTATGTTGTATTTTAATAAATTATCAGACATTAAATAAATTTTATATTGTGAAATATACAATATTTATCGACCGTTGTAAATATCTCTGGATTTGTGGACTCTTTGGAGTCGATATTTTTTCTCACATTATTGTTTCAACTGCTTTGTTTTGGAAAGAGCCTGATATTCTGATATGTGTGAAATCTAAACGTCTTATCAAAAATGCCTATAATTTAATTTTAATCGCATTGATAGAATATCAGCATCATATCGTAATGTAACGACTGTCAATTCATTAAAGCGGAACAGTGAACGGGGAAGATAATTTATTACAATTTCTTTCAGACAGTTTCAACTAATGTTACTTGGTGATAAATAATAATGGAGGATTATAAGTTTCTTTTTAAAGTAGTGTTAGTGGGTAACGCGGGTGTTGGTAAAACTTGTTTAGTGAGGAGATTTACTCAGGGCCTGTTTCCACCAGGTCAAGGTGCTACTATAGGCGTAGATTTTATGATTAAAACTGTTGAAGTAGATGGAGAGAAAGTTAAGGTAAAGGTCTTACGTCAGTTCAAAATCAGCCACACATTTTAATTACCTCTTATGTCCAATAAGATAAAATATGTATGAGCGAATTTCATTTCGATGATGAAATACATTTACTTCAAAAAATACCTTGTTACTATTAATTAAGCGATGATATTACATAATGTATATAATTATATATATGTGAACTTTACAACTTATAGCTTCAAATATGGGATACAGCGGGACAGGAGAGGTTTAGATCAATAACACAGAGTTACTACCGCTCAGCCCACGCTCTTATATTGGTATATGACATATCTTGCCAGCCCACATTTGACTGTCTTCCAGATTGGCTTCGGGAAATAGAAGAGTATGCCAACAATAAGGTTCTCAGAATATTAGTTGGTGAGATAACAATTACATTCTTGCAACAGTTTGTATCAAAACGATAAAACAAGCTGTAAATACAAAATCATTCTAAATACTTGTGTGATGTCACCCAAAATATATATATTAGTTTTAATATTGATTCAAACTTCATCCTATTGTATGGAATAAAATTTTTAAACATTTTGGTGTCTCGATGTAATGATATTTGATATATTTACATATTAGAATTGACAAATAATTATTCTACTCACCACCCTTATCAATGGTTTTTAATTGCTTTGAACAATGGTATGCTTTCAAGGTTTTAGTAATCTAGAATAAAGAATGTTATAAATTTCAGGTAATAAGACTGATAGAGAAGATAGGGAAATACCTCGTCATATTGGCGAAGACTTTGCACAGAGACATGGAATGTATTTTCTGGAAACATCGGCCAAAGAAGCTGAAAATGTTGAAAGATTGTTCATGGAAATTGCTGTCGAATTAATGGAGGTGAGATTATGTTTAATTGTAACAAATGAAAATGTTTCATATCACATTTTGAATTTCTTGATATGTATACAATGAGTTTAAAAACCATCAGTTTTGTTGGTAAATATAATTTATTTAATATATATGTACATACTAGCTGCTCCCCGCGGTGTTACCCGCGGATTTCCGGGATGTAAAGTAGCCTATGTGTTATTCCTGGACGTCAGCTTCCTGTATACAAAATTTTATTAAAAGTGGTTCAGAAGTTTGAGCGTGAAGAAGTAACAAACATACACACACTCACAAACTTTCACAATTATAATATTAGTAGGATATTTCTTCTATAATTACAATAGTTATTTTGGCATAATATTTTCTATAGCAAAATAAATATTGGTTTAAAAAAAACAACAACATTTATATTTGTCATTAAGATTGCATTTAACAAGTTTTTAAAATAAAAATTTTGCTTATAACATGTTAAAAATAATTTAATTTGGATTAATGTTTACAACCATATTACTTATTAATATTGGAAAACTTGTTTGTAATTTAATATTTTTTATTACCTAACATTTAAATCCACAATCCAAATTACACAATTTAATTATCATCATACACTCTTCTTCCTGGCAATTTCCCAGCTTTAGCCAGTGTCTGCCTTATCATCATATAATCTGTGTATAAATTATTAAACTGTAACATATATTTGGTTGACCACTTGAATATAATAAGGCAGGTAATCCTATTAAACTAATATTTATTATGTTTTGGAAATGTTATTAAGGTGTATTTTATATTATATTCAAGAAAATACTATTTTTGTACATTATTAAAAAAAATGTATGTGACGAAACCACTTAGCATCCAATGGATTCACTACACGGGTACTAGGTCCATCGCATTGTAGTGAGAGGAGCTTCAACAGTGACTGGGACTTGCGACCCAGGTCTAGGTTTAAGGGGCCCTATATAACGCGTTATACGCTCACCTCCACTGTCCAAGCTCTCTCTACCTAACCAAATTTGAAAGGAACCTACTAGGGCTGCCTTCGAAGTATGAAGTAAGGAATGCATAACTATATAGTATTTATTTGTATTTCAGCAAGCAAAATGTAAGGAGCTGCCGAAGTATGACGGCAGTCTAGGTCCCATTAATGGTAAGACCTCCAGTGAAACTTCTTGTTGTCTCCGATCATGAAGAATTTAATTACATCACAGAGGGTTGGGTTTTGTATAAGCTATTTTCTTTTATTTTTATACATTTAAATGTTGTGATTTCATTCCGTCTGTTTTTTTAAATTACATTTAATACTTTTTTTTTACTTAGGTATCAAAAGAAATACATTTTGATTTTTTTTTAATATTCCACAAATGATGAGACTAAGGGTGATCAGTTATTTAAAAATCTTTTGCTTGTAACCGATGGATGTGAAAATTTTATCTTTTTATACATACTTGCACTTAATTTTCATAGAATTAGCTATATAGATACATCTCATGATTTTCAAAAAATTGTATGTTAGAAATTATTTTTGCACAGTTTAAATGAAAATTCTTGTAATTTATATAGTTTTACCATTGATTTGCTGTGTTAGGATCTAGCGAAACATATTTATTTATATAAAATTTTATGATCAGTTTTTCATTCATATACCTATGTCGATACTGTCATTTGTGTAGTAATATAAATAGTAGGACACTGCACGTTATACACCCTTGGTCGTGCATATGCAGTCAGTTCAATTTACAAACCTTTTTCAAACACTGATATTGCATAATCATATAGCCGAATAAGGAACATTGAATATAACGTATAATTATGCAATGTTAGTGTGAAAATAATAAATGAAAACTGTCGAAGTTATCGAGTTCACAACGAAAGCGTTAAAAGTAATAAATGTGTTAAATTATAACCTTAACTTAACATTTACTTATAATTGGCAAAGATGAAGTAGACAATGTTAAAACATAATAAATTCACTGAGAGAAAAGTTCATAAGGGTATTTAATAAATTAAACGGTTAGGGTAAATATTTGAGATATTTTTTTTTTACCATAGTCTATAATTTATGGTTAAATAAATAGTATAAATATAAAATAAACACAATTTTGTTAGAATTAATATGCCGCTCTTGACTAATAAAATTATTTAAGAATTTAATAATATAGTTTTGGATCATTATTTTTTTTTTTGTTATAGGTAATTATTATTTTAAATTTGTAATTTATACACAGAATGTTTTTTGTTATATATTATAATATGAATTCAAATTGCACATTTACTGTATAGCCTTTTGTTTTTGGCTGTGACTAAACAAGTTTTCATGTGTGGGCAGACCTTAAAAGAATATTTTTTATTGTATATAAACCACCTTATATGTTATGTAGGGATTGGACGAAAACAATTGAAAGTATATAACAAAAAAAATACATTCTACTTAAAGTAATTCCATTTTTATATTTCTTTACATATTTTATTATACATTCATATATAAAAAATAGAAGCAAGTGAAAAAAACTATTTTTTTTTTTAATCCATTCCTATCTCAAATGTGTTTTATTTTTAATTATATTATTGTAAAAGGTACGAGGTTGATATTTATTATGATGTATTTTTTTAAGAGTATTATTATATAAAACTTAACGCAATTGTCGGGTGTCTAATATTATAATATATTTTGTGCACTTTGCTGTTTGTTTATACATTATACATTTTAAATGGTTGTAAATTTTGTTAATTGTTATGTTGTTGTGAATGTGCAATGTTCTTGTTTTTTTTCTTATTAATAAATTGCTTCTAAACTAAATGTTGCTTTAAAATATAACTCTTAATTGTAACTGGGACTTAAAGTAATGCAATTTAATGTTATAAACTATCATTGTGACTTAAATAGAACTTTGGGGTGACTCTTCCTCTTTGAAATCATTTTTCTTAATATCTCATAATAATGCAAATGATGTACAATATTTAGATCTGAATTATATAGCTGTTTAATCTCAACATGTTGTAAAGTCACCAAAGAAAATCTGATAATTGTAATACTCGCAATTAAATTTATCAGTTTTATTATTGTGTTTCATTTAAACATATTTTAAGGTTATATGTGTGAGCAATGAGAAGCCATTGGTTTTGGAATAATAAGGATTCATTGTTATTGCTAAAAATTATATTTTCTTTTAAAGAACCTTTAGTTTGAAATAGAAATTTAAAAATTTTCGTACAAGCAAATAATTTTAATCTACACAGGTACATATTTAGTTAGATTGTTTATAAAAATACTGTAATGATTGCAAATAAATTTCATTGACTGTTTCGTTTTTAATAATACTAAAAGCGTAGCGTTTGGTTTGTTTATTTTCCTTAGTTTCTATCGTACACACTATCGCTTACTATTAATAGCGTGTCAGCAGCTGTAATCACTCGTTACTACCTAGAGACATTCAGTGAATGCTATAACTGCAGTAATGGTAACCCTAATGGCTAATATTATGGTGAATAAATACGTGCGTAATTTGGTAACCTTATAGATATTAGAGAAAAGAATAAACTCACAAAATGCACCTCTAATCGCTTTCGACATTCTTTTTTTTTATTTGTAGTCTCTAAGAGATGTAATATAAGCCTGATAACTGATTGCCTCGGTGTAAGCCTTTGCTAATGTTGGATTACGCTAAGATCGGTATGAAAGTATGTAAATTAGTTTCATATATGTAGGTACAGACATTTTGTTGGTTGTGCTTCTGCAGTTATCGAAGAGATAATTTCAGAATACTAGTATCGACTAACATCTTTGTACCTATTTATTTCTATTTGGAAGTTATTTTCTATCATCATGAAACAAAGCGGTCCTCCTAAAGGGTAGAGGGATTAAGAACATCTGCGTGAGTAACTACTCTGAATAATGTATTAACTAGTGAGTTAACCGTTTGACTGGTTTATTTTAAGTCAATTCAAAGTAAAAGTCATGTTGACATACAAATGTGTATTTCAATTTGAAATCAACTATATTCATAACTAGCTTTTGAAGCGACTTCGTCCACGTGGAATAGTGACTTCCGGCAGATTTTTGGTTCTTTCCACATAGTTCCCGGTCTTGCGGGGTTTTCGGAATGGTCGAGTTCCCGTAGAATTTTCAGGATAAAACCTATATTTTTTTATTCACAATGAAGTACTCTTAACCAACAACATATTTATTTGTTTATTTGAATAAAGATTAATATTATTATGTTGATACAACTTAAACAAATTATTTCGACCAAATTAGGTACCATAAAAACGGTTTTTGTGAGTTAATCTTAAAAGATAGGCAAATACTGTTGCAAATGTTTTTTAGATCATTAAAAGAGCTATTATTCTTTAATACATATTTTTTGTGCATCTTGAACTAATATAATTTCTCCCGTTTTTTACACATTTACCACTATATCTTTGCTCCTATTGGTCGTAGCGTAATGTTATATAGCCCACAGCCTTCCTCGATAACTGGACTATCCAACACAAAAAGAATTATTCAATTCGAACCAGTAGTTTCGGAGATTAGCGCTTTCAAACAAACAAACAAACAATCAAACAAACAAACTCTTCAGCTTTATAATATTAGTATAGATGATTATTTTGAAATAATCATAATTTTTGGCTATAACAGTAAGTTAAAAGTTTGAACTATAAAGTGAAAGCAATAATAATAATTTTTTTAAATGTTTTTACAGCTCTGGATAGGATACGAGTCTTTTTGAACTTATCAGTAATATGTGATATGACAGTGTTGCAATCCTAAAATTTATTATATATTACTTCCTTAGTTATTATGTTAATAATTATAAAATATCCTTATGATTAATTAAATAGTATAATTTTGAAAATATAAAAATACAACCTTTATGAAGAACTTACATCTGGAGGTAATGTTGTAAAATATTTTTTCAATTTTAACTATATAATTTAAGTTTTACTTTATTTATGAATTTTATATGATCAAAATGCAATTTTATATTATAATGTTATAATATTCAATAATTTTATCTTTGTTGTATGACATCGACATTCGACACTGAAATTATGTTATTGATCCATAATAAACGTCGCTTGAATCGAATTTGAAATGGCCGACGTTTAGGGGGAGTGTCCAGCGGAAATTTGGGTTCTTATTGATTTAAATAAAAAAGGTGAGCTTTTTAAGTCATCAAGTGATTAAGTGTTAATATTCCTATTGTGATTATTGAATTAATTAGTGCTTATAACTAGTGGTGGAAAATTTTCATCCATTTCCGGTGACGACCCGGTCTAGTTATTCAAAACAAGGTGAATAGAATGAACAATAAATAAGTTGTGATTGATTGTTCTTGGAATCGGGATTTAATAACAATTGCTTAGAATTTAAAGTTAAAAATAATAATATATTTTGTTTATAAATAACTTAATTCATATATTTATTATATCTTTTATTTGAAGTTATGTTTAGGATTTTTTTTTTATGAACCTAAGTGTATTTAGGGATATAAAGTTAAATTATTTTACTGTTTCGTCCTTTACAGATATCCACAGTGCCTCCTCGTGAGGCCACAACACATTCCATTTTAAAAGACTGATTTTAAAAATTGCCTGAAAATGGCCTGGCGTTTTAAAGCCTCTAAGTATAAAAATGCGGCACCTATTGTGCCGAAGCCCGAGGCCTGCATACGTGACATTTGCGTCGGTTCATATCAGACTTATGGGAATAATATATGTGCATCCGCTGCCTTCATGGCATTCAATTGGGAGCATGTCGGTTCAAGTTTAGCTGTTCTACCTCTCGATGATTGTGGTAGGAAGAGTAAAACGATGCCACTGCTTCATGCGCATTCCGATACAGTGACGGACATGGACTTCTCTCCATTTCATGATGGTTTGCTTTTAACCGGCTCCCAGGATTCATTGGTATGTTTCAAAGTTACTCTTAAGAAATATCCTGATACCGGTTATTTAAAATAAAACTCAATAATTATATAGATTACCATCATAATATAATTTTTTTTATAATGTATTAGTAGCAAGGTTGTAATAAATTTTTAACATTCAAATATAAGAATATTTAGTATAAAAACTATAACATTGCTTTTAAGATATTAGTAGCTATTTATTTAATAAATGATTAACAATGGTAAAAGATTTGCTTAGTTTTCAATAAATTGGTTTTCTTTAAAAACAATTTACCGTAACATCATTATTGTCTAATTAGTAAATTACATTTTTGCATGAAAATGTTTGTAACGGTTTTTCAACCTACTTGTTGAATGGACCATTAGAATTATTTTTGCCTCTTTATATTTAGAAAAAGCAACTGTAGAATTAAAGTATGAGTCACAAATGATAATATTTTTTATTATTACTGAAGGGTTGATATTATTCATATCATGTATGCCTTATCAATTTGTTTGATTAAAATGTATTTTATTTGTATATATGAAATATTTTTACTATTATTTTTAGGTAAAAGTGTGGCATATCCCGCAAGAGGGATTAAAGGAGTCTCTAACAACTCCCGAGTGCACATTGTCACAAAAACAAAGGCGTGTTGAAAATGTTGGCTTCCATCCAGTCGCAGATGGACTTATTCATGTTGCTTCTGGACATGAGCTTGCTCTATGGGACCTTACAAAGCAGAAGGAAGCTTTTGGTAAAACTACATACATATTATACATATATTTGGATTAATTACATACATTTTAGTCTTTATAGAAAGATTAAATAGAGAACTGAAAGTCTGAAACATTGGGTGTATACAATTTTAAAATAAATGCATATAATACCCATAAATAACAATTTGCACTTGCATAAATATGTATAAGTCAGTGGTGGCCTAGTGGTTAAAAGGCCCGCCTCTCGTACACAAGCGTACGGGTTCAATCCTGGCAAGTACCAATGTGATTTTTCTGAGTCATATGTACTTTATAAGAGTTTATAGGCACCACTGACAGATGGTGAAGGAAAATATTTTGGGGAAAACTGGACTTATAATTTCACAATTATAAGTTTGAAATCACTAACCCGTTTTGAGCAAGAGTGATAATTAATACACAAACCTTCTCCATGTGAGAAGAGGCCTTTGTTCAGCAGTAGTTCTGATAGGCTGATGACAATTGCATAAATATTTTTGTCGTGAAAATAAACTTTTATTTAATTATCAGTTAACAAGGACCATACAGAGGTGATCCAATCAACGTCTTGGAAGAAGGATGGGAAGTTAGTAGGGACTTCGTGCAAGGATAAGAAAGTGCGTATTTTGGATCCTCGTACATCAAGCCCTGTTTTGGGTGTGACGAACAGTCATCAGAACATTAAAGACAGCCGACTCGTCTGGCTTGGTGATAGTGACAGAATCTTAACAACAGGTATACAACTTTTAATTTTGGCAATTATATGTTTCATACTTTATAAATAAGTCGCTATTCACTTATAATAATACTAATAATATTTTTATTTAATGATTTGTGATTAAAATATCTTCCTATTAATTTTATACATGTATAAAATGAGGCATGTATGAGAAACAACGTATTTATACTTAGTTTTATTACAGTTATAGTCAATAAAAATATGATTCCTTAATATGTAGTAATTTCTATAATAACTTGATATTATGACTAGGTTTCTTATTTTTTGTTTTGTTTGTAACATTTGAATGTTAAGCTAATACTTATATTAAAATATGGAATCGATAATTCGTTCTTATAAGCATGATTACTGAATAACGCGTGACACGTGGCAAGATATTTCAAAGTTGTATAGAATATTTTGTTACAAGCGGTACCATCAGAGCTGTACTAACTATAATATACTGTAATCCTTACAATCATTTTTATGACTAACTAGCTTTCCTCCCGCAGCTTCGCCCGCGTGGAGTTCGGTTATATCGCGTTTCCAAGAGAACCTTTCAAAAGTCTGGGATAAAAACTATCCTAAGTTCTTTCTCGAGGTCAATTCTATCTCTGTGCCAAATTTCATTAAAATCGGTGCAGTGGTTTAAGCGTGAAAGAGTAACAGATAGACAGACAGACAGAGTGACTTTCGCATTTATAATATTAGTAGGGATTATACCATTGTAACTTTGTACATGCAACATTTAAGTATCACCTTGCATTTGAAAACTATAAATTCTGGCTTCAGCCATTTTGTAAAACTACTCGAAGTTACTCTGAACATTGAAAAACAAATCTGTAACAGTTTGTATGGAAGATATTATATTATGTTTCAATTTTATGCAGGTTTCGATTCGGCTCGTCTTCGTCAAATAATGATAAGGGATGTACGTAATTTATCTCAGACACAGAAGACTTTGGAACTAGATTGTTCTACGGGAGTATTGATGCCTTTATATGACCCTGATACAAATATGCTCTTCTTAGCTGGGAAGGGAGATACTACCATATTATATATGGAATTATCTGATAGAGAACCATATCTCATTGAAGGATTGAGGCATTCAGGTAAAGTTACATATATGTATTATTACTATACACAGAATTAATATAGGTTTGTAATGAAAAATATTCATATGTAGTCGGTTAAGTTTTATAGGTTTAGTTGGAAGATAATTTATTTACCAAAAGAAGTATATATATTGTTAAGTTTTTCATAAGAAAAACATATTTTTCTTTTTACAGTCATTAATAGTTATTAAATTTAAGCACTTTTAACATCAACGGTGTATATTTCCAGGTGAGCAGACCAGAGGCGCTTGTCTTGTACCGAAGCGAGCCTTGCGTGTCATGGAAGGTGAAGTTAACCGAGTGTTGCAGCTCGCGGGCTCAGCTGTGATACCCGTCATGTACCAAGTACCGAGAAAGGTGGGTGTTTTACTGGCTATTTATTATATTGACTTAACTTACTCCTAAACTACGACATGAAAGCTGGTCGAAATATATTATGACTTGAAATTTGATTATCCTGTAACATAGATGATAACTAACAGATGCACCTTCGACTTTACTTTTCTTCGAAAACTTCTCCATGCACCATAAGTGAATTTGGTATCGAAAAGTTTTTTGTAGGATATGGATTAAATTTTTCGCCACTAAAAATAGAAATTGGTGGTCCGATCATATTTTTTGTTGATAAAATACACCCCAGATAATACGGCTATCCAACAAAAATAACTTTGTCCCGGTTATTGTTGATATACGTCGATATTAGAAACTCCATATAATTTAAAAAAAATATACAAATATTTGTATTTACAATTGAGGTAGCCATGGATTGTTATTCATTTCAATGTGGTTTTACAAGTTTGATTATTCTTTGTTATTCCGAAGTTAGAAGAGGTTTAGATTAGAGAAGTTTATCTCTTCTGTTTAAGTTAAGAATTCATAATCTATAAAATATATAATGAATAATATGCTTATTATAACGAAATATCTATGTAGGGACTTCCAATAAGTTTATACAATTTTATATCATAACTAGCTTTCCGCCCGCAGCTTCGCCCGAGTAGAGTTCTGTTATATCGCGTTTCCAAGAGAACCTTTCAAAAGTCTGGGATAAAAACTATCCTATGTTCTTTCTCAAGGTCAACTCTATCTCTGTACCAAATTTCATTAAAATCAGTTCAGTGGTTTAGGCGTGAAAGCGTAACAGACAGACAGACAGAGTTACCTTTGCATTTATAATATTAGTAAGGATAATAAATTTCTTTTTAGACTTGCCATAAATAAACAAGCAACTTTCAAGGAATATTGTCATTATAAACATAATGTACTACTTATATAAATGAGTGTACATTTATGTATAATGGATAACATACATAGACAAAATTATCATAGACGATTATTGTGTTAACATGTAGTAGTACTGACAGACAAATCTCAATCGCCTTAGTGGCTACACTAATGAAATATCACTCATATAAATTTTTCAAGTAAAATGAAAAAAACAGCTGAATTTTAAGGCCAGTTTTGGATGTACTATACATTTCATACATTGTAATGGAAAATACATTGAATTTGAATGATTCTAACCTTTTTTTATATTAAAGTTTATACAATTATATCTAAGAGAGATTTTTTAAGCTAGTATCAAAATAAGGTTACTAAATATTGCAAAGTCAAATGCTTATATGCATATAAAAAGAGATCTAATACTTATGAGAGTATTCATTTAAATGGAACTAATATTCGGATTACTACGTGTATTTTATTATTTTAAAAACTACATAGTCACTGTGAATATTCACATCTCGTCTGACTGTGATCAAGTAATATTAGATTTATACAGGGTGACTGGTGAATTACTATCAATATTTAAGGAGAATACTCGGTACATGATTCTCATTCGAATTATGTAAAAAAAAAATGGTACTTAATTTTTGACCAAATTTCCGTATAAATAAATAAAGTGTGGACACGTTCCAAGTGCTCCAAGTGTGGACGCGTGCGGCAGCGTGCTGATACTACACCACGCCGCCGCACGCGCGCGTGTGTGTGTGTGTGTATACCTAATCTGTAGGGTGTTCACACGATGCGTAATTAATTACATAACTTTTGGTTAACTTTACTTAGAAGTTTATTAATATTTATGTTATATTAATTTTTATTTTGTCATATATGATCGTCAAATATCACGTCCTCAAGTATCGATAGGAATTCACCAGTCACCCTGTATATGCACTAACTGCGCCCCGCGGTGTTACCCACGGATTTCCGGGATTTCCGGGATGTAAAGTGGCCTATGTGTTATTTCTGGACGTCAGCTTCGTGTATACAAAATTTTATCAAAATCGGTTCAGCCGTTTGAGCGTCTAGAAGTAACAAACATACACACACACTCACAAACTTTCGCAATTATAATATTAGTAGGATATAAAACTAATAATATATATATATAATTTTTTTTTCAGAGTTACCGTGACTACCACGCTGATCTGTATCCTGACACAGCGGGTTGTGTCACATACCTGAGTGCTCCGATGTGGCTACAAGGAACCGACCACCCAGTACCTAACATCTCTCTCAGACCCGACCACGATAACTGCAGTCAGGTAATATATATACTATATACATATATACTATATATAAAGCAAGACAAAAGTTTGATATCACCTAGAAAAAACTACATTAGTTAGGTTTAGAGATCTTTATTTTCCAAAAAAGAAACAAAGTCACTTACATGGAAACAACAAATTCAAGTAGTATTAAATGTCGTTCTTAAGATATAATTACACAACAAATTGCTTTACTCATTCAATGTCTTCAATTCACAAGTGAGTAGTTTTGTATAATATATTAAAGTTAGTTTGTTCTTATAACTTATTTATTTACATTATTACATAGCAACAAATACATGTTTATAATTTGTAATAAAAATATGTTTATCATTTGAAAGTACATAACATTTGGAATTTAATTCAATATTGTAATTTTTTCAAGTTGATCTCAAACTTTTGGTCGGCACTGTGTTCTAAAGTTATGGTATTAATTTGTGTTATACATATAATGTAATTAGCTATAATTTTATTTATATATTTTTTTGTTTAAATTGTATTTACACCATGGGATTCGATTTTAATTTAATTTCCAAAACGTATGAAGTCAAATTCAGAGTCCTTGAAGTACATAGATAATATTACTTCTTACAACTGATGTTGAGAATCGAAAGATTTTTTACAATATCGTTTAGTATTCATAATAAGCTATATTTTTTAACGTTTTCTAGTATTGGTTACGTGTTATTAAGCTATAAATATATTGTTATGTAGTGTTTGTTTTGTATCAGAACCGTAGTTTCAAACATCTTTTACGTGTTTCCGTTATTAATATTTTTCGATTGCCAATCTATTGTATTTCGAGCTTTATTGTTGATGAATGTAATTTTAAAAATCTAATTCCACATGTAATGGCTGCTACTAAAGGTAGTTAGTATTTGTTTCTGCATGTTTTTATTTCGTTTGAAGTTTTATTTTTATTTTTGTGAGGGGTGTGATTTTTTTTGTGTTTTGGGTTTTATTTTTTAGTGTAGTGTAGTTAGTGCTAGTGTTATGTTTATGAGTGACTGAAGTAAGTATTTCGGTTTTTTTTTTGCTTTCGTTTGTAATTTATTTTATTGAGATGTATACATTATTATAATTTGTAAATCATTCAGATACACCGCGGCAATCTCGAAGAATTGGTGAAAGTGATCCTATCTATGCCAGCGCCGAAGAATGGCGAGGCTAAACCAGTAGTGCAAAACAAAGAGAACGATGAATCTGTGAAAGTCATACACACGCCGGAACAAAGAGACGAAGATCGAATAGACTTCGTTAATGTCAAAGATATGATAAAAGGTATGGAGAAGAAGGAAAACGGCTATCTGAAGAAGAATGACGCCGAATACGACGAATTGAAGAATAATGAACGGTCGCTGGAGAAGAATGAAAGCTCGGATTCGTCGGAATCGCTGTCTCGAAGCAATAGTTTGATCAACGGCGTCCCGCCACAAGTGCCCAAGCCGCTGCCGAGGTCGTCTATATCTGAAGGCAGCTCCACCGACGAACAGGAAGCGCCTAAACCGAAACCGAGAACTTCAACCATACCCGGTGCAGGATATAAGGTATCATAGTAGATTGGTATACTTCACTGTTTTTTTATATAAATCATTATTTTTTATTTTGTTTTTTTTGAACACCATGCATATATGTATATATAATACATATGTATTTCTTTCTAAGGTATCGTACGGAAGATTGGTGTGTGCTTCATTATTTTTTATGTGTATATAAAACATTTATTTTTATTTTGTTTTTTTTTTGAACACCATGTATATACAGGGTGACTGGTGAATTAATATCAATATTTAAGGAGAATACTCGGTACATGATTCTCATTCGAATTATGTAAAAAAAATAGGCACTTAATTTTTGACAAAATTTTCGTATAAATAAATAAAGTGTTGACACGTCCCAAGTGTGGACGCGTGCGGCGGCGAGCTGATACAACACCACGCCGCCGCATGCGTATGTGTGAGTGTGTGTGTGTATACCTAATCTGTATGGTGTTCACACGATGCGTAATTAATTACATAACTTTTGGTTAACTTTACTTAGAAGTTTATTAATATTTATGTTATATTAATTTTATTTTGTCATATATGATCGTCAAATATCACGTCCTCAAGTATCGATAGTAATTCACCAGTCACCCTGTATACTGCATATACTGAAGAGCGTGTGCCTCACTGTTGTTAAGTTTAAATATTTTTTTTTTATTTATTTGTTTTTTTTAATACCATGTATGTATGTAAATATACTCTTTATTTCAGGTATCTTTTAAGTTTAAAGAGTTTATTTTCTCATAAAAACACAGGGTTTACATTAAATGAGATTAATAGATACATTAATATGTAGTTACAATATAACACCTCTGGAGCGCCGGTATCTAAACAAACTATTATCGTCTAAACCGTTTTAATATGTTTTTGCATAATTATTCAGTATTAATTATTAATTAATGTATATAATATTTCCAGCCACGCCTCGGTCCGAAGCCGTTCTCAGCGTCAACTGGTAACGAGGAGTTTTCCTTTGACAAGGTTTTCTCTGTTCCTTTAGTACCCGGGGTATCTAAATCCGACTCAGGTAATATTATATTATATCTGACTAAAGTATGTGTAATATTAATATCTAAGAAAAATATTTAATTATTGTTACGATCTCTGATAGTCGATTCAATCAAAACTAAAAGATATGTATAGGGAAATATAAACACACACACAAATACATATAGTATGTATTTTAACATTTTATACCTTGCTCTTCATTTACTATAAAATTAAAAGCATTTCTCACCATTTTTATAAACTCTACGTATTCGATGATGTATGCTCTGTATATATAAAATCTTTATTTATATAACAAATAATTATGAAGTTGCACCAAAAAATAATGCAACATCGAAATATTTTAATTCAAATATCTGTTATTTGAATTAATACATATAACTTCTAAAACTATACATAGTACATTACAGTTATAATAAAACGATTGAGTGTGATGTTATTTTATTATATATTTTTATATACAGGTGCATCGCCAAGTACACCAGTGGCGCCTGTACCGTCGGTCAAGGATGATGAGAAAGAGAAATCACTTTCCCCTACTAGTGATGCCGAACTAACGAAAGGTACTAACATCATCCTTAGTATAAGTTCTCACTCAATAATCTACGCTAAAGATTTACGAATGAAAAACTCTTTAAGACCTGTATGTATTGTTATAATATGGAGATAAGCGTTAAGTTGTTTAAAATATACATTTTTTATGTAATAAATACAATTGAATGGAGTTTTTAATTAAAATGAACTATAGCGAAGTATAAAATTTTGCGGATTTGACCGATTTATATTATTTATTTTTTGTTTTACAGAAGAATATACTAATGGTAAATCGGACACGAGTGTCGAAGAGGAGGTCAGCTATAGACCCAAAACGCCGAGCACCGCCGAGAGACGGAAGATGTTTGAGAATACTGAGTTAGTAACACACACACACACACACCCAAAAACACACACATTTTTCAAAGACAATTAGACTTAAATGAGTGAAAAGTAATTGTGTCAATTTGACAACTGCAATAAATTTTCATGTTCAAAATAATTTTATAAAATAAACATATACAGGGTGACTGGTGAATTACTATCGATACTTGAGGACGTGGTATTTGACGATCATATATGACAAAATAAAAATTAATATAACATAAATATTAATAAACTTCTAAGTAAAGTTAACCAAAAGTTATGTAATTAATTACGCATCGTCTGAATTCCCTACAGATTATGTATACACACACACACATACGCGTGCGGCGGCGTGGTGTTGTATCAGCACGCCGCCGCACGCGTCTACACTTGGAACACTTGGGACGTGTCCACACTTTTTTTATTTATACGGAAATTTGGTCAAAAATTAAGTAACTATTTTTTTTACATAACTCGAATGAGAATCATGTACCGAGTATTCTCCTTAAATATTGATAGTAATTCACCAGGCACTCTGTATACATAGGTGTTAAATGATGAAAGGATTGTTAAAAACAATGTAATTATTATCAGGACTTACATTCAAGTGTACATAAGGACGGGGAGTAATCGTTGTAAATTTCTTTGTTTACAAGATTGCTAACTTCTATTGAAATGGACTATATGTATAATTTTTCTAAGAAGTTTGTCTTAAACGTATTTATATAATTATTATTTTACACAAAATTATAAAAGTATGAGATAATGTACTTTATATACTACAAATGCTTAGTCCGAGTTTTCATTCTTGCTACGTACGGAGCGTTTTTCGTTTGAATAATATTTGAATGGTATGAATGAATGAATGAATGAATGAATGATTTGTGAATGGAAAACTGTTAACGCTCCGTGTGTAGTGGAAGTGTAAACTTGGACTATGCATTCAGAGCTTTTTTCAGCGTGGATTTTATATTGGAAAATACTTCGTAACTTACGAATTATATTTTGTTATTGTATCACAATTTTAAGGTGTTAAAATTGTGATACAAGTTAACGAGTTAATTTCGTTTAAAACATCTCACCGTATAATTTAATAGCGACATTTTTAAGTTTGAAAACGTATGATGAGAGTCATAAATACTTCAAATTAATATTTTTTCTTTATATTAATTTCGTTTTTTCTATAAGCAGGTCGATGTCTGTCCCGGCGCCGGCATCGCCAGCTCCTCTGAGGTAAATATTAAATGATTGATTCATATCTTCATTCATTCATTCTATAACAGAATGAAACAAAATATTATCAGTCAGTAATGATATCCCTCGCTTTATTTATATATCTTTAATAATATTTCAGACGCCGTGATTCTGTTAAATCCCGAAAGAGTCCGGAGAGAGAAGAAAAACGATCATCCGTTCCCAACGTGACCACTAAAAGAACGTCTACTGTATTTGGTAAATTATTAATATAATAAGAGTCACACTAAGTCATTGGTGGCGTAGTGGTTAAAGGGCCCGTCTCTCGTTGCCGAGGGCGCGGGTTCGATCCTGGCAAGTACCAATGTGATTTTTCCGAGTCATATGTACTTTGTAAGAGTATTTAGACATCACTGATTAATGCATTCTCAAAAGAGGGTTGATGTCAGGCAGGCGGCCGGTCGTAAAAACAATTAGCCAAAAACTATTCACATCATGTAAGGCAGACCCTGGCTAAAGCTGGGAAATTGCTAGGTAGAAGAAGTACGTCACACGAATTTTAGGACCTGTAAATCCCCCCCCTCCTAGTCACAAACCGTCACATTTCTATAATGCTCCTCTCTCTTCCTGATTAAAAATGTATGTATGCATATAAATATAATCGAAAGAAACCAGCTATTCTAATTTTTTACTTATTTTTAATAAATAATAATGTAATACAATCAACGTACAGTCCAACATTTCATAAAACCTTCAAAAAAATTCAATATGTGATGTCACAAAACAATTGATTCTCCATGCCACTTCTCACACAGTGTCACACTTCAGCTAATTGAAACCTAATTCCTATGACCTAAAAATCAATATATGGTATATGAAGGAAGTATATGTAATATGGTGAAATACGTTTTTAATATATATATTTTTTCTCAGGTAAAGTGTCAAAATTCCGTCATCTCAAAGGAACTCCAGCACACAAGTCGACACACGTGGAGAATATTAAGAACATAAGTCGACAGATATCTGGAGAGTGCAACGGATTCTATGGTAAATAATAATGACTGACATACTATGGAAGATAATGAAAATGTTTTATTTGTGAACATCTTTGCGAGACAACACTAACATAAACAGAAATAAAAAAACAAAAACAAAATAAAAAAAAATACAATTAAATAATATCTAATGAAGATTACAGGATAGAAGGTATAAATAAATCAAAACAAAATGCTGCCTACACAGCAGTATGTAACTCGTTAAAAGCTAATGAAATGTTTTAAACGATATACAAAAGTATATTGATGTGAAACTATATACTTATCACTTTTAGAAGCTAAAGTAATTAGATGTCGGTGTCACTGCAATGTTCTTCCAATCATAATAAATCAATAGAAATTGTATAAACTCAAACAACTTTATTCATTCAATATACAGGGTGACTGGTGAATTACTATCGATACTTGAGGACGTGATATTTGACGATCATATATGACAAAATAATAATTAATCTTCTATATATATAAAAATGGATTGCTGTTCCTTAGTCTCGCTAAAACTTGAGAACGGCTGAACGGATTTATTTTATCTTAGTCTTGCAATGTTTGTGGAGGTTCAGGGAAGGTTTAAAAGGTGAGAAAAATTTATTCATTTTCAGGAAAACCCTAAAAGCAGCCCTTTTCTATTTCCCATACAAATGTTTTCTTTGACATTAGATTTGACAACTAACTAATATGTCAATCATTCTGTTCGATTGAAACAGGAAAACCTGATTATTTATGGCCTCTAGGACGGAATAGAGTTCGCCCGGTCAGCTATACATATATTACTAACTAGAAGACCTGGCGAACTTCGTATCGCCCTATAATCAAGAAATATCTATTACGTTTTTTTATTTCTATTTTTGGAGTTTACCTGTAAGCCATAAATCTGCGTGTTTTGAAGTGCGACAGAATGATTGACATATTAGTTGTCAAATCTAATGTCAAAAAAAACGTTTGTATGGGAAATAGAAAAGGGCTGTTTTTATGGTTTTCCCAGTAGTGAATCAATTTTTTTCAGCTTTTATACCTTCCCTGAACCTCCACGAACATTTCAAAACTAAGATAAGATAAATCCGTTCAGTTGTTCTCGAGTTTTAGCGAGACTAAGGAACAGCAATCCATTTGTATATAATTACATACCTAGAAGATGATGAAATTAACGCGGACGAAGTCGCGGGCAAAAACTAGTATAACATAAATATTAATAAACTTCTAAGTAAAGTTAACCAAAAGTTATGTAATTAATAACGCATCGTGTGAACACCCTACAGATTAGGTATACTCACACACGCACACGCGCGTGCGGCGGCGTGGTGTTGTATCAGCACGCCACCGCACGCGTCCACACTTGGAACACTTGGAACTTGTCCACACTTTATTTATTTATACGGAAATTTGGTCAAAAATTAAGTACCAATTTTTTTACATAATTCGAATGAGAATCACGTACCAAGTATTCTCCTTAAATATTGATAGTAATTCACCAGTCACCCTGTAGAAGCATTACACTTTCACATTGATGGTCACTTGAGACACTACCACCGGTTCGGAAAAGAAAATACCCTGATCTGAGAAGAACCGGCTAAAGAAACTGAGCGGGTTTATTTTTTTATATTTGTCTCATATATTATATGAGATGAAATAGCCAGAAGGCGATCGTTTCATTCCCAAATTCATATAAACAGTGTTATGTATATGTAAACATGGTATTAAAGTATACGATCTATCTCTTAGCAAACGGCGTCCGCTGCGCCGTTCCTTTATCGGGTGGCAGCGGTCGTTTGGGTGTAGTGGAGCTCCCTTGTGGTGCAACTCGCCTGAGTGTAGGACTGTGCGGCCAGTCTGCGCAGACCCCCGCGGCCGGAGGTCCACCAGCCTTACTCCACGCCGCGCCGCTGCAAGACTGGGCCTTCGACCCATTCAACGACCGCCGGCTTCTGGTGGCCTGCGACGACGGAATGGTCCGGGAGTGGATTCTCCCCGAAGGAGGTCTTGTTATATTGGTTACACCTTTACTTAAAATTTCATTACGTATTTTGAAGTATACATATAAATAAATAAATAAATAAAATCACCAAGCCGTCTTGAACAAGCGTGGTGATTAATGCCCAAATCTTCTCCATGCAAGGAGAGACCTTTGCTCAGCAATGAGCTCTGATACGCTGATAATGATGAATTCAATAAATAAATACAATTTCACGATATTCATTACTTTGTACCGTATTACGTGCTTTCAGCGCAGAGGAATAGATTCTGTTTAGGAATCTAGATATTGTATTTCATTGTTATATGTAAAATAATTATTTCTAAATATGTACAAAAATTAATGGTAGTAAAATTTCAAATATTTATTTCCAGGTCTGCAAGAATCTACGAACGAACCTAATCGTACGTTCTCCGCTCATCCCGATAAGATATACATTATCAGATTTCATCCGACCGCTTCTGACGTGCTAACAACGGCTGCTCACGACCAAACTATCAAGATATGGGATTTAAGCCAGAATGTACCGACAGCGGAGATCACATTAACTGGTCATACGGATCAAATATTCGCATTGGACTGGTCGCCGTGCGGGGAATATCTCGCTACACTCTGCAAGGACGGCTTTATACGGGTAAAATACTTGTTATCTTTAGATAACATATTAATAATTATCCAGTAAAATGTTGGCCTAAAAGTTGAAGCCCGCGTCTCGAGTATTAGGGCGTGGTTTCGAAACCTGGCCAGCACCAATGTGATTTTTCCGAGTCATATGTACTTTATAAGAGTATTTAGACACCACTGACATACCGTGAAGGAAAACATCGTAAGGAAACCTTTACTTATAATTTCAATACCTATTTTGAAATCACCAACCCGTCTTGAGCAAGTGTGGTGATTAATGCTCAAATCTTCTCCATGCAAGGAGAGGCATTTGCTCAGCAACGAGTTCTGATAGGCTGATGATGATGATAATGAATTCAGTAAATAAATAACACTTGATTTACATATCCGAAAAAAATGTGTAAAAATATGACTTTATATACTCAATGGATATTCTAACTTATAATCTACTATAATATATTCCAGATCTACTCTCCTCGCACTAAGACCAGTCCTCTTCGTTCCGGGCCCGGGCCGAGTTCGCGCGGCGGTCGGCTAGTGTGGGCGCTGGGAGCCACTCACATTGTAGTCACAGGCTTTGACAAGTTAGATGATATATATAATAATATATTATTTATATGTATTATATTCTGAAGGTAGAGCCTACCTGTAGTCAAGTTACTACAGCTCGAACATGGGCTCGACCGGGGAAATACCACCCTCTTACAGAAGATCGGCGTGAAGTAGCCTTAGTGGCTGCGTTTAGTCCGATGAGTGAGAGAGCCGGTTCTCTTTTCCCTATTCCCTCCCTTTCCTTCTATTCCCTATTCCCACCCCTCCCTTTTCTTTAATAATCAATTTTGGTAACGCATCGATAACATTTATGTTGCGGATGACTATGGGTGACGGTCATTACTGCCCATCAAGTAGGCCGTCTGCTCGTTTGCCACCTTTCACAAAAAATATATAGTCATTTAAATAAAACTAACATGAGAAGATATCTCATTTCGTCTTCTCGTGATCGTTGCAAAGTACCGAAACGTTTCTAGTTAAATGATTTAAAATAATAAAAAAACGCTTATTAATCTGAAAATATGAGGTATTGAAATGAATTACCATGAAGGTTTCAGATATGATTATATATATTCATGTTGTAATCAAAATTTTCGGATATTTATCAGAGTTAAACAATACATAGATAATAATTAACCGTAATACAATCTTAATTCCTAATGTTTACCGCAATAATTTATATACAAAGGTTGTAAGATACACGTAAAATAATTCGTCTTAACTCGCTTTTATTAAACTAAATTATTTTATATGTAATAATGATACGAACTTGAGACTTTGTCTAAAAGATATCCAATTAAGAAATGCTAAAACATATCATTTTAAATTAATTTTCACTACTTGCATACAATTCCATATTATCAGTATACACTCCAAAGACCAAATCTTTACTGTACTATGAACAAATAAAGGATTATTTAAATTTATTAATGAGTTCATTTCCATCGATACTAAATGTTTTATATTATTTTGATAATAGAGTATCGGAGCGTCAAATAATGCTATACAAGGCGAGCGACCTGTCTTCGCCCGTGTGTACTGTGGGCTTGGACGTATCGCCGGCCATACTACAAACATACATCGACCACGATTCTAATACACTGTTTCTGACGGGACGAGTGAGTATTGGAGATTTAATATGTATAAATATTAATATTCACAGACTTATCATACATATAAGAAATTCATTTAGAAAAGTGAAATCAAATAACTAGATGAACTTCATTCTGTACTTCTTAGAATGGAATTGGTAAAACTGTAATTTGATTTACTTCAACATATTTTCTTTAGAATTATTATTATCAAATAATCTTTATTTAAATCAAAGTTCCATAAAAACGTAATTGAGGAATATGTTCGAAAGGTTTTTCTTTTGCAAACAGTATAGCTAATATTTAAAAATTATTTCTTAATAACAAAACAACGTGGTACTTATTTGACTTAGAACGAACTGAACTCTATTAGAATCCATAGAGGTTGACTTTACAGAGAGGATCTACATGCTTTATACTAGATGGCGTTATTTGTACCCGTATTTTTATATTAAGACCCATTTTAGACCTAGATTCACGAAACTCGTGTTTGTTGAATCTAAACTAGGCATTTACTAATGAAGATTTAAGATATAATTGTCTGTCAAAGTATTTACGCTTTAAATTTAACCGCCCAAAACCGCGTAACTATCATTGGATAATTCCGCGTATCTGCATTGGAAGCATATTATTAAAAGAAAGTTTCAGCTGAAACATTTCCTTACTTAATTACTTTTAAGCTAATTTTTTCAGAATTGGTAATAGATAAAACACTAAATAATTACTAATTGTGAAAAAACTACCATAAAAGTCGTTAATTTAGAAAATATTTCAGCTTAAACTTCCTTCTGATAATTTGATTCCAATGTAGATACATGGAATTATACAATGACTAGCTGCCTCCCGCGGTTTTACCCGCGGTGTTAGTTTCCTGTATATTTTTTTTTATTAAAATCGGTTCAGCCGTTTGAGCGTGAAGAAGTAACAAACATACACACACACACTCACAAACTTTCGCAATTATAATATTAGTAGGATAGTTACGCGGATTTCTACTATCCCCAGTGATATGGTGTAAGACTAACTATTATGTTTAATATTCAATTATAATATATTTAAGTATTATGTATTATATTCCAGGGTGATTCTACTATATATTGTTACGAGGTGACGTGTGAGTCTCCGTACATTTGCGCTCTCTCACATCACCGGGCGGCCTCACTTCACCAAGGCATCTGTTTCCTTCCTAAGAATTTAGTCGCTGTGGAAAAGGTATGCTAAGGAAAATATTATTACAATGGTACAGGCTTATTTTAGTCGTATATAAAGGCAGAGAAAGTGTATTAATTAATTATCACAAAAGTATAAAATGCTATATTAAGTTTTGAGGTGTTCAAATAAATATATTTCAATAAATGTCCCAAAAGGTATTTAAAAAAAATGCACATAAATGTAAGATAAAGTTACCCGTATTTAATATTTGCATGTAATATACAACGTGTAACGTAATTAACGCACACCCTCAAACACCCCAATTAGAATATAATAATATAAACGCAATGCATACACCAAAATTTATTTATATGTGCGTTTGCATTTTTTATTTGTGAAATTAGTTATCCCAATTTCGTGCAAATAATATGGTCAGCTATTCACCAAAACTCCGCTGTATACGCACACACAGACAGACACAACGTACTCGCCGCGCCCGCGCCCCTCTCTCCGAGTGCCGTCCGACAATAATAAGAAGTAGGTAATAATAAGAACGCGTAATAACTACACTATGATTTATCAGGCTTAAGATTGTCGACATTGAATTTTTTTTTTAATGTGAAGCCAATATGTTATAATTACTGATTTGTTAAATTAAATTTGTAAATAAGAATTATTAAATAGCTGATAACGCGTGCTTTGATTAGACACCACAATACCTACTACAAAGTCGGCGTGTTTAAATGGTGTGAATCAAAATATTAAAAATTATTTAAAGATCATAAACAAACTTACAGTTTAATTTGCACTCGCACGGCGTTGTCGTTTTAAAACATTTTTAAAATGTCCACCGCCTTGTTCAATGCACTTTTATGACCGTTTCCGCAATTGTGGTTTTATTTTAGATAATACTGCAGTGTTACTTTTCACTTTTACAAATCTAATATCTTATTTTAAATATATCTTATTTTTTAGTTCCTCGAAACTTGTTGTCTCTGTGTTACAGCCACGGGCAAAAGTATTAGGCACCCTACAGTAAGACAAGTTTTAGGGTGTTTTAGCATAGCGAGTGTAAATAAAACTGCATTTATGATTACAATGGTTTATTTTAAGAAAATAATTAATATTTTGTAGGTCCACCTTTTGATTTAATAACCGCAGCCACTCTTTTTGGCATTGACTCTACCAGCTTGAAACATTCTTCTCTTGATATATTTTTCCATTCCTGCTGTAACGCGGCCAATAGAGCTTGTTTATTGCTAATCGAGTGCCTGCGGATATTTTTCTTTAAAATGGACCAAATATGCTCAATCGGGTTGAGGTATGGTGATTGTGGTGGCCAGTCCAAAAGATCAATATGATTTTCAGCAAACCACTTCATGGTATGCGCGGACTTGTGGCAAGTGGCGTTGTCTTGCTGAAATTTCAGGCCATCGGTGTTTGTATCACCGAAAATTTGCGTTATCGACGTTGCTAGTGCTGTTTCCAGAACTTCAGTGTATTTAACACTATTCATTCGTCCCTCACACAACACCATCTCACCCACTCCGTCGGCAGCCATGCAGCCCCAGATCATTATTGAGCCTCTACCATGCTTAACAGTGGGAACCACACATTCTGGGTTGTATTCTTCGCCAACCCTTCGCCTAATATAAGTCACACCGGGTGTTCCAAACACCTATGCCAAACGAAAAAAAACCATTTATTTTCAAAGTTATTATTTTTCTTGCAGTACGTTATTTTAAAAACATTTATGTGTTTTAATATTGTACATAAAATAAATAACATTACCTCAAAGTTAGATTCGTCTGACCACAGTATGTTGGACCAATCTTCTACTGACCAATCTCTATGTTTGAGTGCCCACTCCAACCGATTTTTCTTATTGTGTTCTGACAGCCACGGCTTCTTCCTTGCTTTACATCCTTTTAATCCAGCTTTAAGAAGTCTTCTTCTCACAGTATAAACACTCACTGAGCTACCTTTTGCCTCAGATAATGCTGCAGCGAGCTCTAAAGCAGTTTTTTTTCTTTTTTGTAGAGACTGCCTAATCAACAATCGATCTTCCCGTTCAGTAGTAACTTTTCTTCTGCCTGTTCTTGGTCTATTTTCATGGGTGCCAGTCTCTTTGAAGCGATTTATAGCATATTGAACTGCACATCGCGAGCACGTCACTTCTTGGGCTATTTTAACCTGAGACATGCCTTGTTCATGTAAAATCTTAATTCTTAGACGCTGTTCAGCACTAAGTTCAGATTTTTTCGGCATGGTTAACACGTTAAATGTTAGTCTTTAGAATTGTGATAGGAATAGTTGCGTAGAAGACGTGTATGTTCACTGCAAGCACTGATAACACACTATAACCCGAAACGCAAAAAAAGCAAATTCGAAGAAACACCGCTTAGGAGCACACCTGGATGTCATAAATATTTTCTTTTATCTTAATTTGGTTAATAATTGCCGCTAATACAATAGCTAAACCATAAAACACACACTTGACCGCTATCTAATGAGATAGTGACTAACAATAGGGGTGCCTAATACTTTTGCACGCAGCTGTATAAACTAGCGATTTAATTTGCCCCCACAAAAAAAAAGTCGAGTGGCGTCAAATCAGCTGATCTAGGAGGTCAATGGACACGTGCGTAGGTATTTGATGTGTGCCGACTGTCGCTGATGGTGTTGCGTGCGTAGGATGACTGTAATTTACTTAGTTCTATCTAAATTTGAGAAAAAAAATGACCTACATAAAAAACTATAAAAATCGATCCAGATACCGATTCTGAACCAACTACTTTCAGGGTGTGCGTTAATTATGTTACACGTTGTATATATTGAGTGACATAATTCTTAACTAAATTTATATCTTGTAGGTGGAATTCGCACGAGCACTGCGACTGACTAATGGAACGATTGAGCCTTTGTCATTCACTGTACCCAGAATAAAGGTAAAGTTCATTGCTGAAACAAACGATAAATTGTACAAAAATTATTCGTCATCAGCCTATCAGAGCCCACTGCTGAGCAAAGGCCTTTTCTCACATGTAGAAGGTTTGAGCATTAATCACCACGCTTGCTTAAGACGGGTTGGTGATTTCAAACTTATAATTGTGAAACTATAAGTCCAGGTTTCCTCACAATGTTTGCCTTCACCGTATGTCAGTGGTGTCTAAATACTCTCAGAAAGTACATATGACTCGGAAAAATCACATTGGTACTTGCCAGGATCCAACCCGCGCCCTCGGCAATGAGAGGCGGGCCCTTTAACCACTAGGCCACCACTGACTACAAAAATTATAATAATCGTTGTAAATTATAATTCTTTGTCCGCTTGTGAACTTAAAGTTTTTGTTTTATGAAAACGAAATATTTGTAGAATTATTTAAGATTCTGGAATATGAACAACTTTAAAAAATATATGATAATTTACAATTTTAAAACGAGATTAGTCATATAAATTAAAAAGTATCTGTATTAAAATATTCCCTTTAATTTTAATTTTGTGTACAAAAAATAAGAAACCTACATTCAAAACATGTAGTTTTTGTATGCAATAAATATTGGGAAGTATGTATTCAAAGAACGTAAATCTCTACACTGTTGTATACTTATTATATACTTATCATAAATTACTATCATATATTTCAGAGCGAGCTATTCCAAGACGACTTGTTCCCTCCCACGCTGGTGACGTGGCAGCCCTGGCAGACCTGCCGCGACTGGTTCGCTAACAAGCATGTGGCAGCCCTGACAGCCAGCCTGCAGCCGCCCGGCATGGAACCATGTACGTAAATATATATATATATTGTGACGTCACTAGCTGATATTGGAATAAAACAGTTCCTATAAGAAACATCTGATTGTTGTTACTAGTTTTAATTTACATAGATCATATTAATACTTAATTTATACCCGATATTTGTATTGTGAAATCAGTAGTTATTTTATTATGCTCGTTTATACATGAAGTTGAAAACTCAGTATATATAACATCTTACTTGAATGAATCGCTTAATTTTTCTATCAGTATTATATTTGTTGGTAAAGAATTAACATGTACTTCTTACAACCTTATGGTATTTAACTTTTGTCATTCTCATTACTATTACCTTTTACTTAGTAATTACTAAGTAAAAGTTAATATTAAAAGTTAAAAGTAAAAGTTAATACTATCAATTTCTACTAGGAAAGTGTCAGATGCTATAAGAAAAAAAAGTATTTAATATAATATTAATGATTTAATACAAATTTGTATATATCTAGTGTCAGCTTACTCGGCGTCCGCTAAGGAGAAGCCGAAACCTAAACCCGACCTTATAAAATCTCACGTGCCCATGGACCCTAAAGACAAGCAGGATAGTGTGAGTATATATACATACATACATCTTTATATATATATATATATAATTCTTCTGTGAGTGTGTATGTCTCTGAACTTCTCTCAAACGACTGGACCGATTTTTATGAAATTTTTTTATGTGTGTTCAAGGGGATCTGGGAATGGTTTAGATTCACAATTTTGTCCGCTGGACAATGTTTTTTAAATTAATTTTTAATTTATTAGTAGTTGTTGATACAAACGTTTTTTGACATTAGATTTGACAACTAACTAATATGTCAATCATTCTGTCGCACTTTAAAACATGGAGATTAATGGCTTTAATGGGTAAACTCCAAAAATATAAATAAAAAAACGTAACAGATATTTCTTGATTATAGGGCGATACGAAGTTCGCCGGGTCTTCTAGTATATATATATATATAAATTTGGTACTTCTACCTTCAAGTGTAAAATGTTTCTCTTATTCTGATTAAATTCCCTCTATAACACTACACAGTATATATAATAATAGTATTTTTTACCAATGATAATATATTAGTTGCTGTAAATACCTATCCATATGTATACTAATTATATGTTTGTTATTACAGATAATGAAGTCTATGAGCGCTAAGGTGACCATGAATTTGAAATTGGAGCAAGACAGTATGGAAGGTGTGGATGAGTCCGAATGGGATCATTGAATACATCACGTCATTTATTTATTAGTTTTAGTTTGTGAACACCTGTATATGTATTAATAATATCATCATCGGAACATCCTGTATAAATGTGTTCTGATATGTTATTCTAAAATGTAGGTAACGTAAATTTTCTGTCCCAGAATAGAAACTTGATTGAGTTCGATATCGATCGTTCTAGAATTTTCTAGAAGATGCAAATATGATTTATACTATCATATGAATTTACATTGGGAGTTAAACTGGTGCACTAAATGTATGGACTTAGGTAAAAGTCGGTTTTCGTCGTATATATGACTAATTAGCATCTTAGATAGTAGTCCATCTGTTTCGATGGTGAAGTCCTCAAACCTAGGTTACCTAGCATACCTAAGTATTTTGATACTCGACCCATATTTTATAGAATTTTTTCATATAAATAGCTTTATGATACAATGTCCCCGCAATTACGAGATCTCTTACAGATTTAGACTAGAATTAAGGTATTGATACTTTGTCAGTATGAAATTTTTTTTGAACTTGTATTATTTGGAAGGTAAATTTTATTTGTTTTTAACGAAAATGAGATTCAAAAATCAACAACGCAAATTGAAAATGCATGTTTCGTAACTTATTTTGATGGTTTGTGTATTAATTTAAAAGAACAAATAATATTCTATACAAATACATATATTTTGGGTTTCTTATGTTAATGCAAGCAACTTTTTTTTGTAAATCTTTGACACCCAATCATACTTTTAATATCTAACAGACCTTTACATATATACATGTATATGTATATTTTCTTATTGGATACAATAATATGCAAGTATGAGATATACATGTAAATGATTTATATAGACTTGAAATGAAATTGTTTTGTATGGAATGTTACTTGTTTGGTTTGAAACATTTTCATTATATATAATCAAGTGGTTGAAGCCGTATTTTACATTTAATCGAAGTAACAATGAAATGTAAAATATATTATTTACACATGTATAAAACGGACAACGATGATATGTACGTATAATTTATCAGTAACGAAAAATAACTATGATTGTTCTTAATTTGCATCGTCACTACATACATACGAAGTTTTTGGCTTTCCTTATTATAAAAAGTACGTTAATACTATTACGTGAAAAGAATTATGATGGGAAAACTATCCATATGTATGTAGTTACGTCTCAAATTAAGAATGAGCATATACATATAATGAATTTGTGTTGTGATTTACAAGAAAGACCAAACAATATGCTCAGTGAATGCTCATATTATAACATAATCGATTTCGAAACGCCGCAGATTAAAAATAACGGCGGTCCATAGACATTCCTACATTTGTAACGCATTTATTTACTCTATGTAATATGTATTCTTAAAGTTAAGGAAATATAGGGTACACCTATGTATTAGGGAATTGATAATAATGTAACCGGTATATATATATAGTCATTATATATAAATATATTGAAAGGAACAGAGTCTACACCAGCTAGTGATGCCATAACATCTGTTTGCTCAAAACGCCAAAGATTTATTTGTATCGAGTCTTTGTTTTATTATGGATAATAGATTTATTCATTATTTACTTGATTTCTAGTAGCCGATGTATGTTTGTTCTGTGACTATCCTTAGGGCGGGAGTGTATTGATCTGTTTTGGTCAAAAATTAAGTAACCTATTTTTTTTTTTACATAATTCGAATTAGAATCATGTACCGAGTATTCTCCTTAAATATTGATAGTAATTCACCAGTCACCCTGTATATGTATGAAATGCTTCGTTTTAATGGCGTCGATCGCTATTATAATGTTTGCGTTACATTCATATAACATACAACAGATCTCTCTCTGATTAAATAAGTTTGTAATTTTGAAAATTTATTGAGTTCCCATACAATTTTGTATACCTATCTAATATTTGGAACTCTAATGTTCTATACAACTATGAATATATATTTTAATCAAACTAATTTTCGGATATAATTCACAGATTCTTTTGTAATACGTTTAATATTGCAGTGTTCAGTGTTCACATTATTTACATGGAAAGAAAGTATTCTTGTTTATCCGAAAATATAGTTTAATTTAAATATGTATATTAAATGGTATAATTTTAATTTTAATGAATTAAAAACTAGTATTGTATTTAACTTTTTTTGGTATTAAGTTTGTATTGTAACTGAATCTCGTTTATTTAAAAATTTCCTTAATATGGCTGTAATCGTCGCTGTATTTTCACTTCGGCCTATGAAATTTAGGATCGATACACATTGGTGGTTTTTTGTGACGTTTAACGATCGTTTTTATTGGCTTGTTTGAATATACAGAACTTGAATAGAACTTCAAATACTTGTGTTACAAAAAATACCGATAAATGTATTTTGTGAAGTTTTCATACGAGCATTTAGGTAGCAAAAGTAACAAATTTATCTATTGTTATGGCGACTATAGTAATAAAAACATTGATCGTTAAACGCTACTAAAAATCGTTCGTGTGTAAAGATCCTAAGGCGTTATATTTTTCCCACTCTGTACTAGTGAGACGGTGACGTACATACGCTTTTGTATTACTTAAAATATATGTATAGATATAATTTTATTCGCTAGTCATGCTATTCTTTAAATTTTAATACGTATCACATGATAATAAGGTTCATATTCCTTTGAGTCGAAAGTATTAACATAGTTTTTCATACTGGTGAATACATCGGCAAGATCCGAATCTGTGGCCAATAATTTCGACTGTGCACTTATAAACAGCTATAAGCTAAAACGCACTAGCACTATCAATAGTAAATACAGTAGCGGTAAAAATAAGCTCAATTTATATATAATATATATTATAATTTAATATTCTTATAGGGTTGCAAAATTAACTACGAACCTATATAAAATTTATTATAATTTGTCATATTTTTTCATATATTTTCTCGTCTGGTAATTTTAATTCAACATTCTATAATATGGCAACCCCGATGTATGTTCCTCAGAATACGTTAAGCCGGTGTTGCCTATGTTAATTTTCAACTTATATTTATTTAATATGTCTTCCAAAGTTTGATAAAGAAATTTGTGTGAAATGAACCGCCTTAAATAGCACAAACAATGATATCTTGGTACCATTTGTTTTTGATGTCGCTCAGAAACAAATTCTATATTCTGTCTCGAAATTTGGTGCCAATTACTTGTGATTGTAGATTGGCGTTATATCCTCAACATGACATATTTTTTTTGTATTATTCATAAGCAGACGATCTTTCAACCATGTGTAACGAATACTCTGTAATGTGTGAGTGCGTGTATTTTGTATTTTTGGATGTTAACCTACTGATATCCCTAGCAATAAGGTTCAATATTTGGAGATATTTTATTACTTTGCATTTTTTTATTAAACTCTTGCTAAATTTTTGTGTTTTTAATTTTCATCCCTTTATTTTTTATTTATATTTACCGATTATCATAATAAAAAAAGGCAAGTTGAAGAATCAGCTTGTAGATGGCGCTTTTATTTTTCCTATAATAATATTAATAATTAAGAAAGCTTTAATATTTGTTTATTAATTATTACTTAATAAAAATATTTATCAGACTGATAGCCGTATAACTTTAAATTATGTATGTGGTTTTAGGAACTCTCGTTTTAGGCGACCACGTGATATAAATATCTTTCTTTTCTTCGCGATTCTTCTACTGTTCTTTAAAGGCGGAAAAAGATGCTAAGTCTTTATAGGAAAATTAAAACGAAACAATATGAAGCAATCACATGTGTCAAGTATTCATTTTACTTTTTGTAGCAGTCTGTTGATGGTATATAGACTATTCTTGGACATAACAATCGTTTCAGACTATTTTTATCTGCTAAAATTTCTTAATAGGTATTTATATGTACTTTTTTAATTCACTGCACACGTCGTTTAGAGGGAAGGAAAATAAGAATAAGACATTAAAAACTGCAAATTTTTCTTACGGTACAAAAAAATATATAAAAAAAATCCCTCTATGAAAGAGTGACTATGCAAAGTTAAGCTAACCATACAAATAGGTTCTTTCTTTTTAAAATCTTGAAAAGAGTAAATAGAGTTACATTCGCTTTTTTCATTTGAAAGGTGGCAAAAGAATTGATGGTCTACTTGTAGAAGTTAGTCACTATCGCCCATGGAAATCTACAACGTAAAGAATGTTGCAAATGCATTGCCAACCTCGTTTGTGGGAGAGGTAGAGAAAAGGTTAGGAAATGGGAATAGGCAACCATCATCCCTATCGGACCAAAAGCAGCCATTGAATACTACTTCACACCGATCTTCTGTGAGAGGTTGGTAACTTCCCCGGTCGAGCGAGCCTATGTTCGAGCTATAGTAACTAGATCACAGCTAGGCTCTACCATCATAAAAGTTAATTTTACATAGCACAAAAAACGAATTGTCCAATACAATAATATATTATATAGAATATAAAACAAACACGATTTAGCAACAAAAAACCTTAATTAATATATTTTTAACCATGTAATCTAACGGGTGTTTTTTCTAGAGGTATAGAACTTTGAAATAAAATAAAACAAAAATGATTTCTTTAATTGATATGAAATATAATATTTTGAAAAGAAAATATTCTTTCATTATAATTAAAATAAGATTTCAGGCATATGACCTCCACGACTGGCTCGTACGTAGTTTAATCTGGAGGTCCAATTTTCCACGACTTTTTCCAACAGTCGTGACTGTATATCGGCAATAGAGCGACGAATGTTATCCTCCAAGTGATCAACGGCTTCGGGCTTATCAGCGTAGACTGACGACTTTACATATCCCCACAGAAAATAATCAAGCGGCGTTAAATCGCATGATCTTGGGGGCCAATTCTCGGGTCGAAACATGAAATTATGCGGTTACCAAATGTTTCTCTTAATAAATCAATTGTGGCACGAGCTGTATGACATGTTGCACCATCTTGTTGAAACCAGAACTCCTGAACATTATGCTTGTTTAATTGATGAACGAAATAGCCACTAATCATCGCTCTGTAGCGGTCACCATTTACTGTAACGTTCTGGCCAGCATCGTTTCTAAAGAAGTACGGACCAATTATTCGGCGGATAGACTGATTCGCGTCTTCTTCTACGCTACGCTCTACAGCAGAAATAACTTCTTCTGTACGCACTGTAGGCCATCTCTGTGGATGCGTATTACCATTTAGAGTAAACGATCCATTGTTAATTAAATTAATTATTTTGATGGACGATTATGTTAACCTTAAAATGGATGTAGTGCGCGATACGTTTCTCGAATAGAGCCATGATTTTCAAAATAAATTTGCACAATTTGGAGGCGTTGTTCAGGCGTTAGTCTATTCATGATGAATTGCCAAACCAAATTAAACACAAATCACTGGACAGCTATCAAAATAACTGCCAGTTAAAAAAGTATTGGCAACTTAAAGTTGTATATCTCTAAAAAAAACACCCTTTACAAAGTGTTTGTATTTCTAAAACTTATCTAATTATACATATAATAATGTACAAGCGTCATCAAAGTTCAGTTTAGATTAAAGAGTGACCCTGACACGTTAATTTAAAGATCCCACGAGAAATTAACGTTTTAAAACATTACACGCAACATCATCAATTGCTGTTTGTTACAAATAGTTTTAATTACTTATATTAAATGTTTGAAAAAGCAATCTCGATTATTTACTACTACGGAATATGTTGTCTGATGGATAATTCGGGGTTTCGGTCTTTAAATTTTGTTTTGATATTTTTTATGGAGTGAATTCTATAATATTACTATTATGAATAGATTTATAATTAGTAATTTATTATTATTAGAGTTGTGTTACTATATATTAGTTGATCAAATTACGTGTACTATTGGCTCTTATACCTATATATGTATACCTCTTTAATCTATTGACATTTGACATATTTATACAAAGTACGAGTAGGTTTTAGCGTGGGAAGTGTATTTATTGTAATTGCTTTATTAAGTAATTTCATTAATTATTTAGTACATTCAAGGGTTTGTATGTAAAATTTATGTAATACTATCTATCGCCGCAAGACAACGCCACTGTTGGTAATTATTATTTTTTGTGGTAATATTTCAGTTTTTAAATTTTATTTTATATTTTAATACATTAAAAAAATCTTCTCAGGAATTTTATTATATCACAAAATATTATTGTGTTTGAAACCGACCAATACTTTCGGGTATTATATTAATAAGTTTCTGTTGTTGTTTTGTCAAATTTAAATATAAAAAGTCTTATGAGGCTTAAGTTTTAAAATGTTTTTGCTAATAACGAATATCGGATCTATGATATTCAACAATTTATAAAGTCTCAAAGAGTACCTAATAAACATGTTAAAATAATTTTAGGTTTTATCATTTTTCTTACATCTAAAAGTATTTTCACACAAAAGATAAATATGCTTCCAGACGTTAAGCTTCCAAGATAATGTACAAAATACGGTATACTTTATGATGCTCACACAAAAACCACACATCATTTAATACAATTTACTTACGCAAAAAAAAATTTGGTTTAGAATACAAGAATAATGGCCGTAGAGAAAAGTGAAAAATTTAGCCGCAATCAAGCAGCACTTTAGGGCCTTTTGCTACAAATTACCCTCATTCATCTTAAAAGATTTCCACGTTACTTCTTAAAGTCCTTAAGAAATATGTAAGGTACGTGGGCGGTGAACGCAAAAAAATATCTATTAAATGTGACTTCGGTATAGTGTTAATATTTGAAAAAACTAATGTATTAAATTATTCTATAATACTAGTAAAAATATTACTGTAGTCTTCATCATTATTGTGCTTTTATTTCAATAGAGAAAACAAAACTATATTATAATTTATTTCTTTATAATCTCTATATTATAATTAATTTCTTTATAATCATTTATTTCTTTATAAACCTATCTATCTAAAATAGTTTTGACGTCTTTTACGTAAGAGGTCATAATATTTCTACATATGTAATATAAAAAAATTGGTACCTACATAAAATAATGAATTTAAGATTACTTATTTTACAAAAATACACATTATGAAGTAAAAAATTAAATCCCATTTTGCAAATTAACATGAAATGAAACTAAGAAATTGTACACTTAAAATTAATATGACTTGAAAATTAAATTTTAAATGATTCGTTTTATTTTGTGTCGATGGCTCTCATACTAAGCTAGTATGCTTATTCTAAGTTTTCGTCCTCAAACTATGTACGAAGATTTTCACGTTTCTCATTCAATAACTTACGTACGTAACTAATCCGCGAAAGTTTATACTTGAAAAACTGCTAAAGCTACGTATTCAGTGCGATGCAAACAAAGAGTAAGCGCATTGATAGTTAGCGAGATAGTGTTATATTTTTATGTATTTGACTCTTTATTCATATTCATAGAACGGAACGCTAATAATGACAGGATTAAAATCCGAACTTCCGCTACATACAAAACTAAATTACCCTTTTCAAGGTTGGAGAACCCACCGAGTATTACAGAAAAATAAATTCAATTGATCTAATGGGTATATGTGTAATACCTGCCTATGACTTGGTAATTTTAGCGTCACAATTATTTCTGTGCATGATACAACAGTGTAAAGAAAATAAACTAGTCTTTGCCCCAGTCCGCCTACAAGCATGACTGGCTTTATGACTTAACATTCCTTCTTTAATAAGCTTATGGGAATATTTAAAAATATCTAATTCACTATCAGTTAAGCAAGTTTAACGGTGTTCATAAAAAAAAATACGTTACTAATATTTTAAATACAAATTATAATGTACATCTTCAAAGCCTTTTGTGATATTAAATTATAAAAACAAAATTGAAGAGAATAGATTCACTTTAAATAATTCATATATGTAAAGAAATTAGTTTCATTTCGTCAGTTTAACTTTAAAGTAAGGAGTTTTAACAATCAAATTAGTATACTTCATCTAGTACCCAGATTGGTTAATTAATGTATGTGTACTATTCGCTTAGACAGTCACTACTATTTGAACGTTTGCGGCGCGCGCCAGCGATGTCCCTACGTCCTATAAAACTACGAGTACACTACCATTTATGATGTCCAACCATGGGATTTCTTTCTGGTTAGTACAAATTTATTTTAAATATATTTAATTTACTTTAAGACTATTTTTCTTAGATTGTATACATATAGTTTTTCGTATAATAAATATTTTGTTGAATGCTTAATGGTTAGAATCTCTACAATCATTACATTTAGAGTAAGAGTTTCCATCACTAAAACCATTTATGAAATATTATTGAAACCCTGTATGGGCTTTTAAAGTTCTATTTCGTTTTCAGCTTATTCTTTTGCTAGTCACACTTAAAGTTGCTTGTATAACCTATATCGCTGGCTGGAGTAACGCCGTGGGGGATATGCATTACTTATGAGTTCAAATTTCACAAAAGAGACTTCAACAATAAATTCGCCTTTTGATATTTTTCATAGTTTGGGAACTTTAAACTTGTAAAGACGCCGCTTGAGGGCTTGGTAAATAAGATTTTCCTGGGATCCAATAACGTTATTCGGTGCATGCAAAATTTAAAACAAACACTTCAATATGAAGACCATCGAGTATTGAATTACGGTCCAAGGAAAATTTCAGCAGAATATCAGTTTATATCATATTTATAGAGTATTTTATGAAGAATATTCTATATTATTACAAGTTTCTTGAAGTTCATGTATATTTACTTATACTATAAGATATCATCTCAATTATTTTATTATGATATTTTTGTACATTATTCTTATTAGTGACTTTTTTTTCGGTTATTAAAAATGGGTATTCGGGTGTGTACATTGTCACGTGGAAATCGCTTACGGCTTTATAAATATTTTATATTCATACAATACAGTAATAAATTATAATATTATTAATAAACATTAAATACACTATCTTTAGACTATAGATTATATCCCGTGACTTCACTCATTTGTTTGTTCTTTAGAAATAAGCGATATTTTTGTTTTTCTAGGTGCTGGTAAAAATATAACTAGAGTTTTCTTTAAAAAATATAACAATAATAAAACAAACGTCTTTATTCCATTCGACAAATTTAGTCATAATTCGTCCAACAAATAATATCGTTGACATTGGCAAAATATTCCACGATCCCAGTGCGAATGAAGCCATAGCATAAAAAATATAATTTGTTTTGAAAGCTGTAACCAAGCTGTCATTCTAGGATAGTTGAAAGTAAAAAACAAAAGACTTTATTAAAATAAAAGCATAAATGAAGATAGTTTTAACAACAATTTTATTTATAATGTATTATTATAAAAGTTAAACAACATTTTACGTACAATTGAGTGTTATCTTAAGGAACCGATATTAAATTTTCCTCAATGGTTGAAGACTATTTTATTAAAGATAACAATAGTAGTGTCAGTAGTATTAGTCATGCCTTTATCTATGAGTGATAACTTGTTTAATTTTAGTCTAGTTTCCCAGGACGTAGTTTCGTATTTGCATTCAAAACTTTTCAAAATTATTAAAAAATAATGCTAATAAATTTTAAACACATAGATTCCGAATAAAAAAAAATAACATACATATTAGGATTCATTAATTTATTGTTTAATTTTGGGTACAATATGTAATTTTATAAAGCTATAGTGATATTTGGTGGAGAAAAGAAATATATCTCTGTTCTCACTACGATAGTAAAATTATTACCTTATTTATGTGAATTTTCTCTAACAATCTCCATGTTCGTACATTTTTTCATCTTTAAGATGATAGTTTAAAAGCTTCAATTAAGTTTTTATTAATAGTTCAGGTTTTGTGTGCTTGTATAAAAATTGAGACAAAATTATATATACAACTTTTAATTATATTTTATTATTGAGAAAAAAATGTTTTAAATTATTTTTCTTTTTTAAGCACTGCACATATACATATAATAATAGTATTGTAAGTTTCTTTTATATAATTGTATGTTATTTCTATATTACAAAATAGATGCTATAATAGAAAATATAATTTTAAATCATAACACAATTTATCGCCAAATTTAATCACAATAACACCGTTGAAGTGAAAACGTAAACAAATAATGAATCTATGGCGAGAATGATTTACGATCAAATATATTTATCGCTGCCATGAAAATTGACAGTATGTTAAATTTTATAAATTGTAGCCATAGCCCTGTAAACTAGAACTTAATTAAAATTTACAGTTGGCCGTTTACATTAAATTATTAAACTTATTAAAGCCGTTGGTGCTTGTTTTTAATTTCTCGAAATTTCGAGCGCTCCACGCAGCACGTTGCCGTTAAAATAGAGTGCTTTTATAACTTTTCCTTTTTTAGTTTTACATATATGTATTTTATAGGTAATATTATAGTCTCTCTTTTCTTTAATCTTTTATAAGTAAACTTATAATACCTAAGCTATGCATTTTGTTTTTACTATGCGATTTTTCACAATAAAAATCTTTATTTCGTCAGCCTGTGAAATCGGCAGTTGTAAAGATACTGGAATGTCCGATAAACCTTTTTTTATGTAACATTATATAATAAGTGAAATAGTATGTATGAAAATTATAGTTTCATTATAAATGTATACTCGCGGAAACTATAGACTCAGACTTAGACTCAGGCTCAGATATTATGAGATCTAAGACTTTCGTGAGTATTCATTTAAACGAGACTAATACATATTTTTCAGATTACTACGCTTATTTTATTATTTTAAAAACTACATACTTAGTATGATATTCTTAGATATTATTTCCACACATATTTTTTTCATCTAATATGCTTATAAATATATCAATGATTTTTATTCTATATACATATAAATCTAAGTAACATTAATGTTAAGTTTCTTAAAAATGAATGTCTATTTTAGTATGATAATAATCAACAATAATTAATATACTCTTAATAAACTTTCCCATTCATCATGTTTGAAGGATTACATTAATATAATATTATCTCATTCCAGATGCTATATTACTCGTATTCATCACAGCGATTGTAGACTCCAATGAAGTCAGCGACTGTTCCACATGCATCAAAGTCAATGTAACCTGCTTCAATGTATCATATCTCTTCGACATCCAGGCTCCGTTTAGGAAGACTGTTGTGATAACGAAATTGGGAGTACTCAGATCAACTAACACGTTGTATTTCAGCTTCGAACCGAACATAGATGACATTGAATACTCCAAAATCGGTTTCATAAGTATGGAAGAACCATCAAACACTTCGGTGATCGGTGCTAAACAGGCCATGAATTTTGGTACATTCGATTTCGATCAAGATAATGGTCTGGTATATTTGGGAGGCAGCGATGGCATTTATGTTTTAGATACGAACACTCACAGAGTTGCTCCTTACAGTTCTAGAGGGGATTCTATTCTCAGTATGTTTTATAGAGGCCATGTTTATTTTATAAGGGACAGAGAATACAAGATAGTCAAAAAGAAGGGGGATAATTTTGATATACTACTTGATTATATACCAGCGAAAAATTTTGTTATAAATAAATATAATGTCATTGTTTTTTTGAGTAGACATGGCTTATATGCCTATAAGAATAATGAGTTCGTTCTATTATCGAGTAACGCTTTTTTTAGGGGATTGACTATTGATAATTACGGCGTTATTTATGCATGGTGGGTGGATGGGATTTACAAAATAACTATCGGTGAAAATCTTTCTCAATCTCGAATAGATAAGATTGCTAACACTCCGATGATAGGAGCCCTTACCTTTGATAGTGATAATAATTTTCTTATCACAGAAGGGAAGAGCCTTTATCGATTAACAGAAACAAATACAACTGTCTGTTAAGTTTACTGAATGATATTTTTTTTCAGTTTTGTTAATTGATGTAATTAATTTGAGTATATTCTAAGAAAAAATATTAATAGTTTACTAAACAAAGTTCGTTTTTGTTCTTCTACAATATTAATCAGATAATACTAATGAAATTAATTAATAGAAAACGTGAATTTTTTGATTACTAAATATTTGATTTTGTTGGAATTCAGTTCAAACGGTAATAGCTGTCTAGGACTAGACGGAAGTTGCTAATAAATTAACACGGAATGAGGTCGTCTATGTACTTTTATTGTCCTTGTCCTTTCCACATATCTGATGTTACTACTGTAATGGCGTTGTCACACAGAATTTACTTAGTTTAAAGTATTGTAAAATTTCATCCCTACTAATATTATAAATGCAAAAGTAAGTCTGTTTGTCTGTCTGTCTGTTAACTTTCATGCCTAAACCACTGAATTGATTTTAATGAAATTTGGTACAGAGATAGAGTTGACCTTAGGAAAGAACATAGGATGGTTTTTTTATACCAGACATTTGAAAATTTCTCTTGCAAACGCGTTATAACCGAACTCAACGCGGGCGAAGCTGCGGGCGGAAAGCTAGTTAAGAATAATTCTATATGAATCTCTCAGTTGAATAACAAACATCTACCAATCATCACTGAGATTATAAATTATTTTAAAAGTAACGATTTAGTCTCTCTACATTTCGATTTGATTCTTAATATTAAGGAATTGTAAAGCACTACTACATATATGTATTTTCAATGTAGTAGGACCTTAACCATTTCTATATTAGCGTACATACTTATATGTATATAAAGTACAAATGTTTAAACTAGATGTCTGATTCCTTTAAGTGGAATGGTATGACACAACTTATGTAAGGATTAAATTACAATTTACAAATTAGGGTTGAGGATTACAATACAATACAGACTGTTACACCATGAATTATTTGGGATGAATAAAAAATATGTAATTAATAAATTGTAATAAGAATTATTGAAGGGTCGTAAAAGATTCCGGGTTTGATAATTGATATATTGAGTGGCAAACCAGTCAACGAGAAGGAATTTCTCCTGTTCCCTTTAAAAGTGAAATTACAAAAAGTTATATACAGTGACAAAGGTTTTACAAAAAATAAACAGCAAAGGCTGGGTATTAGCGACATTGAACAACGTTTTCCAAAGTATTTTCAAACGGCGTATTTAAGAGAGCGTTATGTTCCAGTTGACAAAAAATGTAAATAGCTTGTGAAGTGTCATCAGGTGAAGTGGTCACTTGCTACCGTTCACATCAAACATTCCCTGAGCGACTCTTCAGTGGACGGGTCGATTTCCGATAAATGTTCTATAGCTTAGAAAAGTTTTTACGTAATTTTGAAATGTTATTTTATTTTTATAATATTGTTACAAGTGGCGCCATCTGTGACGTACTAATTATAATATACCTACTATAATCCTTAGAATTATTTTTATGACTGATTATATTTGATTATAATACTGAACCATTGTAATTTTGTTTTGTATAAAACTATAATTACTGGCTTAAGGCATTTTTGTGGGACATTAATGGAAATAACGCTGAACATTGAAAAACAAGACTGAAACTATTTTAATTCATAAAAAAAATACGTATGTTGACTTCAATGTATTCGACACTTATTTAACATTTGTAATTATTATATTAACAAACTGTAGTTTTATATATAATTAAATACTTCTTGGTGTTTAAAGGATTTTTTTTTGTTTGTGTTTATCTAAAAAAAGACTGATTGGAAAGAGTCGTAAAATTCAAATGGTTCAGTAAAAATGATTTAAAGTAATAGGATTAAAATACATCCTTGGAGTTCGTAAAAATATTTTCTTTCGAAATTCTTTTAGCAACGGATGAACGAAAGGGAAGAAATAATAAAGAGGTGTTCCCTTCATCGCTTTTATCCACTGTAATCATCTTCCATAGCTTTTAGAAAAAGTTTGTTATAAATTATTCACAGCGCCTTTGGCGTTTTATATCTTAGCCCAGAGATAAATGCTACATCTACCGTTATTTCGACGAAATTATGCTTTAATATGAAAAATCTAAATTCTTTATATAAACTTATTAGGTTTATGTTATTTTGTTGGGTGTGAAAGAAATCTTGATAAATTAAGATCATTGTTGATTTTAAATCACTTCAAAAGATAATTTTTATATAAGCAAGAAGTTTTTGTTGAGTTTAGTTGTAGAATTCAGCTTAGTCTGAGATCATCATTAAGATTATTTGATAGAAATTATAATAAAAACTTTTGGTGTTAATTTTGCATTTTCATCATGAATACGATAATTCAAAATAGTTATACTCATGATAATAAATTTACTGGATTTATCTTAACATCTTTTTACATTTCTTTATAAGTTATAAATCTTAAAAATAATAATAATAAAAAACTAAACAACATACATATAATAAAAGTAATAGGCACATCGTGAAAGACTATGGGACATTTGGCAAACATTGATTTCAACAAACGTTTTAGCAACAGTGTCGTAACAAAGGCTTATGTCGCACAATACTTAGTTAGGGGTAACATTGTCAACTGTTTCGGCTTCACAATGAACCGTTTGCTCGATCATGCCGGTCACGAGCGTATAATAAAAGAATTCGTTTCGAAAAAAACTCCAGTAGGAACGAAAACGTTAATATACTGAAATAAACTACAGTAAAGTAATAAATAATAAAGAAATTTATAGTATTGGATAGAAATAAACATTTCATTAGACAACTATTTCTAAACTACCGTATCCAATTTTCGTAAGGTAATGTTATAGGCACAAAAGACCCTACAAAATTCTCTGAGGTATACTCGTCGAACTGTGCCGTAGCAATTTCATTTTGTATTGATCACCTTAAGTAAAACTATTTAAGTAATATACGCAATAAAGTTTTGATACTCACGATTATCTTACATTTTATTGAATAAATAACATTTATTATTCTAAAATAAGTTTCTCGTGACGTGTCATTGTTCGTAAATATAAATGTCTTCAAAACTGTTAAATATATTCATAGCTAAAGATCTTTTGTATTGTTTGTTAAAAATTGCTTTTTTATGTTTTTTTAAAGGCAAGGTGCGTTGATACTTAAGTCGATACAAGCAAATGCTCTTTAAAATGTCTATTATAAAAAAAAAAACTCAATAAACTCTCTAGCCGTTAGACCAAAGTGAGCATCATCAGTAACTTCATTACTCCGTTCAGGACACCTGGATTTATAGCTCGATTCTCTCGGGGATGCATAAAGATAAATGTTTACAAAATGGTATTGTCTTACAACAAAACAATTCAATTTGTTCCCAATGAATATCCTGTTCGGTTTACTGGTCAAATCATTTCAAATTTATCTTTATATAAGTCGGAAAATACGCTTTTTAAATTATGAAAAAAAAAACTCATATCAAAACAGATTAATTATTATTATTACGTATAAATTCAAACCGTCTTTAATCTTTAGATATTAAGAAAGTTAAATTCAGGAAATTTTTAATTTTAAAACCGCAAAGACAATGACTTAACGTCTAGACCGAATTCATCAAGAAATTTATTGTCTTCGACGTCTTAATCTAGCTTAAAACTTAAAAATGTAATAAAAATAGATTTGATAGCTATTGAGTAGTCGATTCATTAATTAAATTAAACTCACGCATACATACAAAAATTCGAAGAATAATAATTTCATTATATGACAGATAATATTTTCTATTTTTCTTCACTAATCATACCACATCACCCATTAGTTAATGATTTTATTATATTTCACAGAAATATAAACATATCAACACCAGTTTACTGTGTCGTATAGAGCTGACAAACTGTTATTTGATTGTAGTGGCATCGAAATTGCATTACTCTCAACATAAATGTCAGTAAATGAAATGTCATGGGACGTCACTCTCGTGTTACAAGTGACGGATTCAGGGAATTTGGACTTTAAAATGTTAGGACAATTTGGTGATTTGAATTTAGGCTTATGATAATATTTTTTTATGGCTCATAAATAAAAAGATTTTCATTGATTAGCAATCCTTTGAATAACAGTTCTAGTGTCACAGAAAAAACACTCAGTTTTTAAATAACATGCTTAATGCAGCACATTTAATTGTCTCGTCTGTTTGTAAACTTCGAAGAAAGTGGAACCGTCTAACCAACTACTGCATTCATACAAAGCTCACCTTATAATTTGTGTCTCTTCCTGGAATATAATCTTTCTTTGAGGCTATAATTACGTTTAGTTAAGAGAGTTTTAAAGTGTTTTTTCAAAGGATTAATATCACTTGAACTTTCCATATTTCCATAAGGTTAACGATGATAAGGAGCGCTTAATGGATTCCGTTTGTAATATTTGGCATGTCAAGTGAAATTATTTTGTAAAAATATACACTTTCGGATCACTCTGCTGAAGAAACGTTTTACGTGTTTGAAAAAATTTTAATCTTTTAACAACAGCTATTCACACTCTTATACATTAATGCTTTAAATTTGTTAGCAAGGTTTTTTGGTCAGTAAAAATTTGACGTGCAATCTCAGCGCCTAATATGTATTTGGACTGACATAAAAACTATTCTTTTTAAGAACCTTTATGAAGTTGTTGTATGAAACTTCCGTAATAAATTATACTTGCTTCAATATGAATCTTTAGTGAAACAGTGAAGCTCTTAGTGCAGGTTCCGGTATATTTATTAAATATTTTACAATATAACTTCTAAGAATTTACTGATTTATTTTAATTTCTATGTTATTTTGTAAAATTTTATATTAAAGCAGTATTTTTGAGAAAATCCGTATATGTATGTAAGTACAACAGAAAGTTTTTTTAGAAATCCAAATCTGATAAACTACGCCAGTTATCGTTTAGATTCGATAATAAAATTTTTCAGCTTTTCAAGGCTCTTTCCTTCCTTACTATTGCGTACGTTCTCTATCGATTAATATAACAAGCCTCTCAAAACATGAATTGCTAAAATTGCC